AGAGCTGGGGGAGGGGAAAGAAGGAGCAGAGGATAGAGCAGGGACAGCTGATGCTGAGGGACTTGAGTGGGAGGTGCAGCACCATGGCCTGCCCCGTAGCACCGTGCGCCCCAGAGCTGGGATAGAAAAAGCGGGAATGAAGAGCTTGAGAGGGAATACCACGGATCTCATGTTCCTACTTCCGATTTTGTTCACGCATTCCCACCTTTCATTTTCGTCATATAGTCGTATCATTCATCGTCATCACATATTCCTACCTCCCATTGTTGCCACACACTCCCTTGTCTTCATGCTGGTCACACATCCTTACCCTTCATTCTAGTCACATATTCCTCAATAACCGGTCTGAAATGTTCCGGTCGACTGGGCCTGCAATACAGAGAGACGCAAGATAACCGCATCAGAAAAGAGAGACCAGACAAGAAAGACTGTAACATAACTGCAGCTTGCGCATGGCAATATGACCAGAGCAACAAGCAGCAAGCGGCGAGGTGACTTTTGAGTCGACTCAAAAGTCACCTGGCGCATGGCAAAAGGACCAGAGCAACAAGCAGCAAGCAGCGGCTTATCCACGTCGCACTTTCCAATCTGTAAGCTGCAAGGCTTCTATACAAAAAGAAGGAGAGGAAAAAAAGGTTTAAAAGACAAAGAGGGATTGTCAGCAGGAAGGGTGAATAACAGTATGCCAAGGACTGGGTGGCAAGTGCTTGGCCCACCATGGGTTGGGACCATGAAGCGGCTTCCCGGAAAGCACGAGAGGATGATCAGCTGGATGCTCCCTGTACAACTGGTGAGGAGGCAGGGAGAGTGGGAGGGAGAGAGGGAGTGAGGAAGGGCAGAGAGAGGGGGAGAAGGCAGAGAGAGAGGGTGAAGGGAAGAGAGGGACGCAGAAGGAAGAGGTGCACAGAGCTGACACAACCATGCTTGCATGTATGCTGGGGGGAAAAGATGGGGAACGACGAGCCCAGGGAAGCTTGCGATTCTCAGCCAAACAGAACAGTACACCTGCAAAACAGTTTCTTAGAGAAGAAAACTAGTCACATTAACAAGGTTCACATGAATGGCTCAACTTACCAGCTAAGCACAACAACCGGCTCAGATTACTGACTCAACTCACACCAACTGCTCAGATCACCGACACAGCTCACACCAACGGCTCAGATCACCAGCTCAACTCACATCAATGGCTTCATGCATGTCCCGCTGGCCCTGAGTGATGTTCTCTCCGAGCCTCTGGTATCCCCTGCACGCAGCAAAAAGAAGAGTAGAAACTGGGGAAAAAGGCCTCTAAAAAGAAGGAGGAGAAAAAAGAAGGAGGGATTCGAGTGGGTTGTTGTGAGTGGGGGGGACATATCAGTTCCCTTTTCGATTACACGTGCACACATGTAGACCACACCACGTGAACCCCCTCACATGCGCACACCCTCTACCCCCCTCATATGCGCACACCCTCTACCCCCCTCACATGCGCACACCCTCTACCCCCCTCACATGCACGCATCACCCACCCTCCTCACCTCACAGGCCCAAACGCCCTACCTGAAAATCGGAGACTTTGAGAGGGCAATCTCGTTCTTAGCCTCATCAGCAAGTGCAAAGAACTCTCTCCCCACCTCTCGAGCATCGTCCACCAGCTGCTGGGACACACCATGGCCAGTCTGGATTGTGGCACCCACGGGAACAGTAGGCAAGGCACACACACAGGCCGGGCTGAAGTGAGCCATGCAAGGAACTCTCTCTCAACCCCTCAGGGATCGTCCAACAGCTGCTGGGAAACACCATGGCCAGTCTGGCATATGCCACACGGAAACAGCAGGCAAAAACACACAGGGCTGGCCAGAAACATGCAACGATCTCGCTCGCTACTCCTCGGGTTTTATCTACCAGATGCTGGAACTCAACATGGTGGGTCTATCAATGCACATCAATTCCCGTCAAATGTCATAGACCCATTAAGAAGAAGCGTGACAGGTAATGGCACGAGAGAAAAAGAGCTCCTGAATGAGCTCCAATCTTTCATGCTGGGACCGATTAATGACTATGCCCGAATTCCCGTCAAGTGATGACTCTCGTTTATATAAACAGCAGCAGAAGCCCATCGGGTCGCATTGACTTTCGTATCATCGCCGGAAAAGACGCCGTTTTGGAAAACAGCAGAAGGAAACTCACTAGGTAAAAGAAGCCGACTTCCTGGCAAGCTGCATGGATCTCTGAAGCAACCCGCCTGGCTTCGCTGGGGTATGACGCCTCTGGTAAAGCTTCTGATGAAGTTGTTGGTAAAGCTGGTTTCGGGCTGTCTGTGTCAGAACAGAACTCGACGAGGGGAGAAATGTCTGCGGGAAAAAGACAAGACATACAGAACAGTATTAAAGGAGGCGAGTTTTTTAAGAGCCAGTCCGCCTGATGTCGCTGGCGTATGACGCTCTAACGAAGCTTCTGATGACGCCTGACGTCACTGCCTGGAGCATGAACAAAAAGACGTACCGATCTTCGGTAGCTCCTGAAACGTGCGGACTAAGCCGTCCTTATTCGCGACCACGTGCAGCACTCCTAGCTTCTTTCGGCAAGTAAATATTATCGTGGAAGGGTATGTTTTCCGTCGAATCGCAGCAACGCCATGGGTGCGAGATCCGCCCCAGGCTGATGTTTTCTGGCATATGGATGAGAAGAAACAGGTCGCCGACATCCTAAAACTATTTACAAGCGGGGGTATATAATGCTTGAAAAGGATACGTGATACAACTCCGTAGTAAAAACCTAAAATGTTACAGACGACGACAGAGGCAAGCGGGTTTGCGCTGGTTCTAAGAAAGGGAATTTTTTTTAGTAACTTCCTATGCTGTGCATTCTTCTGGTTTGGAATATGAAATTTAGTCGCCCAAGTCTGATTGCAGTCTAGTCTCGTGTGATGATGACAAATAAACAAGAAATTACAAGAAGATGCAAGGGTGTCAGTGACTGTCAGTCAAACTTCACCAGTTCGCGAAAAGTGAAAGTTTGTTCGCATCTCAAATGAGAGCATGCTGCGAGATGGTTGGAGCCGTCACGCGAATTTCGAACTGGTGGTAACTACATTACCTCCGACAGCAAACAGAACAAGACTTGTCCATCCCTCCTCCCTGACTGTCCCATTCTGACTCCTGTCTGTCTTGGGATTGTGTTGTGTCAGATTTTCCCGCGCTGAGGAAGTTGCGGCGGGATTGGCTGGGGTAGGGTGTGACCTGTGGGGGCAACTCCGTTCATTCTCTCTCAACACCTAAAAAACGATTTATATCATAAACAACGTTCAGAACATAAACTACGTCATTGAGTTGTGGATTCATAACAACTTCCACGTGGCCTCCGTGCATCTCGTGCTGCATTGCGCTGCCAACTTGAATCGCCTACATCAGAACATCTCCGGTCAAGTTACCCATACTGGGATCCAGTGTAAAATTTAGGTGCTCTCAGGTAACTCGCGCCCCCTGTGAGGCACGCATGCTGTTCCTTGCTCGTACCTCGTATGCAACTAATACACAATCGTCGCCATGTTCTCAGACAAACAATCAGATTCTAACTCTGTGTCCTCAAAGAGGAGTCCCCTGCGTCCTAGTCGAACCACAATTCCCATTCTATACAAGCTTCCATCACGAGCGCGGGGAGGGATATCCGTTTTCGCCATACTCGCAATCCTCACAGCCACCGTTATTATCACGCACAGCAGCCTGGGAGGCGTCGTTTCAACTGGCATCAACCCTGGCAAAGCCGTGCGCTGGATTACGCGATATACGCAGAATCTGACGGCTCAGATCGCCTTACACCGGGAAATATACACCCCTAGTACTGTAGCTTCGCCAGAAGGTCGTGTAGTTTGTTGGTGGTCCGGAGCACATGGCGGGTACTCAGGGCTGGAAGATCTCGTAGCGGATTTAACAGACCAGACGAGGAGGAAGGGAGGTGTGATAGTGTCGGGGTCTGGCTGTGCTCGCTGCACGGTAGGCGAGCTCTGCGCCTTCGACATCGATATAAGAACACCAGCGGGATGGGATGTGACCCCGCCGCCCGATATTATCGCCGTGGCGCGCGGCGCGACGGCCAATCTCACGCTCAACGTGGATCGAACCAGCAATAATGCTAACTCCAGCGGATATCACAGCGGGGATCACGCCACGAAGGGCGGCGGAGGGGACGGAGGGGACGGCGGATGGAGCGGAAGCGGAAGGGCGATGGGAGTGGGTGATTCTAGAGAGTCTCTTGTAGTGCGTCTAGTGGGGCCAGCGTTAGCGGCAGCGGATGTGACTAAAGAGGGGGGTGACATTAGGAAATGGAGAGTTTCTTACCGCGTGTGGGATGCAGGGAATTACAGCGTGCTCCTTTTATCAGAATGTGGGAATCTGGACTTCACCCCCAACAGCACTGAACGCGCCCTAGGCACGGTGGCTGAATGGAACCTCACTGTGCTCCCAAGCGCTGTTCCTGCTCATCCATCCCCCGCCATAATCTCATCCCCTGATTCAATCACATTCAACAGTTCAGTTGGATCTGCACTGCCAGCCACTGACTCTACCGCGTACACCACTACCGAATCCTCAGACGGAGCTGACTATAACGAGTACCAGGACAACCCATGCGACCACTCAGCGTACGGCCGGTGGCTCTTCGACCCGCCAAAGGGCAAGTACACGTGGCAGCTGTACCCTTGCGCGAAGCCCCTCCCACCGCCCTCTGATTGGCTCAGCGCGCTTCAGTCTCGGGGCATATATGAGATCAACATTGTGGGCGATTCCCATCAACGGTTCCTGTTCAACCACCTCTTTTTCCTGCTCACAGGGAAAGCACACGTTTCCCAGTCGAAGGTCCATCATGATATGAAGCACATGATCATGCCCTCCCCCGCTCGCTCTCCACCTTCTTCGGCTCCTGCTCCTGCTCTTGGGCCTGAAACCCCTGCTGCTGCTGCTGCTGCTGCTGCTGCTGCTGCTGTTGCCTCTGTTCCCACTGATGACGGGGCGTCACTCGGAATGAGCAGTCTGGCTGCAGAGCAGCGGCCGTTGAAGCTCAATTTCTACTGGATTGCCGGGATCTACAACATCGGGCAATACGGATGCAAGTAAGTGCATGCAGCACTGCACAAGTACTAGGGTGATTAACAGGTCGTATCTTGAGTCGACTCAAAACACAACTCACTGCACAAATACTTTGTTTACCAAAGGGTCGTATGCCGTGCCCAGCCCTCTCCAGGCGGCTGACCCCTGCACCTGCACCTGCACATAAACTCGTGGACAGCTGTTTTCTTGTTATTGAACAGGGTGAATGTACAGCTGTCTTTTAGAACGGTTTTCATGATTGGATAGACACGTGGACAGAGGTGAGTTTTGAGTCGACTGGAGTTTACCTGCATATGGACACATGGTCAGCTGTCTTCTTGTCTCTCATGTGTGTGTTCGTGAGTGTAGTGCATGCATGTCAATGCACGTCTTTTCATGCATGCATGCATGTCCTTGCATGTCTGCTCTGCTCATGCATGTATGTGTTGCCACGCATCTCCATGCGTGCAGAAAGAAGTTTTCGAATCAGGGAGGCCCATTCCCAACCATCTCATCAGCAGCAGACGTGACTATAATCAACGGAGGCACGTGGATCCATGGCTTCTGTGACGCTCCTGAAGATGCTTTCGGCTTCTTCCTTCCAAGGTTCCTGCGCTGGGCTTATTTGCAAATGCAGGCGGCTCGAAAGTGGCATGTTGCGAGAAAGCAGCTGCTTGAGCTTATAAAGCAGAAAAAACAGCAGCAGCAGCAGCACCAGCGCCGGCTGCAGCAGACGCAGGAGCAGGAGCAGGAGCAGCAGGCAGTTGCAGGAGGCGACGTAAAAGAGTCTCCAAATGCCACTTCTGAAGCAGGTAACAAGGGCTCCAGGGGCCCGTGGCTGCTGTACCGAACCATACCTCCGTTACCACGTACCGGTTTTTGCCGTTATGGGTCAAACAGTCTCGTATCTCATTTGAATATCGTGGCAATTGCACATCTGGCACGATATAGAATTGGGCTTTTAGATGGGCGGCATGTAGAGGTGCCAAAGATGGAAGACTACTGTAGCGCTCGTGATAACCACTACAGCTGTTTCAGACACCGCCCCAAGTTTGGGAAAGGGAAGGGAATTTATGAAGGTGATGTAGGTGAGGCTATGGTGTACATGACGATGTATCATTTGTTAAATCTGTTAGAATGATTCTCTCCATTCTTTTTACAGGGAGGGACTTGCTCTCATTACAGCCATTTTTGCTTATTTGTTTGCATACTGCACCTTGTTTTATTTTCTTCTACTCAAAATTGAAATTAGTCAAAATTCAGAAATTTTGCGCATAGATTGTGGTTACCGATGTCTTTTGAGCCGCGCATGAGTCCCTGTTTACAGTGATAATTTCGCGCCAAGCCGCGTCAGTTTGGGGATAGCCCGTCAGCATTGTCGGATCGGAGAAGTGCATCCTCAAAATACCATTCGAGAAGGTAATAAGGGGAAATTCTTGTTCCCTCCAATTTCAACCTGGTCTTTATCGCCTGAATGGCAGTGCCCCCCCGCCCCCTTGGCTGAGCTCCCGCGTTTTCTGCGAAACCCAGATTTTCGTCAGTCTGTCCGTGAATACCTTCGCCAGCGGTTCAGTCAGTCATGAAAATCTTCGTAAGCCGTTCAGTCCATTCACATTCGCGGCCCGTCAGAGGCAAACCAGTGCAGAGACAGAAGAGGTCAGCAGTGTCAGTCTCACGTATCACAGGTGACATACAGCCTGGGACTTGCACATTCACATGGAAGCTGTTCGTGGCTTTTGTAAGTTTTTGCGTAGAATTACCCACCCCACCCTTGCAAAGAGATCGAGTCATTCTTTCTGTATATTCACATGTTCTTGCAAGAGTAAACGATGTTCGCTCTTCCGGTCACCCATTCACATGATTCGGACATTGTATCCGCAAAGAGGATCCCCCTGCGTCCTGGTGGAGTCGCATACGGCGTGCTATCCGCCTTCGCTATAGTCGCAATCCTCACGGCCTCTACAATCACGCACATCCCCAATGGCGACTTTTCACCTGCCAGTTGCTTCAACGATAGCAAGGCCGGGAGGTGGAGTCGCACGCGGCTCGAGGAAAACTCGACAGCTCAAAACAACTCACCGGTAGATCGAGTTGTGTGCTGGTGGTCCGGCGACCATGGCGGCTATTCAGGAATGGAAGAATCTGCAGCGGGGGTACCAACGAAGAACCTCTTGAAGAGGAGGCCTTCCGGGAAGGGAGGTGTGATAGTATCGGGGTCCGGTTGTGCTCGCTGCACTGTAGGCGAGCTCTGCTCGTTTGACATCGATATAAGAACACCAGCAGGATGGGATGTCACTCCGCCGCCTGATTTAAGCGACGTGATGCGCGGTGCGACGATCAAACGCATTGTTCGGACCAGCAATAACGCTAACTCAAGCGAAATTCGCGCCGAAAATCACGCCGGCGGAAATGGCAGAGAGAAGAGCGGATCAAGGAGCGGAAGGGCGATGGGAGTAGGTGACTTTAGAGAGTCTCTTGTGGTGCGCCTGGTGGGGCCGGCGTTAGCGGCAGCGGAATTGACTAAAGAGGGGGGTGACATAAGAAGATGGAGAGTTGCGTACCGAGTGTGGGACGCGGGGAATTACAGCGTTCTCGTTCTTTCAGAGTGCGGAAGTCTGGACTTCACCCGCAACAGCACGGAACGCGCCCTAGGAACGGTGGCTGAATGGACCCTCACAGTGTTCCCAAGCGTTGCCACTGCTCCTTCATCCTCAGTTTTTATCCCATTCGCCGATTCAAGCACATCCAACGATTCAATCAGAATCGAATCCTCAGACGGAGCTGACTATAACGAGTACCAGGACACCCCATGCGATCACTCAGCATACGGTCGGTGGTTCTTCGACCCACCAAAGGGAAAGTACACGTGGCAGCTGTACCCCTGCGCACAGCCACTCCCGCCGCCCTGCGAATGGATTAGCGCGCTTCAGTCTCGGGGCATCTACGAGGTCAACATCGTGGGTGATTCACATCAACGGTTCCTGTTCAACTACCTTTTCTTCTTGTTGACAGGAGAGGCGTACGAATCCGACGCCAAGAAATATGATAATATGATGCGCGAGGTCATGCCCTCTCGACCCCCCTCTCCGCCTCTTCTTCCTCCCTCTCCTCCCGCTCCTTCTGCATCGTCCCCGGCTCGTCCCACGACCTCGGCTTCAGATCCGGTTTCTGGAACCTTTGCTCCCCCCTCCCCTTCTGCCGCCTCTGCTCTTGCTGCTGATGTGCCTGCCACCCCTGCTGCTACCACCTCTGCTCCTGCTACTGAGGAGGCATCACACGGCAGCAACAGCAGTCAAGCTGCAGAGCTGCGGCCGTTGAAGCTCAACTTCTACTGGCTTGCCGGGATCTACAATGTGGGGCAGCACGGATGCAAGTAAGTGCATACATGCGGAATTGAATTCGGCTTGCAGAGAAAAGGGAAGGTTCATAGAAAAGAAAGGAGTTTTTTTTTTTGCAGCACGTTTCAATGTTCGAGCAAGCTACCACCTGATTCGTGTTGCCCTCTCTGATGGGCCATTGGTGGTTGTTGTTGTTGTTTGCTTATGTGTTTGATTTTTTTTGCCGTTTACTTGATTTCTTTCTGACTTTCGTGCTCAAGCTCTGAATTACTCCTGACTCGCGATTTTCCGTGTCAATCTTCGCCACACCGCAATGAAATTTGCACGCCATGCCCAGCCCACTCCAGATGGGGCACCTCAATATCCAGCTCTCTCCTGGCAACTGACTTGACAGGTGCCATTCAAGTCTGTGCTGTCTTCATGTCTCTCTGTGTGTGTTTGTGCATTGTGTGATTGCAGGAAGGGGCTCCTGAAGGACGGCCGGTGGTTTCCCAAGGTCTCACCAGCAGCAGACGTCACCATTATCGACGGAGGATCATGGACCCATGCGTTCTGTGAGACTCCCTTAGATGCATTCGGACTCTTCCTCCCTAGGTTCCTACGCTGGGCCTATACAAAAATGCAGCTGGCTCGAAAATGGCAGATGGCGAGAGAGCGTGTTTCTAAGGTACTGAGGCAGAGAAATCAGCAGCAGCAAGAGCAGGGGCAGCAACAGAAAGAGGGGCATGAGCAGGAGCAGGAGCAGCAACAGCAGCAACAACAGCAGGAGGAGCAAGAGCAGGCGGAGGAGGGGCAAGAGGAGGGGGGGGAGGAGCAAGAGCAGGGGGGGGAGGAGCAGCAGGGGGCAAGTGCAAAAGGCAACAGCGTCAAAGAGTATTCGAGTGCAGCATCTGAAGCAGGTAACAAGAACTCCAGAGGGCCGTGGCTGCTCTACCGGACCATCCCTCCGTTACGGCGTAACACTTTCTGCCAGTATGGGTCAAACAGCCTTATTTCACAGTTAAATCTCGTCGCTGTTTCTCATTTGGCAAGATATAACATCGGGCTTTTAGACGGGCGAAGTGTAGAGATGCCAAAGATGGAAGACACATGTAGTGCTAGCGATAACCACTACAGTTGTTTTAGACCCAACCCGAGTCGTGGTGAGGGGAAGGGGATTTATGAAGGTGATGCAGGGGAGGCAATGGTGTACATGACGATGTATCATCTGCTAAATTTGTTAGAGGATGTCTGATGGGAGGGAGCTCATATAGTTCTCTGCACTTCTTGAACACCTTATAAGAGCCATCCTATGCAAAACATGTCACCAATTTTCATGAACCTTGAACGCCTTATAAGAACCAGGCCCAGGGTGGGCTGCGTCAGCTCGTGCTGGCTCGAGCAGTTGTCTGAGTCAGTCAGGCCCCCAGCTGCAGGATTCGGCTGAGCTGGGTGCTGCGTCAGAGGGTGGGTAGAAAGAACCCTACCTCGTATGTACAAGGTGGAACCAACCAAGTCGAGAGACACGGACGACAAGCAGGTCACGCAATAAAAGCTGACTCAGAAACGGTTTACGTCGTTCTAATTGCACGATGTCACGACTGAGAGCGGTTCAATCCGGCTTTGTATATCCCCCGATCTTTCGTGAAGCCCAGAATTTCTCCTCAGTCTCTCCTCCCCTGAAGTCTTTCCTCTTCATGCCTAGTCATCTGTCGTGCGTTGACTTGTGTCGTCCTACGCCATGCCTCGTTTCCTGCCTGCTGGATCTTCCTGCGCGCATTCCGTTCCGTCCCGAATCGAAAGCGCATTCCGCCCTGATGTGTTGTGCAACAAGCCCGAATCGAACGAGCTCTGGTTAGAATTTCAAGTTGATATAAGACAACTCAGGATGGCGATGCTTGTAGTAGTTCTGGCTGGCCGTTCTTGCAAGAATAATCGACGTTCGTTCTTTCAGTCACCCATTCGCATTAGCCGTTCTTGCAATATTAGCGATGTTACTTCTTTCGGTCACCAAATCACACTAGCCGTTCTTGCACGAGTTAACGATGCTTATTCTTTTAGTCACCCATTCACCTACTGACAATGTATCTGCTAAGAGGATTCCCGTGCGTCTTGGTGGAATCACATACCGTGTGCTATCCGCCTTCGCTATAGTCGCAATCCTCACAGCCTCTATTTTCTCGCACAGCCAGAATGGCGTCTTTTCAACTGGCTTTAACATTACCAAGGTCGGGAGGTGGCGTCATACGCGATATAAGGAAGATTTGACTGTTCAAAACGACTCACGCCGCGTCATAATGAGCAGCCCAATCAACAAACCGTCGGAAGACCGAGTTGTGTGCTGGTGGTCCGGCGCTCATGGCGGCTATTCGGGAATGGAAGAATCCGCGATGGGGGTTACAAGGAAGAATCTATTGAAGAGGAGGCCTTCCGGGAAGGGAGGTGTGATAGTATCGGGGTCCGGTTGTGCTCGCTGCACGGTAGGCGAGCTCTGCTCGTTTGACATCGATATAAGAACACCAGCAGGATGGGATGTGACTCCGCCGCCCGATATACTCGACGTGGCGCGCGGTGCGACGGCCAATCTCACGCGCAACGTGGTTCGGACCAGCAATAACGCGAACTCCAGCGGAAATGGCGCCGCGAATCACGCCGCGAATGGCGGCGGAAATGGCGGAGAGAAAGGCGGACGGGAGATGGGGGTGGGTGACTTTAGAGAATCTCTTGTTGTGCGTCTGGTTGGGCCAGCATTGGCGACAGCGGATGTGGCTAAAGAGGGGGGTGACATAAAAAAATGGAGGGTCTCTTACCGCGTGTGGGATGCAGGGAATTACAGCGTGCTCCTTTTATCGGAATGTGGAACTTTGGACTTCACCCGCAACAGCACTGAACGCGCCCTAGGCACAGTGGCTGAATGGAGCCTCACAGTGCTCCCAACCACTGTCACTGTTCCTTCATCCTTCGCTTTAAACCCGTTCTCCGACTCTAGCACATCCACCGATTCAGTCCAAATCGAATCCCCAAGCATATCTGACTATAACGAGTACCAGGACACCCCATGCTACCACTCCGTGTACGGCCGTTGGCTCTTCGACCTGCCAAAGGGCAAGTACACGTGGCAGCTGTACCCGTGCGCGCAGCCTCTCCTGCCGCCCTCGGAATGGCTCAGCGCGCTTCAATCCCGGGGCATAAATGAGATCAACATTGTGGGGGATTCGCATCAACGGTTCCTGTTCAACCATCTCATCTTCTTGCTCACAGGGGAGGCGTACGCGTCCGACGCCAAGACACGTGGTAATATGATGCACGAGGTCTTTCCCTCTCCTCCTCTTCCTCCTCCCTCTCCTCCCTCTCCTCCCTCTCCTGCCGCTCCTTCTACAGATCAGGTTTCTGAATCCTTTTTTCCCCGCTCTCCTGGTGCTTCCTCTGCTCCTGCTGCTGAACTGCCTGACGCCCCTGCTGCTGCCGCCTCTGCTCCTGCTGACAAAGGGACAACACAAGGCAGCAACAGCAATCAAGCTGCAGAGCTGCGGCCGTTGAAGCTCAATTTCTACTGGATTGCCGGGATCTACAATGTGGGGCAGCACGGATGCAAGTAAGTGCACACACGATGCAAGTAAGTGCACACAAACAGAATTGTGTTTGCAAAGAGAAGGGAAGATTGAAGATTCCTAGGAAGGAATAAATCCCTCCCAGCATGTTTTATGCTCGAGCAAAGCTATAGCAGACGTATTTTCATGACCCGCTTGATTCGTATCGCCAGCTTTCTGTTTTGTCTAATGGGCATCACTGTTCGGATGTTCGTATTTTCCATGTCGAACTCTGCCTCAGTGCAACTAGTTTTGAGGCGCCTCAAAACTAGCCTCCCCCCTCCGTTTTTGAGGCGCCTCAAAACTATTTTCCGTGTCGAATTCTGCCTCAGTGCAACATGTGTTTATGCCATGTCCACCCCGCTCCTCAATGTGTGCGTGTGTGCATGTGTGTGTGTGTGTGCATGTGCATGTGTGTGTGTGTGTGTGCATGTGTGTGTGTGTGTGCATGTGTGTGTGTGTGTGCATGTTTGTGTGTGTATGTGTGTCTGTATTTGTGTGTGTATGTGTGTGTGCATGTGTGCGTGTGTGTGTGTGGGGATGTCAATGCAGGAGTGGGCTCCTGAGGCAAGGCCGGTGGTTCCCTAACTTCTCAACGACAGCAGACGTCACCATTATCAACGGCGGGACATGGACCCACGCATTCTGTGACACTCCCCAAGATGCATTCGGGCTCTTCCTCCCTAGGTTCCTGCGCTGGGCCTATACGAAAATGCGGACGGCTCGAAATCGGCGGATTGAGAGAGAGCGTCTATCTGAGATAGTAAGGCAGACAAATCAGCAGCAGCAAGAGCAGAAGCACCAACACCAAGAGGAGCAGGAGCATGAGCAGGAGCAGGAACTGGAGCAGCAACAACAGCAGGAGCAAGAACATGAGGAGGGGGAGGAGCAGGAGGCAAGTGCACAAGGCAGCAGTGTCAAAGAGTCACAAGGGAGCAGCGTCAAAGAGTCTGCAAGTGCAGCTTCTGATGCAGGTAACAACTCCAAAGGGCCATGGCTCCTCTATCGGACCATCCCTCCGTTACGACGTAACACTTTCTGCCATTTTGGGTCAAACAGCCTTATTTCACACTTCAATTTCGTGGCAGTTTCTCATTTGGCAAGATATAACATTGGGCTTTTGGATGGGCGAAGTGTAGAGATGCCAAAGATGGAAGACTCATGTAACGCTGGCGATAACCATTACAGCTGTTTTAAACCCCGTCCAAAAAATGGAAAGGGAAAGGGAATCTATAACGGAGATGTAGGGGAGGCTATGGTCTACATGATGATGTATCATTTGCTATATTTGTTAGACTGATTCTCTAAGTTCTTATAACAATGACTCTAAATATTTTCTGCCTTGAGATTGATAGCTCAATTCTGTGAGGGAACCGCTCTTCACCACAACACATCTAGCTGAGCCTCTCCTGGTCTCAAATCTCTTGGTTGTAGAATTTTGGCCTCGCCCTAAGGACGCGGCACCTCAAGCAATTTTGCACGATCGATCGCAGGTTCGCCGATTCAACCGTACGGAAAACCTTATCATAAAATTTTAATACTTTGAAACCATTTTGAACGCCTAATACATTCGAGCCTGCGCAGGATCGATCGCAGGATCGGTGCTAGAGGTGCCGCGTCCTAATGCCTTGCCGAATTTCTTGGTTGTAGGAAGCCATTTTTGCCACCCGTCTCAAAACCAAGCATTTCCTATCCCATTCGTGTTTCGCTTCATGGCTTGTCCTCCTGATGTAACTTCATTTTGTCCGCAGCGCGCGATACTCCACTAGATAGCACCGCAAATGGCGCCGTCAAGTCCGCTACTCTCGCCGTCAGCCGCGGCGCTATCGTTCCTGAACTCCCACTTTCAGCGGCTCGAAGATCTCTCGCTCGCGCCGAATCTCCTAGGCAATCTCTCCTCGGAGATTAACGACCTATTTTCTCTCAAAGACGCGCTCTGTTCGTCTCTCGCCTCCTCGCTCCAACCCGCAGATGACGACAACCGAACCAGAAGCTCCAGGCACGGCGAACCCGAGCCTGATGCTCGTCCGGGAATCGTTTCATCCGTGGCTGCTCGCGCGCTCCAGTCCATAGCAGCCACGTCAGAACGAATAGAAGAATGCCACGTGCGCGCCTCCGTGGCGGCCGCTGACGTGCAGCCGATGGTGAATCGGCTTGCCAGGCTGGCAGCTGAGGTGGCGAGATGCGAGAGGGTTAGAGGATACGTCGAGGTGGTGATCGGTTTTGAGCGGCAAGTGGGAGATGTGGAGGAGAAAGTGGGAATGACAGTGGGACTATGGAGGAAAGAAATGGGCTCTGCTGCTTCCGCCTCTGCCTCTACCTCTGCCGCTGCTGCAGCCTCTTCTTCCGCCGCTACTATTGCCATTGCTGCTCCTGGCGCTGGTGCTGGTGGTGCTGGTGGTGCTGGTCCCGTTGTCACTGCTGCTGCTGCTGCTGCTGCTGCTGCTGCTGCTGCTTCCCCTGCTGCAAGTGCCGCCCCCGTCACTTCCAGGAAGCAACCGTTTTGGAACCCTAAGCTCCTTTCCTCCCTCCGCACGGCCTCGCACGCCGTCCTCACCGCATCCAACCGCTCCGCGTCCACCTCGCGCCACCACCCGGCCTGGTCCCGCCTGCTGACAGCTGTCGATCTGCGATTGGACGCTGCGACTGCCGCCCTGCTAGGCCCTCTGATGGATTGCTACAGGGGTTGTCTCGCTGCTGCCAGCTGGCCCCCTCCCCTCAGGAAAGGAGGAGGAGGAGGAGGAGGAGGAGGAGGAGGAGGAGGAGGAGGAGGAGGAGGAGGAGGAGGAGGAGGAGGAGGAGGAGGAGGAGGAGGAAGAGGAGGAGGGGAAGAAGGAGCAGCAGCAGGTGCTCCCGCTATTGCTGCAGGTTCGGCACTGGATCGGCTTGCCGGACCTGGAGGTGAGCTTCGGGCTGAGTTCACGAGCCTGTTTTTGGCGCTATGCTCCCTGCAGCACGCGCAGAAGGTGAGGCGAGAAGCAGAGCAGGTACGGATTCGAAGCGAAAGCGAGGTAGCATATATGGAGGATGGAGAGGAGGAAGAGGAGCAGGAAGAGGAGGAGGAGGCAGACCTAGGGAATATCCGGAACCTTGAGATTATCCAAGTAGAGGAGCCATTACTATGGGGGATGGAGGAGCTGGTTCAGCCAATAGCGTCGCAGGCCCGGCCTCCTTTCGACCAATGGGGAGCGAGCGGGCGGACGGAGTGGGCCTTTGCGCTGACCCTCCGTGTGGCGTTGACTGGCGTTGACTCGTTTGACCTGGCGCTACAGCCGCTGGTGGACGAGGAAGGGCTCACAGGGGTGAGTGTGCGGGAGGGCTGGGTTCGGGCTGTGGTCCGGATGCTCCCGATCCACTTCCTGCGCAGGTCCGTCGTGCCGAACCTGGCTGGGAAGCTTCTGGGAAACGCTGGAGTTTTAGGAGAAGGAGTTGGGGGGGGGAAGGGGGAGGAAGCTTGGGAGGAGGAGTTAAGTGAGAATGAGGAGAGGGCAGCAGCAGCAAGGGAATGGCTTGGAGTAGTGAGTGAGTGTATCGCCTTTGACTCTGCCATGTCTCGCCTGCTGGCCTTTGGTTCTCCTGCTTCTTCCGCCGCTGCTGCTGCTGCCTCTGCTGGTGTTCCCACCGACGCTGCTGCTGTTGCTGCCGGTGCTGCTGGTGTTGCTGGCGCTTCTGGTGTTTCTGCAACCACTGCTGCAGCTGCTGCTGCGGACAGTGGAGATCTTCCCGTGCCAGCATCAGATTTCTGGGCGGCACTGCAGGTGGATCCCACTGTGGGAGTCTTCGCGGAGCGACCTGATTGGCTGCTGCTCTGGATCAAATTGGAGCACGCCAGCGCACGCAGGGGTGTGCTAGCTGTCATGGGCAGGGACGCTTCCTGGAAGGTTCCTCGGGATGGGGAGGATGAGGCAAGCATGGGGTTGCTGGAGTTGACTTCTACTGGCCTACTGCTGAATGTGGTTGACCGTTCTGGAGCAACGGAAACGGCAGGAAAGGGAATTGTTGAGTTCCGACCACCGCCCGTTGCCCTGCAGCTGATTGAGATTCTCCGGGCGGCTGTCTCCCGATGCGGGCGGCTTTCCGGGACCGTATCTGAAGGCACTGTAGCAAGCAGCACTGTAGCAGGAAGCAGTGACAGTAACGAAGGGAGCGGCACCAGCAGTAGCATCACCAGCCCCAGGGCCATCGGCCGCGGACGGCAGCGCCTGTCTTTTGTCGAGGGGCTCTGCCGCCCGATTCTCTCGGCGTTTCTGAAAGAGACGGAGCAGAGGGCAGACGAGATAGAAGCAGCAGGAGCCCTGGCGAGAGATGGAGACCTGGAGGATATGGCTGGGTGTGCCAATGCTGCGAGGTTTGTGGCTCATGCCCTTGGGACGTGGCAGGATGAAGGGTTCCTCGTGGAGGCATGGGAGGAAGGGAGGAGGGAGAGGAGGGAGAGGAGGGAGAGGCAAGCGAGGAAGAAGGTGAGGGAGCCTCCTTCGCAGCAGCAGGGGAAGAAGGAGGGTCAGCAGCAGCAACAGCAGGAGGAGGAGAAGGAGAGAGAGCAGGCTGAAGGTGCAGGAAGTCGGAAGGTGGAAGGGCAGGAGCAAGAGCAGGAGCAGGAGGAGGAGGGAGGAGGAGATGGATGGGAGCTTTTGGATTCTGAGGAGAATGAAATCGAAGGGGAGCAGCAACGGCAGCCTCAGCAACACTGGCAACACCAGCAGGGGGAGAACCAGCAGCAGAAGAAACATTTGGAGCAGCAAGGAGAGAAGCACACAGGGCAACAAGCAGAGCAGCAGATGAACCGCATGCAGGACCTGCTAGACCAGTACTCTGGCCCCGGTCCCGACCTCTTTTCGTCTGAGCTCCACCGCCTCTCCGCCCTGCACTCCACGCTCGTCGCCAGGCTGGCGACAGCTGTCGCGCGCGGATTAGTCTCCCGCAGTGCAGAGTATCCCCGTGCCATTGTGCGCGTCCAGGCCCCTCCTCTCTCCCTTCACTCCCCTCCCTCCCCTCCCACTCCCCCCTCTCCTCCCTCTCCTTCTGGCGATGCACACACTCCCTCCCTCTCCTCTTCATCCCTCGCCCTCTCCTCCTCTCTGGTTGATGCGCTCACCTATCTCCGCCTCCGATTACTCTCCGCCCGCCACTCACTCGACGCGGCTCTCTTCTCCTCCTTCTGGCGCCACCTCGCTGCCTTCCTGGACCGGTACCTAGTGGATAAGGTCGTGCTGGGACGAGAGGTGAGCGTAGGCATGGGTGTGGGGGTGGGGGTGGGGGTGGGGGTGGGGGTGGGGGTGGGGGTGGGGGGTACAGAGGTGGCTGGAGGGGGAGGGGTTGGAGGAGGTGGAAGGGTGAGCGGAGGGCCAGGTGTTTTTTCAGATGGGATGGGGTCCCGGAGTATGAAGAATGTGAAGAAGAGTGCTGGTGGTGGGACAGGGCTTGTGTTGGGCAGCTTGAAGTTTTCGGAGCGGGCCGGACAGCAGTATTCTTATGACATGCAGGTGGTGCTGTCTGTGTTTGAGATCGCTACCCCCCGCCCGCTTAACTTCTTCAAAAAGACGAGAGACGCCGCCCGGCTGATGGCCATGACGGATAGAGATGCCAACGGGTTACTGTTCATGCTGTCGCTGGTGAGTGGGTCTGGGGCGGCATCGTCTTCATCCTCGTTATTATCTTCTTCGTCAAAAGCACTGGCATTGGCCAGTGCAGCTATAGGGGCTGCTGGAGCAGCTGCTATTGGTGCTGGTGGTAGGGATACCGGTACTGGCAAGGATTCAGGGGTTGATAGCCCAGAAGCCAGAGTGCAGCAGCAGGAGCAGCAGCAGCAGGTGGAGGAGGAGGAGAGGCAACAGAGGGCGGCAGCGGCGTTGAGAAGGAGAGGGATTTTGCATTTACAGGCAGGGGAAGTGCAAGCTGTGCTAGAGAGACGTGCGCTGCCAAAAAGGTAGCTGGTAAACCATTAAATATTTCAATCAGGTTCTCAGAAAGTATCCCTAATCATCCAAATTTTGACTAGACCTGTGAAATAGCTGGTAAAACCTTATTTGACATTGGTTGGCTTGTTTGTTTTGGTTAACACACCTTGACTGAACTGAATAATTTCACAATAGGGTGTACATTGCGTCGTTTGGGTTGTCGGCAGGCCCCTAGATTCGTTTTGAGGTAGTCTGACGCCTCAGAGTACACCCCTCCTGGAACTCTGTCTGTCAGAGGTGCCTCAAAATTTTAGTCTGAAAATTCAGACAAGCACAACTTTTTTTGTCTGAACTGTCAGAGTTACCCTCAAATTTTAAGATGATGATGCAGTATCGTAAAAGCATATTTATAATAGCATTGAAGCTGATTACAGCATACCAACTCAACTGTGCGGTACGAACCAGTCAGGGTCGGCGGGTTTGCATCAGGCAACGTGCTCGTGCATCGCCTTGGTGCAGCGCATGGGTTGTTTCTGCTGATTAGATTTCGTTTCGTCGTGTGTCTGATTACCGTTTCGTACCCATTTTCTCGCCTGTGTGCCGATTTTGTCAATTTTGGATTTGCGTTTCAAGCGATGTAATCATTCACCCGATCTGGTTGTTGTCACGTACAGTGCCAGGTGGGCCAAGTGCCACGTAGCTGAGCTGGCAGCAGGCAGAAACTGTTGGTTGGCGTGGCGTGTGTGAGCATCTGGCAGTGCCGCACGAAACTTTCACTACGAATCAGGAGCTTCGCAATTTCACAGCAGTGCGTGCTGGTGCTGCAGATTTTTTTACAAAGAATCAGCATCAAAATCGCCAATTCTTTAAAATACATTAGCGATAACTTGCATGTGACGAGATTTTGTCTACGAAATCTCGTAATCACGCAACCATTTTCTTAGTGTAACTGGGAGATATTCTCGACGAACGAGTGTATTCGGATGTCCCAGCTGTTGAAGCGTGCGCTGCTCACGTCCTGGCACTCCACTGCCATCTCGGAAGTGGGCATATCGAAACGAAACTTCTAGGAAACTTCGTTTCGATAAGCTTGCAGAGTGCACCCCCGACACATGTCTGAGGCTCAGCCTACACCCCTAAAAATTGGCTGAAATTTCAGCGGTTCCAATAAAAAAAACTCTGAAAAATCAGAGAAGGTACATAAAAAAAAAACTTACAGTTCAGACCAGGTACAAAAAAAAGGTCTGAATGGACGCTGAATCAGCGTAAAAAGTCTGATATCTAGGGCACTGGTTGTCGGTATATCCATGCAATACCAGTTGCAGGCCTCTTGATATTAGGGTAAATCACCCTTATGGCCCTTACTATAAGGGCGTGTTCCTACGGCCCCTTATCAGGGCAACCTTTTATAAAGCTCGCTACTTTTCCCCCTGAAAATTCCCTAAACCCAAAAACCCTCACTACTTTTACCAGGCAAGGCTGACAAGAGGTTTGCCTGATAAGAGCGTAAGAACACGCCCTAAGAGTGGGTTTAGGTGTTCACCCTGATTTTACAGAGTTGTATTTTAGGGTGCCCTTATAATAAAAAGTGAATTTTTGTGTAAAACTGATATTTCAGATCGACCTGGTGTAATCGCCCTGATGACAACGAGTAGTGTTGGGTACCACCCTGATGCTATTTTTTAGGGGGGGAGGGGGGTGGGGGGGGGGGGGAGGGTGTCAGAATATTATCTTATGCTCTAGCCTGTAGTGGGGGTGCTCTATAGCAAGTACAACCCTTCTAGGGTTTGCTATTTGTATCCTCATTCTTGCTATTGCAATCCTCTTCTCTCTTCTAACTTTCACATGCTATCAGAGCAGGTCGATCCCCTTGGATCGATCCTGTGGGTGGGTTACCACCTCCTCGCTTCCGCTGCAACACCTACACTACTCTCTGAGCCGCACGCCCCGTGGCGTGCGGCACTTTTTCTTCCCGCTGTGCGCCACGAGGCGCGCGGCGGTTTTCGGCTCGCCGTGCGCCCCGAGGCGCGCGGCGGGCTTCTGCCCCGTCGTTTGCCGCGCCGCCCTCTGGAGGCGCCGCGACGGGCGACGGGGACCCACGCGTCGCCCCCTGTCGCCCGTCGTGGCCTGCGCGCGGCCCGTTCAGGGAGCGCGCGGCCCGTACGGGCTGCGCCAGTCCCGCGCGCCACCTGTACGGGCTGCGCCAGGCCTGCGCGCGGCCCGTAAGGGCTGCGCCAGTCCCGCACGCGGCCCGTACGGACGGCGCCAGGCCCGCGCGCGGCTTGGGCCGCCTGCGCGCGGCTCGGGCGTCTGCACCAGGCCCGTGGTGGGCCCCTTCCTCGATACCCCTGCACTCCCCGCTGTCCCCCCGTGCTTCTACTGGCGCCCCACTCCTCCTACACCCCATTCTCCTGAATTAGGGTTTGAGGGTGAGGGGTATGGGGGTGCCCTCATGGTGTGCCGTTCCCTGCTCCTCCTCCTGCTCCGTCTCGCTGTGCTGCAGCTGCCGCTGAAGGGGGGTGGAAGTGTTGGAGCCGGTGGAGTGGTACTAAGGGGGGGTGAAGGGGGAGTGGAGCTAGCGGTGTAGCAGCGGGTGTGTGCCAGGGGGAGTGGGATAGTTTGGGGAAGCTTCGTGGAGGTTGCCGTCGTGTCGCCAGCAGCACCTGTAGTCCGGGGAGTTGCTCCAGTAGCCCAGTCGTAGTCAGCTGTGCCAGCCGCCCGTGGGTCCATTGCTCGTCTGCCGCTACTTTAGCCGCGGGGCCAGTTACTCCAGTATTCCGGAGCGTTGTTCCGGTAGCCGCCGTGCCAGCGTGCCTCCTGTTGCCCGTGTGTCTGCAGCTTCAGCCGTCGCCTCCTTTCTCCTCTCCTCTGACTCTCTCTCCTCCTCCTCACGTGCCCGTTGTGACTACGACTAGCTTTGCTCATAGTTGTGAACTTTAAACTATTGCTTCTTGAACTTGTGCTCAGAATGTGTGGTGACATTGTGATCCACCCTGAGCTTGTACTGCTTTGCTTGCTCTGCTGATTACACCCCACTTTGGCTATGGGGGTGTGTCAGAATGTTATCTTATGCTCTAGCCTGTAGTGGGGTGCTTTATAGCGAGTACAACCCTTCTAGGGTTTGCTATTTGTATCCTCATTCTTGCTATTGCAATCCTCTTCTCTCTTCTAACTTTCACAGAGGGGTTGATTCACCGACGTGATTTCTGCCACGATTAGCGGCGATTTGCCCGAGTCACCAGAATTGCGCGTCGCCAAGACCGCCTGCGTCGCCACAGCTACAGTCCTGCAACCTGTACCCGTACCACATGCATTTTGCATGCCTGGCGGTGACACACAGCCCCACACAGGTGTGCATCATCCAGGAGAGTCCTACTTGGTCCCTTCCTCCCTCCCCACCAGACCCCCGCCCACCGACCAGCCGCTCTCACCCAACCCCAACCCAGTCAGTTCACTTTATTCATCCAGTTTTCCTCCTCGTGGTCTCGTCTAGGGTTTGCAGACCGCGCCTTCCTGCTGCTATTATAAGCATAGCTCCAGCATCTACCTCCAAGTCCCTCGTCATGGCTGTTGTCACCAGCGGTGAGGATGACGACGAGGCTCGTCGTCAGGTCCTGCACTCACCCTCATGAAAGGGCCTTCGCTTTTTAATAGTGCCTTCTAAGCGACTGCTTGAACCAGAGCCCGTCGTTGCCTCTACTGAGGCTGAGACCACGCTGGCTGAAGCGGGGCGTGACGTGCACCACGAAACCTGAACTGACACCACGAAAAGCACAACACATGTAATGGAGAATACCGCTGCTGCTCACAACTGTGTTGCCAAGAAGCTGAAATCTGGTTCGTGTTCGGCACGGCAGAAGTGGCGGCAGCAACCTAAGTCGAGTTTCACTCGCGGGGCTCATGCATACGGTAGCAATGTTCAATGCTGGCAAGAAGCGCCGCCCTGCTCAAGAGTTCCTATACCGTATTAACTTGTGCTCACTGCTAAGCTTATTCTGTCAGAACCATGCACGGGGGCTTTAGTTGCTCTGTTACTTAGTGCCATCTTTAATATGTAATCCACGCTTAAGTCTAAACATGAAAGGGTGAAAACAATGTGCACACTGATGAGCAAGAGTACCTTTCCAGCTGACACTGATAAAAAAGACTGACATGGCTGACCCACCCTTACTGAAAGACCAACTTCAGCGAACTGGCCTTGCGAGTAAGAGTGCCCCAAATCCTATCCAGAGGCCTGACCAGTTGCATTGCATGGGTGTGGCATTTGAGATCCACAACTTTATGCCGGCCACAGGTTGCATGGTAGGTGATGTGAATTTGGGCAACTGAGGAGGAGGTTGAGATGAGGGTTTCGGGTATTGCAGATGAACTAGCACCACTTTTTGTACAAGTTGTAGTTACTCGATGGTCCAAGTGTATCTATCCGCACTATTATGGCAATTTCTCAGCAACCTCTTCTCCACTGACAGATGTCTGCTGGCACCCCCTCCGGATCGCGATCAGTGCGGTTCGTACTGCCACACCGCACCTTGCGTTTCGCCCAGATTTGTGCGCCGCATTGCGTCGAATTGACGCCACGAGTGGGGTACTTGGCGCATGATGGAAATCCGCCCATTTCCTGGTGTTTCCAAACCAAACTACGGCATACCCAACTGGGTTCGCCTACTTCGCGTGGTTCCAACGATACTCGCATCCATCGCGAAATCCCAGTTACAGTGTTTCGCATACCTCTGCTGCACCATCCTCTCCCATCCTCCACCACGCCATTCACTGGAACATCACAGCACTGGAAACCCCACCTTGATCAGGGGCGCCCCTTATTTCTACTGGTGCTGCTGATCAGTGTGTTTCTGTTCATCAGAAATTGCGTCCAAGCCGCAATGGCTCCCGTAGTGCTGCCTCTGGTCAAACGGAGGGAAGGGTGCGTGTACTATACCGCGGTAATCTCAACCAAACATTCAGAGTGGCGAGGCACACGGCGGCATACAGCAACCACTCCCATCCCACCATACTCAATCAACATTGATTGGACAAATTACCAAAATATACTACTCAACCCCTTGCCTGCCACCGTGTGTGCTGAATACATTTTCGTCGCATGTCTGCGCTGACGCAGCAGTGAAGAGGCGACGTCAGTGGCTGCGCCACTGAGATGCCACGATTCGCGACTTGGATCAGCTCTCTCAACATGCTTTTCCCTAAGGCCTGTGCTTCATAGGCCCATGTGCTTTTCCTATGCTCTCCGTGATCGCGCCCATCGGTTCATAAGCTTTACATATAGAAAGCCAGCAAAATAGGCTCTAGGGATCGCTGTTCATAGAGACAGAGAAGGTATCGTCGCTCCTCGATTTCCTCGTTCTTATGCTTATTACAGATGCCAGCGCAAAACAGAGCGCCAGTGGTTGCTGTTCACGTCGGGACGAGAACAAGTTAAAGTACGTCATTGTAGAAGGGGTGCGGTTGCGCGATTTCGAGAATCCTTAAAATAGAGCCCTGTGTAAACCAGCAGATCGACAGCTCCACGAGTGACGTGTAGAGCAAATCAGCGGCAGGCCCGCGTCGTGACCTTCGAGTCGACTCAGAAGTCAGCTCCGCTCCCCATCGGTTTATCTGACAAGCTCCTATGATACGAGTGACTTCTCCGTCGTAAGAGTTATCAGCGGCGACGCCGCTTCGCTTCATTCGTTAACTCAGCACCTACTTTCATCTTTGTGCTACTCGCAGCGAGTTTTGTCAACCTCTCACAATCTCTCGCACTCTCTCTCGCGCTCTCTCGCGCTCTCTCGCGCTCTCTCGCGCTCTCTCGCGCTCTCTCGCGCTCTTCCGCGCTCTTCCGCGCTCTCTCGCGCTCTCTCGCGCTCTCTCGCGCTCTCTCGCGCTCTCTCGCGCTCTCTCGCGCTCTCTCGCGCTCTCTCGCGCTCTCTCGCTCTCTCTCGCGCTCTCTCGCTCTATCTCGCGCTTCATCGTTCCCTTCCGATCGCGATGATCCCTAGAGAGGGGCGGCCACAGCGGCCAATAGCTAGCACGTTCCGGCTACCCAAGCTTGTATCGCTCGTCCTAGTCTCCGCGCTCGTTCTCTCCGTTACAGAACGAACGCATGCAGGACGATTCTTGACGGGGAAGGGATCAAAAGGAGGGGATGGGACCAGTGGGTCGTCGTTGCGTATCCTAGACGAGGTGCTTATAGAGAAGGGCGTTGCGGATCTTGTAACGGTGCTCAATGATAAGGGGGATGATGAAAAAGAGAAGAAAAAGAAAGAGAAGGAGAAAGAGAAGAAGGAGAAAGAGAAGGAGAAGGAGAAAGAGAAGGAGAAGGAGAAAGAGAAGGAGAAGGAGCAGGAGAAGAAGGATAATGAGGAGAAGGCTAAGAAAGAAAAGGAGAAAAAAGACCAGGAGAAAAAAGACAAGGAAAAGCAGGACAAGGAAAAAGCGAGCAGTGACAAGACGAGCGATGATGGTGCGGGCGCTGCTAAACAAGTACCTGCTAAAGGGGAGGCTATTAAAGGGGATGCTGTCAAAGGCGATACTAAAAAAGATCCCAAGTCTGGTTCAACGGGACCGAAGGAGCAAGGTGCCGACAAGCCGCCACCTGCCGACGAGGCGTCAGGAAACGGCAAGGGGACAAAAGAGTCGCATCCTCTTTCGCCAAAAGAGTCGCTTGGTGAATCGCCAGACGCGCCTTCCAGCAACCAGTCGCAAGAGTCGCAGAAGTCGCAGGGAAGCTCGAAAAGGCCTGCGGCAACGCCGGAAAAGCCGCCTGCTAGCGAAGCAGCGTCGGGAGCGAAACCCGTCGATGGTGCCGGCGACGAGTCAGCGTCGAATACGGCACCGAATACGGCACCGATACCGGCACCTGAACCGGCGCCGAAACCTGCACCGGAACCGGCGTCGGAACCGACGCCGGACCCGCCGCCGGAGCCGGCGACAGAACCTATCCCAGCCGTAGATGGTGATTCCAATTCGAGTTCAGATGGCGGCGACGGTGGGGGCGAGGGAGAGGGTTCAGGGGACAACAGCAAGGGCGTGCAGGAGTGGCAGGATGACGGAAAAGTAGACGAGGGGCAAGGGACGGGCGGGACGGAAACCGCCGGGTTCAGGATGAAAGGCGTGAAGCGCGCCGATTCCGTGAAGCCCCAGAAGATCGACGGCTGGTTCGCCATCCACGATGGCTACAGTGGCGCGGCTTCGGCGCTTAAGGCGGCTGACGTAATCTTCTATGGCGACTCGCTCATAGAGGTACTATAGACACTATAGCGAGGGCTCCCTGTGTGATATTATTGAGATTTGAAATAGGAGGGCATTCCAGCAAGTCCAACTATATTGGAGGGCATTCCAGCTTTTGAGAATTCTCAAAAGTCACTCTGAAATAGGAGGGCATTCCAGCCAGTCCAAAATGGGTGCTGAAGTTGAGTTTCTTGACTCTCTGTGCAGGGATGGAGCGAGAAGTTTCTGGGAAGGCAGCTGGGACTCTACGCTGGTGTCAGGTACGTTGCAGAAACTTCTCTGTTGGTGCCGCCGGCGAAGTGTCTGACAAAGAGTGATGTCTCTAGCATTGGCATGCACCTGCATTGTGCGCGTTCTTATGTCTGCTGTTGTTACCTTGGCCAATTGTTGTCTAAGACACCTCAACCATGGTTTCTGCGCCTGCGTGCTGCTGCTGCTGCTGCTGCTGCTGCTGCTGCTGCTGCTGCTGCTGCTGCTGCTGCTGTTTCTGCTGCTGCTGCGTGTGGCTGCAGCGCCGTGTTTGATGCTCTCAAGGCGTCTCTCGGTGCGGGGAAGGAGGTGCGGGCGTTTGGGATTGCAGGCGACACAACGGATGACCTTATATGGAGGTTGGAGGTGCGGAATACCGTCTGTGTGTGTGTGTGTGTGTGTCTGTGTGTGTGTCTGTGTGTGTGTGTGTGTGTGCGTGTGTGTGTGTGTGTGTGTGTGTGTGTGCGCGCGCGTGTGTGTGTGTGTGTGTGTGTGCGCGCGCGCGTGTCTGTGTGTGTGTGTGTGTGGGTGTGTGGGTGTGTGTTACCTCCTTTCCTCCCTCCCTACCTTCCCCCACTCACGGCATCCATAACCAAATTGCCATCCCTGCCGAATGCCGAATAACCAAATTCCTCTCTCCCCACTTCTCACGCCGTGACCCCAACACCCAAGCAGAACGGCGAGCGCCCAGCCTCGCTCACCCTCACTCTAGCAGTGGTCTGCGTTGGCATTAACGACGTTTTTGAGTCTGTTACTAACGGTGGCGTGGACGCGCAGGCGATCGCTAGTAAGGTATGAAAAGAGGGTTATTTTTTTCTTGCCCTCATGAATGAAAATAAATACTATTGAACTAGTCGTTTAAATGAATGTTCTTGAGTTACAGTAACGTGTGTGCGTATGCATTACTGTACACAAGTTTCAAGTTGACTTGATTGTGAAAGTTGGTTGTATGCAAACACTACTTCCCTACTTCGACATCTGTGCGTTTCTTTGCAGGTTGGCGATGTGGTAACCGCAATTCGCGCGTCACAACCCACCACGAAAGTGCTCGTCCTTGGCCTGCTACCCGAGGTGAGCTTTCTGTCCAGCATTTTATGTTATCCATTCTAATCTGCCTTCAAAAGCATTAGGAGAAGCGATGCCAATTCAAGTAGCAGGAGCGTGTCATGTTGAGTGAGCGAGCAGTATTTAGGAGAAGAGCACAAGCCAACACACCAGATCCCCAGCTTTTAGAATCTCCCCCTTTTTCCACTCTCCCCCCCCTTCTCCCACCCTTGTCCACCCTCTGCCTCTGCACCCTCTCTCCAGGGGTACCTCTCCAAGCCAACAAAACCAGATCCTCAGTCAGGGCAAGTCAACGCCATTCTCACAATACCAACCTCTTTCACCCTCTTTTTCTGCACCCTCTCTCCAGGGGTACCTCTCCAAGTCAACGCAACCAGACCCGCAGCCAGGGCAAGTCAACGCTGTTCTAGCACAGTCAATTCCAGGTCAGCTGCTGGGAACAGTCTTGTCTTGAGTGGCAAGTCAACACCATTCCACTCTTTGAACCCACTCCACCCTCCACCCACTCCACCCTAAACACATTCATCAGCATTTCATACAGATACAGCATTTTTATCCTTTCCCTTTCTTTTCTTCCCCTGCCATGATGCAGATGACACGAGCACCTACTTTTTGGACTGTAAGGATGCGTTCCTTAACGAGGATGGCCTTCTGCTTGAAGACCACTATGTCAGCGTAAGCCTTTATCTGTTGGACGGATTACATAACTATATGTATTAACTATCTCTGAACAACAGGAGCGCATAGACAAAGTCGTACGGTGCTCGGCTGTTGAGGCGCCTCAAAAGTCGTATGGTGCTCGGCTGTGATGAATGAGTTGCCTGAAAATCTGCACACTGTAATGGAAAGTCTACGTAGTGCGGCGTGGTACAAAGGGTTGGACGGGTTAAATAGCACGCATCGCAATAGTTGACAGCTGTTCCTATCCGCTCTTCCACCTCGTCCCTCCTTGCTCTCATTCCTCCTCTCCCCCTCTCCTCTCCCCCTTTCCCCCTTTCTCGCCCTCGCACAGGACTCCTTCCAGCGCCTGCACCTGTCAGCAGCAGGCTACGGCGCATGGGCCAGATGCATCGCCCCGCAGGCCCAGGCCATGCTCGGGTAGGTCCAGCGCTTGGTTGTTTCCCACAGCTGCACTCAACTGTATCACCTTGAAGAATCCCCAGCAGCGACGCATGGGCCATATGCATCGCCACGCAGGCCCAGGCCATGCTCGGGTAGGTCCAGCGCATGGTTGTTTCCCACAGCTGCACTCAACTGTATCACCTTGAAGAATCCCCAGCAGCGATGTATGGGCCATATGCATCGCCACGCAGGCCCAGGCCATGCTCGGGTAGGTCCAGCGCTTGGCTGTTTCCCACAGCTGCACTCAACTGTATCACCTTGAATAATCCCCAGCAGCGACGCATGGGCCATATGCATCGTCACGCAGGCCCAGGCCATGCTCGGGTAGGTCCAGCGCATGGTTGTTTCCCACAGCTGCACTCAACTGTATCACCTTGAAGAATCCCCAGCAGCGACGCATGGGCCATATGCATCGCCACGCAGGCCCAGGCCATGCTCGGGTAGGTCCAGCGCATGGTTGTTTCCCACAGCTGCACTCAACTGTATCACATTGAAGAATCCCCAGCAGCGACGCATGGGCCAGATGCATCGCCCCGCAGGCCCAGGCCATCCTCGGGTAGGTCCAGCGCTTGGTTGTTTCCCACAGCTGCACTCAACTGTATCACCTTGAAGAATCCCCAGCAGCGACGCATGGGCCAGATGCATCGCCCCGCAGGCCCAGGCCATCCTCGGGTAAGACCGTCCACTGTCTAGCATACGAGAAACGGGCTTCTAAACGATAACGAGTCAGCAGCAGGCTACAAAGCGTGGGCCAGATGCATCTCCCTGCAGGCTCAGGCTATCCTCGGGTAATTCCTCGTGTAAAGACTGGTATTGAAAGAAAGGAAAAAGAAAGTGATGTGGCCTAGCCAGATGCATCGCCACACTGGCAGAGGCTATCCACAGGTAAGTCCTCGTGTAGAGATTGGCACCCCTCTCTTTGCTTCATCCCTTCTCATCTGGTTGTTTCATCCCTCGATTCCTCCTCCTTCTCTACCGCCCTTCAGCGAGAAGCCTTTAGGCCTGCCTGTGGCATCATCTCCCGACCAGGGTGGCGGCAGCAGGTCGACAAGGCAATAGCAGCAGCCTCCCCATGTCTGTTCTTCTCTGCTAGCCTCATTTTTTAGGCGCCTAAAAAAATCCGCGTGCGTTGAGACGATTTTTGAGGCGCCTAAAAAAATCCGCGTGCGTTGAGACGATTTTTGAGGCGCCTAAAAAATCAAGGTAATAGCAGCAGCCTCACCATGTCTGTTCTTCTCAGCTAGCCTCATCTGAGTTTCTCGCCTTGCCTTCTTCCCTCCCCCCCTACTGCCCTTCAGGGAGAAGCCTGTAGGTCTGCCTGTGGCATCATCTCCCGACCAGGGTGGTGGCAGCAGCCTCAACGGCCCTTCTGGTGAATCTCCTCCTTCGCTCCCCTCCTCTTCTCCCTCCTCACCCTCCTCTCCTTCATCCCCTTCATCTCCTTCCTCTCCCTCACCTTCTGACTCCTCTCCACCCTCTGCATCATCGCCTCCCTCATCCCCCTCACCTTCTTCTCCCTCCACTTCTCCTTCCTCTCCCTCCACTGCGCCCTCATCTCCCTCCACTTCTCCTCCCACCACCAATACCTCCTCCCCTGACCCTGCTTCCCCCCCCAAATCTCCTGACTCGGACAAGAAACCACCCACAACAACCGATCCCCTCCCCACACCCCCATCCCCCTCCACCAATCCCCCTGATCCCTCCAACTCAACTACCCCTAAAGAACCTTCCTCCCCTTCACCTCCTCCCAAAGAACCTTCCAAAGAACCTTCCAAAGGACCTTCCAAAGTGCCTTCCTCTCCTGCTCTCACCCCCCAAAATAGCTCCTACCCGACTCTCCCAGGAGAAATACCCGCCACCCTCACGCCCATTCCTTCCTCCTCCTCTCCAACCCCCCCCACCTCCACCTCCGCTCCGATACCCCCCACCTCTGCTCCAACCCCCCCCACCTCCGTTCCAACCCCCTCCACCTCTGCTCCTCAAACCCCTGTTTTGGAAACAAACAATACCATGTCTCCTAAAAAAGAATCATCAACAGGGGGTGCTGATGGTGCTGGCTCTGGTGCTGGCGACTCAACAACGGGCAACGGTGCTGCTGGTTCTGCTGCTGCTGGTGCAGGTGCTGCTGGTGCTGCTGGTGCCGGTGCTGCTGGTGTTGGGTCTGGTGTTGCTGCTGCTAGTGGTGGTTCGGCCATCCCTACAGGGCAAAGCCCAACAAAAGCAGCAGCAGGAGCTGTAGCTAGCAGGTGGCAGCTGCTGATTGGTTCCTTCCTGGGCCTCGCTTGTACTTTATTCTTGGGGGTGTGGTGATGGGCGGAACCAATGGAAGGCTGAGCAGCAGGAGCTGCAGCTAGCTTTGGCGGGGTTTTCCTCTAGGTGGCAACTGCTGACAGCTAGCACCCAGCTTAGACCCCCGGGGTTTTTCTCTAGGCCGTGCTCTCCCGTGTTGTGATGTGTTATATAGAAGGATTTAGTGCTGTGCAAGTTAGCTCCTTGGTGCATTGTAATGTAAGGCATTGTAAGTAATGAAGCCCCTTGTCTCTTGGCAAAAGCCGTGTTGTGTACTGAGTGGATATTCTCCTCATGCCCAAGGCCTGCAACTTGGAACAATGTTGGTGCCATTAGTGCTCATTTCTGTCTGATGATGGATCATAGTTGGAGGAGACTTGGTGTCATTTGAGGTGCTCAAAGTTGCTCCGCTGATAAGCTGACTCTACTAGTACGCTGTCTTAAGTTTAATTGAAACTAGAACAGTGGAGAAATGGTGGAATGGCTAGTATTTATGAATATGTTGAGGCTTCCAATCTCTGAAGTGAAGAGTTGACACGAATTTTTCCAAACTTAAAAGATGTCCGAATATCCTCCTTTCATGTGGATAATTATGGCATGATCGTAGGAGTTTCATATGGGCTGGTATGCATCAAGCACAAAGTTTTGAGTTGCGTGTAATTAGGCGAAGGTATCTCACCATTCATGAATGATACTACCTATCGGGGATACTCTCGAGGTTGAAATCTTGTCCCACGGGAAGCCCAAGGCCCGACGTGTAAATCCAGGCCGTGGATCCTACCTAGGGTTTCTCTCGAGCGAGGATGCTAGCCTCATTAGCTGGAAGTATTTTGGGTCAACTAACTTCGTTGTATTAGCACGCTACTATCTTCCGTTTTTCGTTAGCACGACCTTACGCCGACCTCGAAGCCTCCGTTTTCGAGTGCGAAGGAGGTTTATGCGCGATGCAGAGACGTTCCGCGTCACAGGTACGAGCGGTCTCGGTCAAGATTATCAACCTGTGATTGGCATCGTCAGGTTTTGTGTAAGCTTAGGATTTCAACGCAGCTGTCAATATTCACTCCATCTCGGGTTTCAGCGGCCTTGGTAGAGGTAAATCAAGTCTATGCCTGGCGTCGACGTTAAATGCGTTACGTTAAGAACTTGTCGCTGGTATCAACGGGTATCAGCAATATTTTTTTGCCTCTTCCTTGTCGTTGTCATTGCCAAGGCATCTTGAAATTATGTCACTGCTCCTCTTTTTTTTTTTTTTTACCCACCCTGGTTCATCAACCGGCCAGGATGATCGTCATTTCTCCTTCTCGTTGCCTCCCCCTTTTCTTCACCAGGATGACAATCACGTCGATCGGGACCGGTGGGATCGAGAGCGGGACCGGGACCGGGATTGGGACTGGGACAGGGAGCGCGATCGGGACCGAGACAGGGAGCGGGATAGGGATAGGGATAGAGATAGGGTAAGAGAAAGGGACCGAGACAAGGACTGGGAAGGGGACAAGGAGAGGGATCGTGGTGAGAGGGAACGAGATCGGGACTTGAGGGAGAGAGATTCAGACCGAGAGAGGGACAGGGAGACTAGCCGGGAGAGGGAAAGGGAGCGAGAAAGGGACAGAGATAATGACTGGGACAGGGACAGGGACAGGGACAGAGACAGGGAGAAGGATGGGGAGAGAGACGTTGGTGGGGTAGAGAAGAGCGAAAACAGGGATTCGGGTCAAGAAGGGGATAAGCAGCAGCAGTTGCCCCTTGATGAGTTCTTACAGTCCCAGCTAAAAGAGCAGCAGCAGCAGCAACGGCTGGAACGCGAGAGAGAGCTTGAGTTGGAGCGGCAGCAGCGGATGAAAACGGAAGGAGGTGGAGGGGGAGGGGGAAGAGGAGGGGGTGGAGGAGCGGTAGGAGGAGGGGAGGGAAGGGGAGGGGGAGGAGGGGGAGCGGGAGAAGCAGGGAAGAGCAAGGGGCCTCGAGAAGCGAGACAGCTGTGGGTGGGCAACGTGACTCAAGATGTTACCGAGCGCGAGTTGTCAGACGCGTTTGGCCGCTTCGGCCAGGTGGAAGGCCTCGCGATTCTCTACCAGAGGGAGTTTGCTTACGTGGACATGGCCACGTCAGCACAGGCCAGCGAGGCGAGGCGGGTGCTGGCGGGGAAGCCGCTGCGTCCGGGCCTGCTGCCGCTGAAAGTAGAATTCGCTTATGCCAAGGGGTCAACGGCGGGCGGAGGGGCACCACAAGTAAGTTGCCTCGGGTAATCTCAGTATACTCTGTGCTCGGGTCAACTGCACTGGTTGGAGGGCAATACAGCGGCAGCTGGGCCTGTTGGCTCTCTACTCGAGCTTATGTACATCCCTTTCCTTTGCTCCCCTGGCCTCGGCACTGCAGCCGCCACCACCAGCCAGTCAGCCCAAGGAGAAGGAGAGGTTGCGAGCAACGGGGGTGCGGAGGGTGGTGTGGGTGGGGTGGGGCCCGGCACACGTGGTCCCCGAGGAGATCGACGCGGAGTTCCTGCGCTTCGGGCCCATCGAGGACCTGCGCTTCCACCCCGACCGCGCCTGCCTGCTGCCTCTCTCGGACTGCCTTCTAAGGGACATGCACTGCACTGGCAGCTGGGGCTGTTGTACCATACTCAATCCTTGAGCTTCTTTTTTCTGCCTTCCCTTCACTGCTCTCTCCCCTGCAGCCGCCGCCAGCCAGCCAACCGAAGGAGAAGGAGCGGGAGCGGCCGAGGGGGCCGGGGGTGCGGAGGGTGGTGTGGGTGGGGTGGGGGCCGGCGCACGTGGTCCCTGAGGAGATCGACGCGGAGTTCCGGCGCTTCGGCCCCATCGAGGACCTGCGCTTCCACCCCGACCGCGCCTGTGCGTTTGTCGACTACCGCTTTGAGGACGACGCCCAGGCCGCCGTGGCATCCATCAACAACGTCCGCACGCGCGACGGAGGGGTGTTTCGCGTGGAGTTTGCGAAATCGGGCCCTCATGCCGGGGGAGGAGGGGGTGGTGGCGGTGGCGGCGGCGGTGGTGGTGGTGGTAGAGGTGGTGGTGGTGGTGGTGGGGGGAGTGGGGACGGGTCTCCAAGCGAGATTCTCTGGGTGGGGTTTCCGAGCACGCTCACAGTCACAGAGGAGCGGCTTCACGCGGCCTTCTCCCAGCATGGGCAGATTCGGCGCATCAAGACGTTCCCGGGGCGCACGTACGCGTTTGTGGAGATGGGCACGTGCGAGCAGGCGACCAATGCGATCCGCGCATTGGACCACGTTCTGTTTAACGATGAGCGCGTGCACATCCGGTACTCGAAAAGCGAGTTCGCGTTCATGCATGCCGCAGACCCGCCCTTCTCCTCCCCTGCTGCTGCCGCTGCAGCAGGAGTTGCAGGTGGGGAGGCGGTTGGTGAGAGGGGCAGGCAGGGAGGCGGGCCGGGCGGGCCCGGCGGTGGGGGGGTGTCTGGTGGTCCGTACGAGGTGGACAGGGGGTTTGGGGGGGATAGGGAGTATGGGCGGGGGAGAGGGAGGGGGAAGGGGAAGGGGAGGGGGAGGGTGAGGGGGGGAAGAGGAGGGAGGGGTAGGGGAGAGTGGGAGGAGCGGGATGGTGATGGGGCTTGGGAGTCGCCTCCTCGTGGGCCAGACAGAGGGGGGAGAGGTGGGGGGAGAGGAGGGGGGCGAGGAGGGGGGCGAGGCTGGGCTGATAGGGATTGGGAGAGGGAGAGGGAGCAGGAGGAGTGGGATAGGGGTAGGGAGAGGGACTGGGAGAGAGACGATAGGGATTGGCGGGACGAGCGTGATGGGAGGGACGGGTGGGACGAGAGGGACGGGTGGGACGAGAGGGACGAGAGGGACGAGAGGGAGTGGCAGCGGGGGTATGACTCCAAGCGTCCACGAGTGGACGGCCAGTTTGACCCTGAGAACCACAGCCGCTACTACGATGAACGTGATGGGGGCCCTCTGCCACCTCCTCATGGTCCATCTCTTGATTCTTATCCTCCTCCGCATGACCCTCATGGGCCACATGGGCCTTCCAAACATGCCCCCCCCAGCCGCAGAAGCAGCGGCTGGGATGTTGTCGTGCCTCCAGCTGCCTCTCCTGCTGTTTCTGTTGGTTCCGCTGCCACCAGACCTCCCATCCCGGGCCGTCCGGGCTTGCCTGGTCTGGCCCCCGGCTCCGTAGCTCCTCCCGGACCTGGAGGACTGGCTCGGGCGGTTGGGGCTGCGGGTGGTCCGGGATCGCATTGGAAGGGGACGTTGGCCAAGGGGGGGATTCTCGTGTGCCATGCGCGGGCGATCCCCATCGGTCCCGGCATCTCTGCACCCATGTATGTGGTCAGCTCAGCACACACAGAAACCCGGCAAATTCGTGTGTTCTTGTTTTCCTCTTTTTTTTCTTTCTTTCTTTCTTTTTCTTTTTTGCTATAATGTCCAAAAAACCCCGCCATCACGGCTGGTTTCTGCACTCTTGCTCCCTGACCCCAGGCCAGACGTGCTGAGCTGCTCGGCACGCACGGAGCTAGACACGCTAGCACCTCCCTTCCTTTCCTCCCCTCGCTCCCTCTTGTTCCCTCCCCTTTTTTCCTCTCCTTCCTCCTCCACCCACCCTCCCTACCCCCAGGCCGGACGTGCTGAACTGCTTGGCGCGCACGGAGCTAGACACACTAGCGAAGCACATGCGGGCAGCAGCGGATTTCGGAGTGGTGGCCATCATCCTCGAGGCACAGCCGGACGTGCCGCCCTATCACCACCTCGTGCAGTACCTGGGGGAGAAGCAAGCGCCCTCTCATCCTGCTCCGCTCACTCCCACTCTCTCTCCCCTCCTCCCTCCTACTCCAGGCCTGATGTGCTGAACTGCTCGGCGCGCACAGAATTGGACACTCTAGCAAAGCACGTGCGCGCAGCAGCGGATTTCGGAGTGGTGGCCATCATCCCCGAGGCACAGCCGGACGTCCCTCCTTACCACGACCTCGTGCAGTACCTGGGGGAGAAGCGCCGCGCGGGGGTAGCCAAGCTGCCTGACGGCTCTACGCTCTTCCTCGTCCCGCCCTCCGACTTTGCCGTTTCTGTTCTCCAAGTGCCCAGAAACGACTCCCTCTTTGGCGTTTACCTCACCGTCGCTGCTCCTGCCGCTCCTGCTGCTCCTCCTCCCGCTCTTCCCGGTACTTCTGCTGTTCCCGGTGTTCTCGCTCCGCCTGCGCTTTCCTCCGGTCCTGCTCTGCCGGCAGGCGCTGCTGCTGCATCTGCAGCTGCTGGGATGTTGCCAGCTGGGATGTTGCAAGGTGCCCCACCAGGGCTGGTTTCTCCCGGTCCTCTTCCTCAGATGCCCCCGCTTCCTCTCCCGCACGCAGGGCTGATGCCCCAAGGGCAACCGGGGAGACCTCCTTTGCCTCCCAATCAACAGATACAGGGTCAGCAGCAGCAGCAGCTGCAAGCTGGAGCCTCGTCGTTTAGGTGGCAGCAGCAGCAGCAGCAGCAGCAGGGAGGGGGAGTAGGCGTGTCCACCCAGCCTCTTTCCCCTCCCCAGAGACCTTTGCAAGCACCAATGCACCCATCCGCGGTTCCTATGCCTCGTGCCCCTGGCGCTGGTCCTGGGTTACCGCCTGGTTACCAGCCTCCCTCCTTCACACCTCCGGCCCCTCCCAATGCCCGTGCTTCTACCTCCCCCATCCCACCTGCGGCTCTTCAGCTGATCCGCCCCCCTGTGGGAGTTGGAAGCACTGAGGAAGCAGCAGCAGGGGCAGGGGCAGGGGCAGGGGCAGGGCAGGGTGCGACAGGAGCAGGCTTTTCTGGGGCGGGTTTACCTGCTGGGATCACCCCAGAGCTCCTGGCGTCTCTGTCGTCTCTTCTTCCCAAGCTGAACGTTCCGGCTGCCACTGGCAGCACTGCTGCCGCTCCTGGAAATGCCTCTGCTCCTGCCACTGCACCTGGTCCCGGCATGGGTATGGGTGTTCCCCCCACTGGCGCAGGCATGGGTGGGATGAAAAGGGATTTCTCAGCAACGCCCCCGCTCCCCCCTGCTCCTCCAACCGCGGGGCAGTTTAACCAGAGGCCTCCCGGCCCTCCTCTTCCACCCCTCCCTCCCCAGCAGCAGCAGCAGCGGCAGCAGCAGGTGGTGTCAACCCCTCAGTTCACCCCAGAGCAGCTGGCTCAGCTAAGTAAACTGCTGGGACAGCAGCAGCCACAGCCGCTGCCGCAGCAGCCTCCCCAATCTGTGCAGCAGCAGCAGCAGCAGCAGCAGCAGGCACCGCAGCAGCACATACCGCAAATACCACAGGACCAGCCGTCTGCGAGCCAGGGTGGTCAGTGGCAGGGCAATCGGCCTAGCAGGTGGAACCCCCCTCAAGACAGCCACACCCCACAGGGAAACCCTTCAGGTGCTTCTTCAGGTGCCGTTTCAGGTGCGCCCTCAGGGGTCCCTCTAACCCCATGTGCTCCTTCTGCACCCTTTCCTGGTGCCGGTTTCGCTGGGCCTGCACCCAGAGGGCCCTTTCAAGGACCGCCACTGCCCCCGCCACAACAGCAGCCACAGCAGCAGTGGCGGCAGCAGCAGCAGCAGATGCAGCAGCAACCACAGCAGCAGCAGCAGCAGCAGCAGCAGCAGGTGCAAGGACAGGTGGATGGTTCTGGCTATGGTGGTGGCATGAGGGGCCAGGGGTTTGGTGATCGCAGCAGCATGAGTGGGGGCGGTGGTCCTCCTGGTGGTGCTGCTGCTTGGGGTGGCATGACCTCCGCTGGAACTGGTTCTGGTGCTGGTGGTGGTGGTGGTGGTCCTTCAGGTTTTGGTAGTGGTGGTGGTGGCGCTGCTGGTGGTGCTGGTGGTGTTGCGGCCTCGTTTTCCCCTCAATGGGGTCAGCAGGGGCCTTCTGCACCTTTACCTCCTCAGCAACCTCTCTACCAGCAGCAGCAGGCAGCTGGTGGTTACGGACCAGGTTCAGGGGTTTTTTCAGGTGGTTTCTCAGGTGGTCCTGGTGGCTCAGGTGGCAGCATGGGAGTTCCAGCAACAGCAGCAGCCGTGGCAGCAGTAACAGCAGCAGCAGGTGGAGGAGGGGGAGGGGGAGCAGGTGGAGGAGGGGGAGGAGGAGGTGGTGGTGGTGGAGTGGCAGGGGGAGGTATTGACATGCAGGATGAGAGGTTCAAGGCGACTCTGCAGCTTGCATCACAACTGCTGCAGCAGATGAAACAGCAGCAGCAGCAGCAGCAATAGTGGCCTTCCTGCCGCATCCATTCATTCAATCATTGCTGCTGGTAAGTCGATTGTCTGTTCGCCGTCCTGTGTTCTTCTGCTTATGCACTTCTTTACCCCACCTTTTCCCTAGCTCGTCCATTCTCTCTCTTCAATCCCTCTTGCCCTTTGCTGCTCTTCTCAACATCCCCCAGTCAGTTATCGAAGCAGTGTCCTGGAGTGAAGTATGCTTGAGTCCTTGGTTTCCCGTGCAGCCGGGTGCACATGCAAGCCCAGGTGCTGAGTAGTTGCGGCAAGCAGTGATGTGGGCTGTTGTTGTGTGTCCACATGCAAGCGTGCATGTGTGCGAGCATACGCGCCTGTGTGTGTGTGTGTGTGTGTGTGTGTGTGTGTGTGTGTGTGTGTGTGTGTGTGTGTGTTCCTGTGTGTGTGTGCTTGCGTGTGTGTGCCTGCGTGTGTGTACCTGTGTGTGTGTTTGTGCCTGTGTGTGTGTGTGTGTGCCTGTGTGTGTGTGCCTGTGTGTGTGTGTATGTGTGTGTGTGCCTATGTGTGTGTGTGTCTGTGTGTGTGTGTCTGTGTGTGTGTGTCTGTGTCTGTGCCTCTGTGTGTGTGTGTGTGTGTGTGTGCATGTGTGTGTGTGTGTGGTATCCATGTGTGTGTGTGTGCCTGTGTGTGTGTGTGTGTGTGTGTGTGTGTCTGTGTCTGTGGTATCCATGTGTGTGTGTGTGTATGCTTGTCAGTGCGCCTCGCTTCTCTTGCACATGCAGACCCCTGCTTATGTGCAGAGTGGCGGGGAGTGATGTGAGGAGCGGGATTAAAGGCAAAGTGAGGAGGGTGAGAGAGTGAGTGTTTGAGAGCGAAAGAGGGAGAGAAAGAGAGATTGAGTGAGAGAGAGGGAGCGATGGAGGGAGAGGGAGTGAGGAAGAGAGAGAGGTGAGAGGTGAGATAAAGGAGTAGGAGAGAGTGAGAGAGAGTGAGTGAGCGAGGGGTGTGGGTGACGAGATGGAGGGGCTGGAGAAACAAAAGCTTACCACCAGGTAACAGCAAGCTAGGCAGCCCATCAGATTAGAGAGGCAGCTTACAGGGGCGGTTGCCACTGCAGCTGCAAAGCACGGCATGCACGCGCAGGCATTGGCATGGGCCGTGTGACACAGGCAATCAAAGGCACAGTAGCCAGTAGGTAAATAGCCCTGCAGCTGTGGCTTGGGATGCAAGCACATGCTCATAAGGCTCTGCAACCCACCTGCTTACCCTAAGCTCAGTTGAGACTCAAACCGGCCAGGATGCTCGTGGGTTCCGTCCAGTCCCATGCACCACTCGAGCAGGGTTGTGAATCCTCAAGTGGCAGGCTGCTCTGCATGGGAGTTTCGGGGCGTCTCAAAGTATTGTGCTGCACTTGAAGCAGCTTTGGCGGCACTGCTTAAGCCACTCTGCGTTGGCTCCTGCTCAGGCTGAGACATCTCCACAGCCACACCGCACCAGTCGTCACCTGCATCGCCTACTGACCAGGCCAGCTGCGTGCCAGTGCACCTGCATTTTATGCCACTCGCGGCGAGTCACCTGCATCTCAGTGCCCTGCCCACTGCACTAACTGCACTACTGCAAGACCTGCCACACCCTATATCCGTGCCTCGTTGCATCTCCTCCAAGCCTCGTGCGCCTCAGTGTTTCCCTGCCTCGGTGCCGCAGCAGATTCTTAGAGCTGCAGCCTTCCACACAGCCTGCCCGGTGCCTGCCACAGCCCTGCTCCACGTGCGTGCGACTCGTCCTGATCTGATCCACACGTCCTCACGCACTCACTGGCATGCACCGCGATCCAGTCTGACAGAGCGCACGTTCCGACAGAGCGCACATGATGCAGGCGAAGCTGCGCCCACCTGACGATGGCATGTGATACACCATGTCTGCCCCTCCTGACCATTTCCTGATCTCCCAGGCATTCAGTCGATCCGCAGCAAGTCAACAGCAGCAGGAGTGCTGCTATAGTTCAGCAGCAGTAGCGTGCACAGTGTGCAATGTATGCACTCAACCCATACATCCATTCGGCAGCATACGGGACGCATAGTGCAGCAGCGGGAGACGTTTCAGTGCATAGGCGCTAGGAAAACAGGGTTACAGGGTTACACACAACAGGGCAGCTGGCCTCGCTGCACAAACACAGGGCTAATGAGCAAAACAGGGTGGAGCTGAACTGAGCTGCTGCGTCAGGGAAATCCTCCGGAGCATATTTTATGGGAAGCCTTTTGGAAGCAGTTTCAAGTCTGGGTGCCTGGGCAGAAGGATAGATTCGAGGTGCTGCTAAGGGATGGCTTTTAACGGACACAGCTTGCGGCTTCTGGCTCCCATGGCTGTTATTTGTGGGAGGGATGACCTGGCTTGCTCCTCCGGGCTGGTCTCTTCTAGACAGCAGGACATTCCTCGCTGGCCGCTCACGCTCAAGACGGAAGCTTAGGCACGATGCAGTGCAGTGTTATCCCTGCTCCTTGCACATCTTGTGAAGCGAGTTAGGTGATGCAAGTGAAGCTAAGCAGCAGGATGAATTGGGGACTGCATTATATGGTGCGAGAGAGTGATGAAAGAAGGGAAGAAGGATAAGAGTTTCTTTCTCTTCACCACCTTTGTGTGCTTCTTTATGCAGGTCAATAAACAGGGTCAATTCGGAGTGGCGTTTTGGGAGGAGTAAACCTTCCATGCCAGACGCACTTGGGAGTGGTGGTGTTCAAGGCTTCGGACAAGACATGAACAGCTGAGAGCATTTTTTCATTATCGGGGCGCGCTTGCGTTCTGCAGTCCTTTTACCACATGATGAGGCCTGCCCATTACAGAATCATTAGGCTGAAAAGGTAGACAAATAACTAACTATTACATGTAACGAATCCAAAATGCTGGAATTTTGGAGTCATCAAAACCATAGAAACTAGCTCGATGTACCTGCATATAGTGTCTGGTTTTTATCGAAGCAGGCGCAAGATCGACCAATGAACGTGGGAGCTTTACAAGTATCTGGGAACACAAATCGGCGACTGCACGATCATGCTTCGACACATCTGAACCGTTGGAATCTTACATTTGACGAATCAGTATGCGTGTCAGGCCTCGGTGGAAAGCGGTAACAGAAGCATGCAGCGCGGCAATTTCAAGAATGGCAATGGCGAATTTCAGGGATGACAGGAATCTGGCCAGCACATAAAAGCCTGCTGTCTTTTATCCAGCTCAGTAGAGCGACGCGTCTTGCTCAACGCTACTTCTCATCAGTGCTTTGATGGGTCGCCCTGGGGCGAGGCGCCTAATTGAGCTGCTGTCAGCTTAATCGTTTTTCGCGAATAAGTGACAATGTTTCGCGGAAAAAAGCTCCAAGCAGATTATGGCTCACTTCGATTGCACGCTGAGAGCGTGATGAGAGGATTTTCAGGGTTGCTTTCGGTTTTCCAATCTTAGTGTCACATAGTAGTTTTATTAGTGGATCCGGATTGCGCAGGGCTAACTCGTTACCTTTGCCTTTTTTACCGCCACGTTACTACGCGTCCAAGCAGCCTTAGCTGAGGATGACATTCATCTTCATCATCGCCTGAATCATCTCCGTTTTAATACATTTGAGTTGTCTTCCTTAAGTAAGCGTCTGTAGGCGCATCATTAGATCAGCTACTGGATGATGATGTGAGCCTCCATACTCGCTATTATCATAACCGCCAGGATGGCACTGGACTCTTATATCGCGAAACTTCTCCGTCAGAAGCTATGTGAGCTTCTCCCGTTGCAGCCAATCCGTCCAGATGCCGTCCGAGCGAGCATCCTCAACGGTTCAGTGCACCTGTCCGAAGCCCTGGCCTGTCCAGATTCATTGAACCGGGAGTGGCTGGGGGAGGATAGTTCCCTGCTCGTGTCCGCTGCACATGTTGGGTCGGTGAGGCTGGAGATTCGGCTGCTGGGCTTGGCGCACGTCAGACTGATCGTCAGCGGCCTCCATGTCTCCCTAGTGCCTAGGTCAGTGCCTTCTCACACGTGAGTAAATTCCATCCACTTTGGCCCATTTCGGCTGCTGGGCTCGGCGCACGTCAGACTGATCGTCAGCCGCCTCCATGTCTCCTTAGAGCCGAGGTCAGTGCCTTCTCACACGTGACTAAATTCCATCCACTTTGGCTCATGAAGGGGAGACGTGGCTGCTGGAACCTTCGCCCGTCAGATTCATGGTCAGCGGCCTTCGTGTCTCCTTAGTGCGGATATGAGTGCCTTGTATGTGTTCATGCCTCATACGAAACTGCTCGTCCTGTCGTCTCATCCTACGCCAAGCCATCCTCCTTGCCCCTTCCCCCACCTCCCTGCAACTGCATCAGGCCCGTTTGCAAGACACAGGTAGATGGCAGGAAAGCACATGAGCAACAGAAAGCGGCAGTGGCGGGTATGGAGAAGGCAGAGAATGTGGAATCCAGTGGGGATGCATCATTGGATCAGCAGGTCGCTGTACTGGACCCTGAGGTAAGTTGGGCTTTATTTGCAACGAATTGCACGAGCTGCAGGAGGTTGCGGTGGGTGCGGAAATAGTAGAGGATGGGGCACGCAGTGGGGATGTATCAGTGGATCAGCAGGTCGTTCTGCTGGACCCCCTAAGGTAAGTCGGGCTTTGTTTGCAAGCTGAGTTGACTTTTGAGTCGACTCATAAGTCAACTTGTATCAGTGGACCAGCAGGTCATTCTGCTGGACCCCCTAAGGTAAGTCGGGCTTTGTTTGCAAGCTGCGCATCTGATTTTGAGATGCCTCTGCTTTCACTCCCAGCCCAGGCAACCATGTTCTTCCCCTCTGGTCCTCTTACCACTCTGCCATCCCTTACTCCATACCTGCATGCATCCATGTGTCCATTTCAAAGGTCATCCCTTCATGCTTCTTCCGTCCTCCTTTCCTCTCTCACGCTTCTTCCTTCCTCCTTTCCTCTCTCACGCTTCTTCCGTCCTCCTTTCCTCTCTCACGCTTCTTCCGTCCTCCTTTCCTCTCTCACGCTTCTTCCGTCCTCCTTTCCTCTCTCACGCTTCTTCCGTCCTCCTTTCCTCTCTCACGCTTCTTCCGTCCTCCTTTCCTCTCTCACGCTTCTTTCTTCCTCTTCAGGGAGCAAGCCTGCACGAGGCCATCAAGCGCCACGTGGCGCAGCGCCATTCGCCCTTCTCGTTCTCCCATTGGCTGGGCCAACAGCTGGCGTCGTGGGTGCGTGTGGAGCTCCACGACGTGTGCCTGCGCCTGCACCTGCACGCACAAATGCCACCCACACCCTCATACCACCAGTGCACGTGCCGTTCCTGCTGTAAGGGCAAGCGCGTTCAGCCAATGGAGGAGGCGAGCGATGACGAGAGCAGAAAGGAAGAGACGGAGCAGTGTGTGAAAAGGGAGGGATATGGAGGGGGTCACGGGCAGAGGATACAGGGCATGGGCCAGCATGGAATGAGAGGTGGCACTGGTGCTGCCGCTCCTTGTGTGACTGTGACTGGTGAGACTGCTGCTGCACCTGCTGCCTGCTGCCTTGGCCTTGAAAGGTTGGTGCTGTCGTGTCAACAGTCCTGCTCTGCAGGTGACAGGAGGCATTCAGTAGAGGGTGAGGCAGTCCCAGGTGGTTGGGCAGGCGCAGGCACGGCAGTTGATGCAGGGGTTGAGGTGGGCGCAGGGAGAGACGCTGGTGGAAGGGAGGCGGACGGGCACAGCACTTGGGGCGATGGGGGTGCAAGTGGAAACAGTAGCAGCAGTGCCAGTGGGGTTACAGTTGGGAGAGGCAAGCGGGCGTGGGGCGGGATGTGGGAAAAAGCACACTGGAGGTCTGTGCTTGTGTGGTTTTTGGTAGGGTTTTGTGTGCTTCTTGGGGTGTCTGGTTTCCTATTTGGAATTCAGCTACCAGATGTGACTGGTATGGGAAATCTGCTGCAACCGCGGCTGTTGCCCTTGACACAGCAGAGGAGTTGCTCCTCTAAGGGCTACTTTTGGAAGCCATTGGTGCAGACTCGGTGGGTGGAAGCAGCAGCAGAGACCGGGTCAAGAGGGAGCAAAGCAGATGTTGCAGCAGCAGCAGCAGAAAGCGCATTGCAGGGAAGTGCAGCAGAGGCAGCGTTTTTGGGGAGCACTGTGGGGACAGCAGAAGCAGCAGCAGCAGCAGAAGCAGCAGCAGCAGCAGAAGCAGCAGCAGCAGCAGAAGCAGCCGCAGCAGCAGAAGCAGCTGCAGCAGCAGAAGCAGCCGCAGCAGCAGACCTATCAAACCAATGGAAGGGCTCGGTCCAGCAGTCTGTGCTGCTGTGCTGGGCATTGGGCTCTGCCACCCTCGTCTGCCTCCTGGCGTTTCACCTGATGCGTGCCGCCAGAGCCACAGCTGCTCGCGCTGAAGCTGTAGGTAGGTGGTTGAAAGCAGGTGCAGAGCGGTTGAGAGCGGTGGCAGTGTGGGTGGTGGCAGCGGCTGTGTGGGTGTGGAAAACGGTGAGCTTGATCGTGGGTGTGAGACTGGGGGCGGAGAGAGGAGGGGAGGTTTGGAGGGAGGGTGGGTTGGAGCAGCGGTGGGAGGTGGGTGGGCTGGCGTTGTGGCTGGAAAGGGGTGTGGGAGAGAAGGTGGGAGGTAAGCGTCATGAGGTGGGAGGGAAGTGGGAGGTAGAGGGAGAGGAGAGGGAAGGTGTGGAAGATGAGGGTTTGGCTTATGGGGTTATGAGGGGAAAGGGAAATTTTGACGTGGAGAGTGGCGAAGGGACGGGTGGGAAGGGAGGGGAGGGTGAGGACGAGGATGGGGAGGATGAGGAGGAAGAGAATGAGGAGGAAGAGGATGAGGTGGAGGAGGTTGGGAAGGAGGAGGAGCAAGGGGGGGATAAAGGGGGAGAAGTAGAGGACGTAGAGGAGGAAGGTGGTGAAGGGAGGGAGGAGACAGGGGAAGACAAGAAGCCAAAACGGCCCCTTTTAGAAGCAACCAGGCCGGCCAACAACTCGTTCCGGTCCACATCATCCCCGCTCCCTTCCTCCTCCAATCACCCCCGTTCCTTCCGAACAACCACCAAGGTCTTCCCCGATAAGCGCGCCTTGATCGACCCATTCAGAGGGTCCGTAGTGCTGCAGTATTCCCAGGACTGGGCTGTGAAGCACACAGCAGTGTGCCTCCATCAGTCAGTCATGGTCCGTGTGAGAGGCCTGCCGGACCTCCTCCCCTTGGCGTCTGCTGCTGCTGTGCTCCTCCAACCCTCTCCTCCTGCTCCCTCTCCGCCTACTCCGTTCCTGCCTGCTTTGCCTGCTGCTCCTGCCCCCGCAGCCACCCCTTCTCTTCTTTCTCCAAGCCTTCCATCCTCAAACCCATCAGCACCACGACCCGCACCATCAGCAGCAGCACCACCAGCATCACCACCAGCAGCACCATCAGCAGCACCACCAGCAGCACCACCATCAGCACCAACAGCAGTACCACCAGCACCACCACCAGCACCACCACCAACACCACCAGCAGCACCACCGTCGCCTGCACCATCGTGCTCCACAGCAGCAACCGATGGGGTGCTTTCTATGGATCGTGTATTGCTACCTAATGGGAGTGGGAGTGTGAGTGGGAGTGGAGATGGGGATGGGGGTAAGGATGGGGTTGGGACTGGCAGCAGCAGTGGCAGTGGGACTTTGGGACAGATTATCACAGCCCAACATTCAAGCACACAAACCCAGAGAGCAAATTCAGCACATGCCAGGTGGCAGCACGCAGTTGGCCTTGTAGTGCAGCAGGTTCAGCAGAGCAAGCAGCTAAGACTAGATGGAGCTGTAGACGCAGTGGCACTCAGGAAAAAATACGCCACTCTCTACTCTGATTGGCTGCTGGCAGCCACTGGAAAGGTTTTGCCTGCCCGGCGGAGGCAGGGCAGTATTTCCAGGCGATCGTCTCTGGCGTTTTGGAGGAGGGAGGGGGTGAGAGCGCAGCAGAGAAAGGTAGTTTCTGCCTTGGAAGGCGAGCTGGCTGAGCTTGAGAACAGGCTCGGATCCACTGGAGTGGTTCTAGCTCGGCGCTTGGCTCGGAAGCAGGCTCGGGTAATGTTTGAGAAGCAGGGTTGGAAGCAGGCTCGGAAACAGGCCCACTGGAGTGATTCCTGGGGCGAGCTGCAGGAGATCAAGGGTGGATGGGCGAGGGCAGAGCAGGGAGCGGGGATGGGTTGGGATGGGTTCGAGGGAAGCAGAAGTGGTGGGTGGGAGGTAAGAGCAGTAGGGTTAGACATGGTGGTGGGACTGGTAGGAGCGATGGGAGCAGTGGGAGCAGTGGGAGTGGGGATGCCTTCTGTGGTTCTTGACTCCTGTGGCAAAGGAGACTGTGATGCTGCTGGTAGGGCCCCTGCTGGTGGTGATGATGAGGCGGGATGGGGTGATGCAGATGCAGATGCAGACGCACTGCATGTGTCGGTGTCAGGAGTGCGAGCAGCCATGTTGTCGCTGCCATCAGGTGGTTTCCAGTGCAACGCTGAGGTGCATACAGTGCATGGCTGCATGTGCTCTTCCTCACACACGCGCTCTGCCCCACATGCATCCTCCAACTCACACAAGAGCATGGTGCCTTTCTTGAGCCTGTCTGCCCGGGAAGGACTGAGAGCGATGGGTGCTGAGATGAAGGGCAATGATGGTAACGAGGAGGGTGGAGGAGGAGGGGCAGACACAGGGGCTGATTCAGCTACGGAGGAGAAACCAAGAAGCCTCCGTAGCTTGGTCTTCTATCTTATTCGCTGCCTCCTGCTCACTCCACTGCCTCGCTTTTTGCACCTGCGCCAGTCAAATGAAGACGAAGCTTCCAGAGGTGGGATTGAGGCAGAGGCAAAACCACTGGAAGCAGCAACTGGTACACATGTTGGTGCCAGCAACTCTGCTGTTCTCGAAAACACCGGGATCGGAAGTGCAGCCAATCAGGAGCCGTTTCTGTCGTTTCAGATGGCCGCCCCTGCTCCTGCCTCCACGAGACCGGACAGGCCAGTGCAGGTCCACGTGGCAGCTGGTGATTCACTCCTGGCTTTGAGTCCCGATCTGATTGGCGCATTCGCGGCGTTGGGAAAGCTACTCGAGCAGGTGTTCGAGATGAGTAGAGGCAAAGGGAGTGGTTGCGAGGGAAGTTGCAGTGGGGGGAGCAGCAGCGAGGGGAGCAGCAGTGGGGGAAGTGCGGGAAAGGATGCAAGCAAGGGTAGCGACAGGAGCAGCAGAGATAGCAGTATAGGCCCAGTGGAAGGCAAAGATGCAGTTAGTGTGAAGCACCTGACTACTGATGATTTTCCCACGGGTGTTGCACATACCAGTAATGACAGACACATCAGGCTCCCTGCTTGCTGTAACCATCCTAGTAGCTTGGACAGCTTGTTTGCAGCTCTGCGGTTGGCTCTAGACGGACTCATCCCGAGTGCATCGTGGCATGTGGACGCGACAAGTGGCAGGCTGTGGTTGGCGGTTGGGGCTCAGGCTGACGTGGCAGCGGTGGCAGCAGCTGCAGCTGTTTCTGGGTTGACCTGTAGCAGCAGCAAGGAGGAAAGCACTGGTGGCCGGGAAGAAATGTCTGGTGGCTTACCCCTAAGGGGGGATGGCGTGTCAGGTGTGAGAGGGGGTATGGATGCAGAGGTCTCCACAGAGGGGGTGTTTCTGACCAGAGCTGTAGTGGGAAGAGAAGTGCTAGAGGCAGTGAGAGAAACTGTAGGAGGAGCAGCAGAGGGAGCAGCAGAGGCAGCAGAGACACCGCAGGAAGGTCGCGTGACTGTAATGAGCGGAGCAGATGTGATAGTGGCTGAGATTGCTTCTCTTGCAATCAGGTTGCGGCCCAAACCGCCGTACAACTTATGCACGGGTCCCATTGGTAACTTTGATAATAGCCCTGCAGCAGTAAATGCCGGGCAAGCAGAAAAAAGGGGTCAAGTGCAAGGAGAGGAGGAGGTGCAGGAGGATAGCGGCACGAAGGTAAAGAGAAAGAGAAGAAAAGAGAGGGGGAGAGGGAGAGGAGAGGAGAGGAAGATGGGGAGTGGACGTGCTTATATGGAAGAGGAGGAAGGTGAGAAGACGAGCGCAGTTTGGGAGAGGTTGGAGCAGGCTGTTTGGAACGGACGGCCGAGATCCTCCTGCAGGGGGAGAGAGTGCAATCCGATATTGGGAGACAGTGGGAAACAAAGCAAGGATGGGGCAGTGGGGTATGGGGCAGTGGATGTGCATCAGGTGTGGCACAATAGTGATGTGACTATAACGGGGCTCAGCATCCAGGCAGTGGGTGTGGGTGCAGAAAGGGATGAGGTAGCAGTTGATGAGATTAATGGGTTGCAATCACATGGGAGTAGACAGAGGCAGAGGGGACCGTGGAAGAGGAAGAGTGGGGAGTGTGATGCGGTGACGAGGAGTGTCTCTGTGTGGACAGTGGTGCTAGCTCCAACTCAACTCAGCGTGCTTGCCTCCTTGTACCGATGCCAGACCACCACTTTAATCACGTCAAATACAATCACATCTGCAGCTGCTCTGATCCGAGTCCCTGTGGTAGCAGCTTCGGTGCCAGCCACCATCATTCACGCACTTCCACAGGTGAGAGTTGAAAAGCGGTGTGCAAAACCCGAAACTCCTTTCTTGAAGCGCCTCAAAATCAAATCTGTGTGGTGGCCACTTCGGTGCCAGCCACCATCATCCATGGACTTCAACAGGTGAGAGTTGAGAAGCGGCGTGCAAACTCCTTTCTTGAGGCGCCTCAAAATCAAATCTCTGTGGTGGCCGTATTTTGAGTCGACTAAAAAAATGGTGGCCGCTTCGGTGCCAGCCGCCATCATCCATGCACTTCCACAGGTGAGAGTGTGAGAGTTGAGAAGCGGTGTGCAAAACCCGGAACTCCTTTCTTGAAGCGCCGCATAATCAAATCTGTGTGGTGGCCGCTTCCGCTTCGGTGCCAGTCGCCATCATCCACGCACTTCCACAGGTGAGAGTTTGATTCTTGGGGCGCCTTCAAAAAGGATTTGCAGGCTGCTCTGATCCGAGTCCCTGTGGTGGCCGTTTCGGTGCCAGCCACTATCATTCACGCACTTCCACAGGTGAGAAAATGAGCAAGCTGTTTTGAGTGAGAACGGAGATTGCTGTATTACCACACTTTTCGACATCGATCAGGCAATTACATGCACGATGTACGTAAAACGCACTCCTCTCGCCATAAGAGAGGGCTTACGTCCCGGTTCTCCTTCTTTCCTGTGCCTGTTTCCCTGCTTCAACCTGCCGGGAGTGACTTGTCCTTTTTGCTTCCTCCCCTGGCAGGTGTTACAAGCCATTCTCGATGCCATGCCTGCTACTGGCACGTCCCAGGATACCCCCACCACAAGCAGAGCAACGCAGCCCGCAGCAGCAACAGCAGCAGCAGCTGTACATAGGTCAAGCGCTGTAAATATAGCTCCCAGTCATGCAGACTCCCCAAGCACATTGCACATGCCATCTGATCCTTCGTCCTCAGATCCCTCCGCTTCCACTTCTGCTCCGTCCTCTTCCTCCTCTTCTTCCTCCTCCTCCTCTTCTTCCTCCTCCTCCTCATCCTTCTCACTGTCCCTCGGTCTCGAGATCGCCTCTCTTTCTGCTGCTCTCTGCGCCACAGTACCCTTCACTGTCGTGTCTGTGCCAGCTAGGATGCTTCCTGACGTGCTGAGCTGTCCAATGACACGTGGCACAGGGGAGGAGGAAGGGGGAGCAGCAGAGAAGCATGAGGGGGAGGTGCAGTCCGGGCAGGAGGACAATGAAAAGGAACAGGAGAAAGAGGAAAAGAATAGTTGGTGGGGTGTGGGACGGGAGAGAGCAGAGGGATGGCGTGTGGGTGATGAAGTGCCGTTCAGCAGGAGCAGTAGAGTGCAGATGAGAGGTAAATGGGGAGCTATGGAGGGTGGTAGGGAGTCTAGAAAGAGGTGTGGTGAGGGGGATAGGCTCCCTGCGGAAGAAACGCGCTTGGAGTGGGGGAAGAAGCGGTCGGGGAAAGCTTTTGAGGCGCCTCAAAAGGAGTGGGGGAAAGCTGATGGGTTAGGAGGAGGTGTGCTTGTGAGGCAGCTTACACGAGACAGTGGCAGCATGCGGGGAGTGGGACCTGGGGAGGCAAGGGGAGAAGGGGGGGGCGGGGCAAGTGAGCTTGGGGTGAGGCAAGGGCGACTGCGTCGAACGACATCTGAACAGCCGTGGATGGTGCGAGGGAGAGGGCTTGCGGGTAAGGTGGTGCAGGTGGATGCTGGAGTGCAGAACGGTGTCGAGGAGTGGAGAGGTGAGGAGGAGGATGGCCGAGGAGAAGGGGATGATGGCGATGGTGGGTATGGGAGCTCCTCCGGGCATGGGGATGATGGGAGGCATGGGGAGGATGGGAGGGATGGGGAGGATGGGAGGCATGGGGAGGATGGGAGGCATGGGGAGGATGGGAGGGATGGGGAGGATGGGAGGCATGGGGAGGATGGGAGGCATGGGGAGGAGGATGGGAGGGATGGGGAGGAGGATGGGAGGGATGGGGAGGAGGATGGGAGGGATGGGGAGGAGGATGGGAGGGATGGGAAGGAGGATGGGAGGGATGGGAAGGAGGATGGGAGGGATGGGAAGGAGGATGGGAGGGATGGGAAGGAGGATGGGAGGGATGGGAAGGAGGATGGGAGGGATGGGAAGGAGGATGGGAGGGATGGGAAGGAGGATGGGAGGGATGGGAAGGATAGGAGGGCTGAGACACGCAGTGTGGGAGACATGTCAGAGCAGGGGAATCACATAAGGTGGAAGGGTTGGTGGAAAGCCCTGGGACTGATTCGAGGAGGGAAGAAAGATGGGGTGGAAAGAGGAAGGGTAGAGCAAGAGAAGGCGAGGCGAAGAAGGGCGAGGGATGGGAACACAGGCGATAAAGGTGAGGGGCGCAGGGGAGCAGTATGGGGTGGGGGTGAGCAACAGAGTGCAGCTGGAAAGAGTGCAGCGGACAGGCTGGGGCCAGCGGAGTCAGCTCCTCCAGCATGCGGTACGAGCACTGTCATGTGTGGAGGAAGGGGGCAGCAGGTGAGTTTTGAGTCGACTCAAGCAAGGGCCAGTACTCGAAATTCACCTGCGGAGTCAGCTCTTCCAACACGCGGTACGAGCACTGTCACGTGTGGAGGAAGGGAGCAGCAGGTGGCAGCAGCAGAGGCACGGAGCCTCTCTCTAGACATGCTTGTGAGTGATGACAGCGCAGAGCAGCAGGTGCTGCTGGGGTTCGAGCCTCTGCTGCTTTCCTGCCATTCCGATGCACCTGGTGTGGTCCGGCAGGTGGTCCGGCTGGTGAAGCAGCAGGAGAGGCAGCAGCGGAAGCAGAAGGAGAGGAGTTGTGGCAGGGAGAGAAGGAGTAGTGGTGGCAGGGATTGGATTAGCAGTGGTGGAAGAAAGGGGAGCAGCGGAGGTGGACTGTTGTTTGCTGCACTGCCTGTGCTGCATGCGTCAGTGGACGCAGTTCGAATGGACCATTTCTCTGCTCGGGTGGTGCAATCGAATGAACAAGGGGGTGGAGGGAGTAAAGCGGGTGAGTCAGCAGAAGAAGCAGCAGCAGCAGAGTGTTTGTGGTCTGTCCCTGCGTTGTCTAGTCGTGGTGGTGCAATGGAAAAGGGGCTGGAGGAGGAAAAGAGTCGGCAGACAATGCAGAAGCGCTTTCAGTCAACGCCAAGCTTTGTCGGGCCTCGAGAGAGGAGAAACAGCAGCAACAGCAGCAGCAGCAGCCACAGAAGCAGCAGCAGCCACAGCAGCAGCAGCAGCCACAGTAGCAGCAGCAGCAGCCACAGCAGCGGCAGGAGCAGCGGGAGGAGGATTGATGATGGATCGAGCTTACCAGCTGGATGTGCTTGCTACGAGGTGTGGCGGCTGTCAGCTTCTATGGGGCCCATCAAGGGTGGCAGCAGTGCCAGGCTCGACAGGCTCGGCACGCCTGACAGGTCCGGCGGCAGGACTGGCAGAGTGGGCGGGCTCAAGAGGAACGGTGGTGGCGGTGGCAGCGGCGGTCAACAGGAGCATCCGCGGCAGCAGCAGCGACGGCGGTGGCGTTCAGAAGCAGCCGACATGTCTATCGAGTACCGCTTTCCCTTAGCACCGATCGGCTCGGCCTCTGCTCTTGCATATCCACGAGACTTTTTTGCTCTGTCCTGGCAGGGAGGGCTCATTGCCCTAGATCCTGCTGCTCTCTCCCGCCTCTCCCTCTCTCTCTCAGCCCTCTCCCCTCTCTTCACGTTCAGTACACTGGGGCAGGTGGCCTTATCGTCTGCAAGCGCTGCACATGGAGCATCAGCAGAAGCAGCAGAGTCTGGGAGTCCAGAGTCGGGGGCTCCTTCTTACATGGAGAATCTCAGGCAGCTGTGTGCACATGCTCGGGTGGACGTAGATGGGTTTCGGTTGCTTCTGCTCCACCCGGACGCCAGGAAAGGTGGATTTCTCACGCTCCTGAGCGCGCTCTGTTCTTCTGAGATTGCCCCGTGTGGAGTAGACGAAGCGAATGCGGTAGGAGTGGATGCCGCTGTGGGTTCCGGCAGTGTCGGAACCATCAGTGGCAGTGGCAGCAGCAGCAGTATCAGATACCGGCAGAGCCGGAAGAGCGGGCAGAGCTGGCAGAGCAGCGAAAGCCGGCAGAACCTCAGCATCCATGCAGTGTCGTTTGACCTCAAGCGCCTGGCAGTGAAGAGCGTCAGAGGGGAAGGCTTAGAGCGGAGTCGCGGCTTCCATGAGGCTCATTCTACCTCTGATGCTTTTCGCACAGCTGCTGCTTCAGGTGACTCTGCCACCAGTGCTGCCACCACTGCTTCTTCTGCTGCTTCTTCTGCTTCTGCTGCTGCTGCTGCTTCTGCTGCTGCTGCTGCTGCTGCTGCTGCTGCTGCTGCTGCTGCTGCTGCTGCTGCGGATGGCGCTCGTGCTGCTCCGGCTGCCACTGTTGAGGAGTGGGAGGAGGGCGAAGATGGGTGTGAGAACTTGGAGGATGAGCCTGGGGATAGCGATAGGAACAGTGGCAGAGGCAGAGGCAGTGATAGTGACGATGGTGGCTGTGACAACGAGAACTGTGAGGACAGGGAGTGTGAAGCTGATATGGATGCAGATAGCAGCATTCTCCCAGGACTTTCCGCTTGCCTGAGGCTGCAGCAGAGATTCATTCTTGGCCCCGACGGTGGTGTGCGTAGTAGTAGTAGTAGTAGTAGTGGTGGTGGTGGTGGTTCGACGTACATTGGTCCAGCTAGAAAGTGGTGGGATGCGGTGGAGGGGGGTGTGGATGTGCAGGGAGCTGATGTGGCGGTTACAGTGGCGGAGATACAGGTGAGAGGAACTGGCAGCGCAGCTGGTGGTGATGGTGAGATGTACTTTTGGCATAGAAACATAAAGCTAGAGGGGAAGAAGAAGAAGTTGCAACATGTATACAGACTGAAGGTATAGCCATCACCAGTATGCTAGAGCATGTATACAGGGGAAGAAAAGAAGAAGTTGCAACTGGTTGCAAGAAGTAGCCTGTATGCTAGAGCATGTGGCTCAACCAGACTGGATGAATAGCGCCTATGCTGTCATCATGTGACACGTCCTCTCGAACCCATGCTCCCTCCGTTCCCACAGATGTTACTGTCGCTCCTCTCCTCCATCTCGCCATCACCAGCAGCAGCAGCAGCAGCAGCGGCCGAAGCACAATCTGCTGAGTCGTTACCCACCTTCCAGCCAACCCACCGTGGTGCGCCTGCCAGTATCGCCACTGGGAGCGCAGGTGGTGAGGGCAGGCGGACTGGTGTTGCAGAAGCAGATGCTGCTGCTGCTCTCGCTGGTAGTGCTGGGTCACTTGTGAATCTTCAGCAAGGTAGACCGTTTCTTCTGGCACTGAAGTCCCCTTTTTTTTGTGCCTCTTATGCTTCTCATCGATACCATCACATCTCCCTCAGCATCCAGCCTCTTATGCTGTCCCTCGCATGCATCACATTTCTTCTCATCCCTCGCAATTTCTAAACCCACCACACTCTAAACAGGTTCTTTGGTGGCCATCCGGAATCTTGACACACGCCAGTACCTCACTTCGCTTCCCTCACATCCCACTTCCCTCAGATCTCCCTTCCCTCACACCCCCACCACACTCCAAACAGGGTCTTTGGTGGCCATCCGGAATCTTGACACACGCCAGTACCTCACAGTGGAAGACTCACCCAGCCTTCACACCCCTCTCACCATCCCTCTAAAGACTTCTGTCGATTTTTGAGTCGACTCAAAAATCGACTCACCCAGCCTTCACATCCCTCTCAGCATCCCTCTCAGCATCCCTCAGCATCCCTCTAAAGACTTCTATCCCGCTCATGCCTCGCATTCCTTCTCACCCTCACTTCGCTTCCCTCACATCCCACTTCCCTCACATCTTGCTTCCCTCAAACCCCCACCACTCCCCAAACAGGGTCTTTGGTGGCCATCCGGAATCTCGACACACGCCAGTACCTCACAGTCGAAGACTCACCCAGCCTTCCAGGAAGCTTCCGCCTGACGTCCGTGGCGCACTACAGTCTCGCAACGAGCGACCGGGCGGTGTTTCTTGTCCATTTCCCGGAGAGCCGCGGGTGGCGGGAAAAGCTCAAGCTGCCTCCCTTACCGTTCCTGCCGCACAATTGGGATTGGGGGGAGCGGTCAAGGGAAATGCGCAACGGGCAGGAGCAAGAGAGACAGCAAGGGAGGCAGCAGCAGCAGCATGAAGGGTTGTGTTGGGATGACACCCCCTTCTGGAGCATTGCTCGAGATGGTAAGGGTGCCGTTTCCCGCTGGTTCTGCCTTCATTCTCCTTACACTGCTGATAATCCAGACTCAGAGGCAGGCACAGGGGCAGGACGAGAGGCAGGCACTAGCGCAGGTGCTGCAGGCACAGGCAGGGGCGGCAGTACAGGGCCAGATGCAGACAGAAGCAGGGAATCAGGCATGCAAGAGCAAGATGCTGTGCAGGCTCCAGTTCGCCGCCCGCTTTGCGTGCACTACGAGCCAAACTCGCCTGGTGGGCGCATTGCGGTGCAGAACAGTAACGAGGGGTCGTGGGAGCAGTGGCGGCTGGTGGCAGAGGTGGTGAGGGGTGCAGAGGAGGAGGATGAGGGGGATGGGGAGGAAGAGGAGGAGGGGAGGGAGAGAAAGGCGTGGGAAGGGGAGGAAGGGGGTGGAATTGGAGAGGAGGAGGAAGAGGGTGGGAGGGAGGAGGCAGTGGGGGCAGATGGGGGGGTTACTGGTACTGGTGGTAGGAGAGAGGGTGGGAGAGGGGGAGGGGGGATGGGAGGGGGGGCGGGAAGGGAGAAATCTGGGAGGATGGGAGGACGGCGGGGGAGGGGGAGAGGGGATAAGCGGAGATGGGTGATTCGCATGCAGAACCGCAAGACAGGGTCTGACTTCGCGTTTGTGAGAGGGCTGCCTGTGCTGCTGCCGGGTGGGCAGGGCCATGCGGTGCAGATGAGGGTGCTTGTAACGAGGGGCGAGCTTGAGAGGAGGCGGGGAGACGTGCTGAGGAGAAGGCGGGAAGGGCAAGGATCAGGCGAGGAAGTCGAGGAGGAGGAGGAAGAGGAGGAGGAAGAGCAGCAGCAGCTGCTGCGGCAGCAGGGTTTGTTGCAATTGCAAGCTTTGGGTTTACACAAGCGTGCCTCATTGATCCCATCGCTGCGTGTCTCCATCAGGAATATTTTCTTCACCGTCCTTTTTGAGGAAGAAACCAGCACCTGGAGCAGCAGCAGAAGCCCTGGCTTCGCCAATTCCGCACCCGACCGCAGGAGAACAGCGGCTTCCCTTGGGGGTGCCTCAGAGCACAAGGGATTCAGCAGCAGCAGCAGCAGCAGCAGCAGCAGTGCAAGGGGGATTTCTTTTGAGGGGCCTCAAAAGTCCTCCCTTGGGGGTGCCTCAGAGCACAAGGGATTCAGCAGCATCAGCAGCAGCGGCAGCATCAACAGCAGCAGCAGCAGCAGTGCAAGGGGGATTTCTAGACGTGGAAGAGAAGCGAAAGGCTTTATCTGGGATGGTGTGCAGCACAGCCCGCCTGTGCTGCCGCTGGTTCGGGTGCATGTGGGGGAGGTGGCATCTGTGGTTCAGCTGGGCTCGCACAAGACTCGCCTGTTTGGTTCCTGTCGCATTCAAGTGACCACCTACGATGGCCAGAGGAGCCGATGGTGAGGGCCTTTAGGGTTAGGGCATATGGAAGTGTTTGGGTTTGCAGATTTGAATTTCAGGGTTCAGGGTTTTCGGTTTTAGGGATGGTAGCAAGGATTCAGGGTTTTCGGTTTCCCTCCTCCACTTTCCCCCCACGCAACCCGATCAGGACCAGCCTCCTGACGTCAAGTCCAACGGACCTCTTCTGGCGCTCCCGTACACTCTGTACCCCTTATAAGCCTGGAACGTTGGCGCTGGTGAGGGTGCAGCAGGTGCGGGTGGTGGTGGAGGAGGAGTCTTTGGACGCGCTGCTGCTGCTGGTGGGACTGCTGGGACTGGCTGGGCCGTATACAGTGCGCCACTCTCCCATCCTCGCCAACCGATGCATGGTATGCTGCTGAGGCATAGGGGTTTGGGTGCTCAGAGTTTAGGGTGTGGTGTTCAGGGTTAGGAGTCTCTGGACGCGCTGCTGCTGCTGGTGGGACTGCTGGGACTGGCTGGGCCCTACACTGTCCGCCACTCACCCATCCTCGCCAACCGATGCATGGTACACTGAGAAATAGGGTTTACTGCTCAGGGTCTGGGATTCAGGGTTAGGGGGCTGGCAGGGCTAGCAGGGCTGGCAGGGCTGGCAGGGCTGGCAGGGTTAGGGGGCTAGCAGGGCTGGCAGGGCTGGCAGGGCTGGCAGGGCTGGCAGGGCTGGCAGGGCTGGCAGGGCTGGCAGGGCTGGCAGGGCTGGCAGGGCTGGCAGGGCTGCTGTGTACGGAGAGAGTTGGGGGAGTTGATTGAAGTCGCCTTGCAAGCTTTTCCTCTATCCCCTCCCCCTCCCCCCTCCCCCTCCCCCCTCCCCCCTCGCACCCAGGTGACCAACAACACGACTCTCCGCCTCGCCTGTTCCTTCTTCAACCACGCCTCTGATAGTTCCCCTGCTGCTAGTGGGAGTTCGCTTGCTGATATAGGCCACTCGGTGGTGATGCCGAAGCAGGGAGTGAAAGAACCAGCGGCAGCAGCAGCATGGGGAAGCGGAGGAGGAAGGGGCGTATCTGAGGCAGTGATTGGGTGCAGAGGCACAGGGACGTTTCTTGTGCGGTGAGTGTGAAGGGAGTATGCGGTGAGTGTGAAGGGAGTATGCGGTGAGTGTGAAGGGAGTATGCGGTGAGTGTGAAGGGAGTATGTGGCAGTAGAGGCGGTAGAGGCGGTAGAGGCGGTGGAGGCGGTGCCTGGGATGATTCGATTTTTGAGTTGACTAAAAAATCGTTTCTTGTGTGGTGAGTGTGAAGAAGAGGGAGTATGAGGCAGTAGAGTGCCTGGGATGATTTTATCTGAACCAAGCTGTCTGGGGGGTTGGCGTGGCGAGGCAACCTGACTTCACGATTGTTTTGTGTCTTCTGTTTGTTCAAGTTTGAGTGGTTTCATGTGGACCGCTCATGTCTATTGCCTGAGGCGCCTCACAATTCTCAACGTGTGGTGGTGAGTTCCCGAGTGATTCTCACTCACCCGTGAGCCATAAAATGACACCCATTTGTGAGCTGTGATTTTTTCCTTCATCCCCCCGTCTCTCGCTTCCTCTTTCCCGTTTTCTCGTTCCTCTGACTCCTTGTTCCACTATCTGCCATTCCCCGTGCAGACACTTCCTGTCCCGCAGGAACCTCTCCAACGCACGCGAGTCATCTCTCGCTTTCCTGCGTCTCTTGCCACCACCGCTGCCCAAGACGCAGCACCGCACGGAACAGCACCGAACAGAGCGGCAGCAAGCAGAGCAGCAGTGGAAGCAGCAGGAGGGGCAGTGGCAGAAGGGGAAGCAGCACGTACAGGAGCAGGAGCCAGCAGCAGCAGCAGCAGCAGCAGAGCAGGGGTGGGTGCTGCCTCTCTCCATGTCCATCGCCAGAGAGGGCTCTCTGGCTGTCCGCACACGCATACTCCAACTCCAAGGTGAGACCCTCTCTCTAAAGCGCCAGAGCGTGCAAGGTCAGTTCACCTCTCTGAACCTCCAAGCAACCCTCTCAAATATCTTCTCTGGTTGTATCTCACTCGAAATTGGCCGAGCCATTCCACAAGAGCATGTTAGATTCACCCGGCAGCGGCGGCACGAAGAAAGGTTTTATTCACTTTTGGTGATTCTCAATGAAGTCCTCTCTCTTGTACCCTTTGCGCAGGTTCCCAGCAGGCCGGTGCCTCACTGCCAGGCCCAATGGTGGTGCTGCACGTGTCCAAGCGCACACCAGAAGGCGTGCGTCTCTCCATCTCCCCGTTTCTCTCTGTCCGCAACAACACCGGCTGCCCTTTGCAAATCTGCCTGCGCCGTCGCCCTGCTCCCTCCGGACAAGCAGCAACAGCAGCAGCAGCTGGTGGTGGCGCTGCTGCTGCTGCTGCTGGAGAAGCAACAGGAGAGGAAGCAGTGGTGGGAGGGGTGGGGCAAGCAGGAGTGGCAGTGGCTGAGCAGCAGGATGAAGTGGGGGTGGTGCAGCAAGCAAGCCCAGGAGTCGATTACCAGGGGGGGATTGAGGTGGTGGAGGAACTGCAGCAGGGGCAAGCTTTGGATGATGCTGCTCTCTGCTTCCGCTTCGCTGCTTCTGCAGGCGAACAGCGCCGCCTGGTCAACGACCTTGCAGCAGGTACGTACGACTTTGGCTGGCACCATGGTTGGTGGTAGTACGACCCAGGAGGACATTGTTTCAATGTACTGTCTGTGTGTGGCCGTATCCTGATCCGCTCTTTTTTTTTTTTCTTTTCAGTTTGATGCATTCCTCCTGTTCGAAACTTCTCCCATGCCTGCGTGCCAATCTGCCTGCCTGCCAATCTGCCTGCCCGTCTGCATGTGCCTTTTCCAGGCAATTACCTGCTGTCGTTCCGGCCACTTGCTGCCACAAGCATGTTGCCTGGCCAGGGATCTCCTGCCAGAGGCACTGCCACCACGGCTTGGAATCTCTCCCAGCAGCAGCAGGAGACTCGGCAGGAGCAACAGCAGCAACAGCGTGGGCAGGAGCAGCAGGAGAAGGAGTGGGAGCAGGAGCAGCTGTGCTTTGATTGGTCGGAGGAGATCTCGGGATCTCAGGCAGTAAGAGACAAGAGCTGGCTGGACGGCATACAGCGGCAGATGAAGACAAAAATGGGCCGCATGCTACAGATCAGCCAAATGTTGCATCTGAGCGGTGCCCTCAATTCGTCCTTTTCCACCCTCACTTGCCGGCTAAAAGGCTGCTCTGGAGGGTCTAGAAATCCCGAACCTGAACAGCAGGCTTGGGAGAGTGCTGGACTAGCTGGGCCAGGAGATGGCGCAGGTTCTGCTGTCAGGGCCGAGATTCGGCATTTTCTGGTGAAGGTGGGAACTGAGGAGGTTCATCTGGGGGCATTGAAAGACGGTCAAGTGGTGAGTGACTTGCGAGGGGGAGGGAGGAGAGGGGAGGTGGGCGGGAGTGAGAGGGAGGGGGGAGAGGGGAGGGGGGTGGCATGGGTGCGGCCAATGCAGGTAGAGGTGCTGCCCACTGCACGAGTGCGCTGCTGGCTTCCCTTTGATATAGTGGTGGGTATCTCACCAACAAAGAGGGAAGCCAGTGCTGCTTCAGCGGTTATTGTTGCTGCTACTGCTGCTACTGATGGTGGTGGTGCTGTGGCTGCTGCCACTGCCAGTGCTGCTGTGCCTGCAGGTCATGTCTCCGTTCTTCACATCCCTGCCGCCTCTTCGGCCTGGCTCTCTCTCTTTGCCGACCCCTCCTGGTGCTACCTCACTCTCCTCCACACCCCCCCTGCATCACCTGAGAAAACACCTGAACGAAGACGTCAGGAAGCGCCTGCAGCGGCACCTGAAGCAGCACCTGAAGAGTCGCACAGCGCAAACCTTTACAGCACATGGACTAGGGAAGGCATTCAAATGGGTGTGACTGCAACGAGTAGCAGTGTGACTGTAGCGAGCAGCATGTGGAGCAGCGCCCCTGTCCATGTGCCCTGTGCTGGTAACATGCTGGCACTGCTGACCCATGATGTGCTGCCACCTGTCAAGGGCGCAGTGGCTCTTGCCCACCTGGGAGGGTTGCCGTCTTCTGGTGGGAACGAGGTCCAGGTGAAACTGAATCAGGTGAATTTCCAGGAGGGGCAGCAGCAGCAGCAGTTGGTGGGCCCGCCTCAGGTGAATCCTCAGGAGCAGCAGCGGCAGCAGCAGCGGCAGCAGCAGCAGCAGCAGCAGCAGCAGCAGGGTGGTGTCTCAATGAGGAGGAGTGCGTGTGAGATGGCAGTGCAGTTGCGGACCCGATACAGCGACAAGGATGCAGTGCCTGAGGTGAGACTCTATTCAGTCCACCAAGTCACTTGTCTGACTACTAACTCTATACCTTGTCTGACAATACTCTGGCAGTTTTGTATACCACTGGTATAATTCCAGTAGCACAGCCATTCGAGAAAGAAGTTCCCAAGCTAGAACAGCCATTCTCCTCCTGTTTTCCCTTGCATTAGTCCCCCTGCACCTGTTCTTGCACCTGTCATTGCACCTGTTCTTCCAAGAAACCAAGGGCGTGTTGTGGCCATTCCAATTGCCTCGTGGCCCCTCCTGTTCAAATGCAGTTTGAGATAATCCCGGCATTGACCATCCGCGATTCCACTGGCACGCCGTTTGCTTTCTTCCTGGCCACAAGCCCACACTATCCCATCCATATGCAAAATCTGCATCCTCATTTTCTCTCTCCTCACCCCCCCTTCCCACTCATCCATTCCCGTGCAGTTTGAGATCTTTCCTGCATGGACCATCCACAATGCCACTAACACGCCGCTGTTTTGCTCCGTGGCGGGAAACCCAGTGGAATCATCTTGGGCGCCAGATGGCAGGGGGAGGAGAGGGAGCCGCGCACAGCAGCAATCACAGACATCTTCACCGCACTCCACCGCGTCTCTCCTTCTGAACCCCAGCGCCGCCAAGCCGTGGCTTGCTGTGTGAGTGCATGAAGATTGTTTGCTCCCACAGTGGATCAAGGGGAAAAAATCGTCAGTGGCTTGCTGTGTGAGTGCATGAAGATTGTTTGCTCCCACAGTGGATCAAGGGAAAAAAATCGTCAGTGGCTTGCTGTGTGAGTGCATGAAGATTGTTTGCTCCCTTGATCCTCTCCTCCTTTGCTCCTCTGCTCCACTTTTTGTGGTGATTTCTCATTCTTGTGCTTGTTATTTAAGAAAACCCTGCTGTTATAGCCTGCTGCTCTCGCGATTGTGTTGCAGCTGACAAAGCAAACATGGCAGGCCATGTAAAGCACCATCTTTCCCTCTGCCCTCGCGTGTTTTCTCGCAGTGGCACGTCGGTCTGCATCTCCATCGCACAGGCACAGGAGGGCACAAGTCAATTTGTTGGGAGAGGCAAAGCCAGCCAGCAGGCCATATAAAGCACCCTCTTGCCCTCTAATCTCCTCCCTGTTCTCGCAGTGGCACGTCAGTCTGCATCTCCATCGCACAGGCACAGGAGGGCACAAGTCAATTTGTTGGGAGAGGCAAAGCCAGCCAGCAGGCCATATAAAGCGCCCTCTTGCCCTCTAATCTCCTCCCTGTTCTCGCAGTGGCACGTCAGTCTGCATCTCCATCGCACAGGCACAGGAGGGCACAAGTCAATTTGTTGGGAGAGGCAAAGCCAGCCAGCAGGCCATATAAAGCACCCTCTTGCCCTCTAATCTCCTCCCTGTTCTCGCAGTGGCACGTCAGTCTGCATCTCCATCGCACAGGCACAGGAGGGCACAAGTCAATTTGTTGGGAGAGGCAAAGCCAGCCAGCAGGCCATATAAAGCGCCCTCTTGCCCTCTAATCTCCTCCCTGTTCTCGCAGTGGCACGTCAGTCTGCATCTCCATCGCACAGGCACAGGAGGGCACAAGTCAATTTGTTGGGAGAGGCAAAGCCAGCCAGCAGGCCATATAAAGCACCCTCTTGCCCTCTAATCTCCTCCCTGTTCTCGCAGTGGCACGTCAGTCTGCATCTCCATCGCACAGGCACAGGAGGGCACAAGTCAATTTGTTGGGAGAGGCAAAGCCAGCCAGCAGGCCATATAAAGCGCCCTCTTGCCCTCTAATCTCCTCCCTGTTCTCGCAGTGGCACGTCAGTCTGCATCTCCATCGCACAGGCACAGGAGGGCACAAGTCAATTTGTTGGGAGAGGCAAAGCCAGCCAGCAGGCCATATAAAGCACCCTCTTGCCCTCTAATCTCCTCCCTGTTCTCGCAGTGGCACGTCAGTCTGCATCTCCATCGCACAGGCACAGGAGGGCACAAGTCAATTTGTTGGGAGAGGCAAAGCCAGCCAGCAGGCCATATAAAGCGCCCTCTTGCCCTCTAATCTCCTCCCTGTTCTCGCAGTGGCACGTCAGTCTGCATCTCCATCGCACAGGCACAGGAGGGCACAAGTCAATTTGTTGGGAGAGGCAAAGCCAGCCAGCAGGCCATATAAAGCACCCTCTTGCCCTCTAATCTCCTCCCTGTTCTCGCAGTGGCACGTCAGTCTGCATCTCCATCGCACAGGCACAGGAGGGCACAAGTCAATTTGTTGGGAGAGGCAAAGCCAGCCAGCAGGCCATATAAAGCACCCTCTTGCCCTCTAATCTCCTCCCTGTTCTCGCAGTGGCACGTCAGTCTGCATCTCCATCGCACAGGCACAGGAGGGCACAAGTCAATTTGTTGGGAGAGGCAAAGCCAGCCAGCAGGCCATATAAAGCGCCCTCTTGCCCTCTAATCTCCTCCCTGTTCTCGCAGTGGCACGTCAGTCTGCATCTCCATCGCACAGGCACAGGAGGGCACAAGTCAATTTGTTGGGAGAGGCAAAGCCAGCCAGCAGGCCATATAAAGCGCCCTCTTGCCCTCTAATCTCCTCCCTGTTCTCGCAGTGGCACGTCAGTCTGCATCTCCATCGCACAGGCACAGGAGGGCACAAGTCAATTTGTTGGGAGAGGCAAAGCCAGCCAGCAGGCCATATAAAGCACCCTCTTGCCCTCTAATCTCCTCCCTGTTCTCGCAGTGGCACGTCAGTCTGCATCTCCATCGCACCGGCACAGGAGGGCACAAGTCGACTGGGAGTGGGGAGAGGTAACAACCGCGAGAGAGGCAACAAGGGAAGCAGCAGTGTTGCGGGAAGAGGGTCCATCATTGATCTCTCTTCCATCTGCCGCACCACAGAAATCCAGCTTGTGCAGTATGTACCCGTTATAAGGGACAGGGAGGCCACTGTAAGAGAACGGGGGATGTCTATAAGGGGTACAGGAAGTAGAGTGCAGGAGCAGCAGAGGGGAAGGGAGAGGCGGCAGCTAGAGACGGTGATGGAAGGTGGGGAGGAAGGAGAGGAAGGGGAGGAAAGGGAGGAAGGGGAGGAAGGGGAAGGAAGAGAAGAAGGGGAAGAAGGGGATGTGGAGGGGGGTTTCCTTGCTGCTACTGCTGAGTCAGCGTGTGATTGGTCGCTGCGATGCTTCCAGTTTGCCGTCCGCCTGTGCCTGTCAGCGAGTGGCAGTCCCTCCCGTGTGGTTGAGATTTGTCCGAGATACGTCGTGCGCAACCGCTTCCCCGTGCCGCTTCTTGTGTGCCAGGAAGGACTAGAGGTGGGTTTGAAGAGGGAGGTTTGATAGTGTAAGAATGTTCACAGGGGAAGGAATGCTCTGTCGAAGGGCTTCGTAGGTATGTTGTGGGCGGTGCTTGCTTGTGGCCGGTGCTTGCTTGCGGGTGGGTACGAGGAGGAATGCTGTGGGTCGAGTAGAAGAATCAATTTTTGAGTCGACTCAAAAATCGACTCATCACTTGCGGGTGGGTACAAGGAGGAATGTTGTGGGTCGAGGAGAAGAATGTCCTTATTGCCTGCGCTGAGACTGGCAGCGGCCGCACTCCTTCTGTGCATGTGAGTGCTTCTGTGGAGCTATGGACGATCTTTCGAGACTCGTGAAGGAGTGTTGATATGCCTGCCTTTCCCATGCTCCCCTGCGTGCGTCTCCCATGTGCAGTACTTCCCTGAGCTCTGGACCACCATCCAACCAGGCGAGTATGCACCCATCCACGCCCAATCACCCTCGCACATCTGGTCTTCCCATTCCTCCCTCGCCCTATCCTCCTCCTCCTCCTCTCCCTACTCTCCTCCGGCTTCCTCCTCTCACGATTCTGTGCTGGAAGAGGGCGGCATCATTCGTCCTTTCCTGCGTTTCCGCCCGCTGGATTCGTCCGATCCGTTCTCGCCTGCTCCATCTCCTCGAGGCCAATCACAGCCTGCCACATGGCATTGGTCCGGGCCGTTTGGGGCGGCATCTCTCGGCTCGTTCTGCCTCAAGATGCGCTCTCACAGCAACAGCAGCAACAATGGGGGTGCTGGTTACCCACTAGGAGGAACCATCCAGGAAACTCCCCCATCCCCGTCCCCATCATCCCCATCATCAAAATCACCAGCAGCATCACCGTCAGCAGCAGCAGCAGCAGACCTCCAGCGCCAGCTGTCAATGTCGGTTGTAGCGGCAGGTGGCGTGCGCGTGCTACAGCCGGTGCTCTTCGCCGTTGCTGACGTGGCAGAGGGAGGAGGAGGAGGCGGGGGAGGAACCACGGGAGGCTCAGCAGAAGGCGCACATGATTTGAGGTTGAACACATCAGCAGGGAAAGCAGGGGGGCCGGAAGGAGTGGGAATGGGGCCTGGCGATGGATCATCAGGTGCTGATGCAGCAGGGCAGAATGAACCCTCGGGGATATCACAGTCAGCAGCACTGGGAGCAGTGTCCGCAGGGGCAGCAGTGGGCGGCACGTGGGTGGCGGAGATTCGTCCAGTGGACGGCATGAGGGAGGCGCCGTACCGCATTGAAAACACTCTCTCTGGATTGGCCGTCTCTGTCGCCCAGAAAGTGTGTACTAGCCTTTTAAACAGCTGTATACTTTTTCTTCTTCTTCTTTTTCTTCTTTTTCTTTTCTTTTCCTTGAAAGGACCAACGAGTGGCTGTAGCACAGAAGGTGAGAGTAGGAGGCTGAGGCTTTAGCACTGATTGGCTTGGCGCTGTGCCTTTTGTCAGAAGCAACCAGACCAGATGGGACTGGAAGAGTGTACAATTGGAGTGACTGTATGCTGTGTGACGATATGCCGTGTGGCTGTGACTGCGTGTTGCATTGTGCAGGGTTCAGAGGGGTGGGAGGTGGTGGAAGCAGGCGAGTCTGTTCCTTTCACCTGGGAAGACTGGCGCTTACCTAAAAGACTGCTACTCACTGCTCCGGGTACGCTCCATTCGTATACTCCATAAGTCTTGTTTTATTGATCAGATTTTCACCACTCAAACACGCACCTCACACGTCTTGCTCCAACAAAATCCTTTGCTTACCGCTTCACTGTCCACTTTCTCCGTCCAGGCTGCACGCCCCAGCAGGAGGTGAGTCCCACAAGGTCAAGCCGTGGCGCCACCTGCACTTTCAGAGCTGACTCAACAGTTACCCCCTGCTCAACAGTTACCCCCTGCTCAACAGTTACCCCCTGCTCAACTCCCGTAACACCCTAAGCCATTGTTCAACCCCCACTCCCCGCCCTCCCTCCAGGCTGCTCGCCCCAGCAGGAGGTGAGTCCCGACAAGGTCAAGCCGTGGCGCCGCCTGCGCCTCTCCCACTCCGCCTTCCCCTCCCTGCTGCCCTTCCACCTGCCTTTCCACCTGCGCCAGTGGAAAGGGGGGGAGGAGGGGGTGGAGGAGGAGGAGGAAGAGGATTTTGATGATGATGCTTACAAGTATGAGGATGAGGAGGCGGGGCAAGAGGAGGGAGAAGGTGCTGGGGAGGGCGCTACTGAGGAAGGTAGAGCTGTCAGTGGAAGGGGCGGGGGTAGAGGCAGCAGGGGTGCAGCAGGTGCTTCAGCAAGGCAGCAAGCGGCACGGGAGCAGGCAGCAAGGCAGCAGGTGGTGGGAGTGGAGGTGTATGCGGATGGGCCGATACGGGTGGTGCGTGTGTGCACAAGGGAGGGTGCCAAGGACCGGGAGGGCTCTGGCAGAAAGGGTGCCGCATGGGGGACTGGTGTGGGCGGTGGCGCTACGAGTGGTGGTGCAAGTGGTGCTATCGCTGTGACCAGTGGTGGGAGTGCTGGGGCTTTGACTGGTGGTGGGACGGAAGGGGGTGGCAGGGAGGCAGGGGATGTGAGGGAGATGGAAGGGATGGTGGAAGTGGAAGGGATCGACATCAAGCTGCTGCAGGTAAGGTGATTGGTGAGGGAATGGGGGGGCATGGTATTGGTGGATGTGAGGGAATGGAAGGGCATGGGATTGGTGGATGTGAGGAAGATGGAAGGCATGTGGAGGTGGGAGGGATCGACATCAAGCTGCTGCAGGTGAGAGAGCTCACCTCACCTTCCCTCAGCCTTGAGAATTCTCAACCGTGGCCTCACTCATGTCTCCTTGTGATTGCTTATGGATCTACTTAATGGAACTCCAGCGTGTTTTTTAGAATTCTCAAGAACATACCCCAGCGTGTTTTTGAGAATTCTCAAGAACATACCCCAGCGTGTTTTTGAGAATTCTCAAGAACTCCATGTGATTGCTTATGGATCTTCTCAATGAAACTCCAGCCTGGCCCGCACCATGATTATTGTGTGGCTTATGGTCGCACTAGTGGGTCTGTTCAACAGGAAGATTCCCCGTCCTCCCTACGTACAAGCATTTACCTTGGAAATCCGATTTGCATATGTTTTTGCATATATGCATATGCACATGTATGTATGTATTGTATGCGACTGTGTTTTCCACCCTCCGAATCTGTCCTCACTGACTTACACCAGTCCGGTAGCTCCTCCGAGTTGAGTGCAAAGGAGGAGGCAGCAGCACCAACAGGGAAGGGTAGGGAGAGGAGAGAGGGGAAAGAGCCGGAGGGAGAGGAAGGGAGAGGGGAGGAGGAAGAGGAAGAGGAGAGGGAGGAGGAGAGAGAGGAGGAGATGGATCGCCGGGTGTTGCTGCACGGGCGGACGGACGGCCTGTGGGCGTCCTTGTCTCTTTCTCAAAGAGACCTGGCTCTTGAGGCTGTGCTGTGTGTGAGTTGATATGAGACGTCATTCACTCGCCCTTCAGTTATTTGTTCATGCTGTTATTGCAATAACAGCCTCCTTGTGGGCTTCCTTGTCCTCTTGCCAATGCACATGTCAATGCCGATGCTGATGCCTATTCCAATATCCATCCCCATGCCCATGCCCGTCCCCTTGCCCATGCCCATGCCCATGCCCATGCCCATGCCCATGCCCATGCCCGTCCCCATGCCCATGCCCATGCCCATGCCCGTCCCCATGCCCATGCCCATGCCCGTCCCCATGCCCATGCCCATCCTAAAAGCAGCATCCACGCCCCCATCCACTCCTCACATCGTAGATGCTCAACATGTATATCGTTTGACATCTTCCAGTGAGCAGCAATGCTAAGGTTGACATGCTACGAGAATCAGTGCATGATGGGAGGAGTGGATGCTCAACATGTATATGATATCCAGTATATCTGCCCAGTTTCCGCATTTCCTTTTCCATCCACTCCCCCAACCACTCTTCAACTTTATAACCTCCCTCCATACACAACCTCTACCCCGAAACCTTCCACCACCTCCCCCTGTTCCCCCTTGTCCACCCCCTCTACCCTCTCTCTCCCCTTGTCCACTCACACAGAATGCCGGTATCGACTCTCGTTCCCCATCCCTCAAGCCCCCACCGCTCCCCATCTCTCTCAGCCACTCCACCTCCAGCACCACCGCACAGCACCCCATCCTCTCCTCAGCCGTGGTTCTCCGCTCCCTCAACCCGTCTCCAGCCATGGGTGCTGCGGCTACCAGTGGCACCATGATAGGACGCACCTTGAGGGATTGGCGGGTGGGGAGGGAGGGCGTGGGAGGGGTGGGAGGAGGGAGAGGAGTAGGAGGAGGCGGAGGAGGAGGAGGAGGAGGAGGAGGAGGGGAGGGGGCACCGTTGTGTTCAATGGCAGTGGTGGTGAATCGGCTGGCTTCGCGGCCACAGCACATTCGCTCCGCATCCTTCCTGCTGCAGGTGAGCTTTCTTTTGAGGCGCCTCAAAAGCCTGCTGCAGGTGAGCTCACGCAGAATGAATCATTCTTCTGCTGCGGCCTTCTTGCTGCAGATTTGTCCAGTCAGAATGCTTGGTGGGGTGGTTCACATATCCTTAGGAATCTCAAAATAGGCTTGAGGATCGAAAAGAACCGCCTTTGTGCTGCTGTGAGGATGCAATGTGATGGAAATAAGACCTCCGCATCCCACCTGTCCTCTCTTGACAAAACCTCAAACTAGGCTTGAGGATTGAAAAGAACCGGCTTTGTGCTGCTGCGAGGATGCAATGCTGTTGATGCCTTTGACGCCCCCATCCCACCCAACCCAACCCCACCCCACCCCATTCCAACCCATTCCATCGCACCAGGCAGTGGAGGTGAACATAGATGAGAGCACGTTGCTGCGCCTCGTGCCATTCTACCGAAGCAAGGACCCCAGCGTGCCCGTTTGATTGATGCCCTTCCACCACGCTCCCATCCCATCCCACTCACGCACCCCACCCCACTTCACCCCACTCCACCCTTTTCAACCCATTCCACCACACCAGGCAGTGGAGGTGAACATAGATGAGAGCACGTTGCTGCGCCTCGTGCCCTTCTATCGCAGCAAGGATCCCAGCGTGCCCGTGCGCGACTGGAGCACCACGCCCATCTACATCGAATACCTCGAGATTCATCCCATCAAGGTGGGATGGGATTATGAGCATGTGTTTCGTTCTGTGCTGTGTTGTGCTGTGCTATGCTGTGCTGTGCTGTGCTGTGCTGTGCTGTGCTGTGCTGTGCTGTGCTGTGCTGTGCTGTGCTGTGCTGTGCTGTGCGGTGCTATGCTGTGCTGTGCTGTGCTGTGCTGTGCTGTGCTGTGCTGTGCTGTGCTGTGCTGTGCTGTGCTGTGCTGTGCGGTGCTGTGCTGTGCTGTGCTGTGCTGTGCTGTGCTGTGCTGTGCTGTGCTGTGCTGTGCTGTGCTGTGCTGTGCTGTGCTGTGCTGTGCTGTGCTGTGCTGTGCTGTGCTGTGCTGTGCGGTGCTGTGCTGTGCTGTGCTGTGCTGTGCTGTGCTGTGAGGTAGGCCCATTGCAAAGCACGCTCTCAACTTTTGAGACGTCTCAAAAGACCAAGAGCACCATGGTTTAGGCTTTAGGAAAAGGGATTCTCACATGAAATGCTTTGAAATGGACGCGTTATGATGTAGCTTGGCCTAACTACGTTGCTTGGATCCATCCCCCCCCATCCCCCATCCCCCATCCTCCATCTCCCATCCCTCACACCCCATTCCCCATCCCCTCGTCCCCTTCCCCCCATTCCGCCATCCCCCCAATCCGCCATCTCCCCATCCCGCCATTTCCCCCTCCCCCTTCCCTCAGGTGGTGGCGAGTTTCCTCCCCAGTGCACCGGGTGCCATCGACTACTCGTCAGCACAGGAGGCGCTGAGGGAGATGCTGCACCCCACGGGATGATTCAAGTGCTCTAGGCAATCTGCCTCACCAGTACCCAATGTCTATCCCCCCATCCCCCACCCCTTCCCTCAGGTGGTGGCGAGTTTCTTCCCTAGTGCCCCAGGTGCCATATACTACTCGTCAGCACAGGAAGCGCCGATGGGGATTCTGCACACCATTACCCAATGTGTATCCCCATCCCACATCCCTCATCCTTGTCCCTCGTCCCCCGCCCATCGTCCTTCACTCCCCCACTTTCAGGTGGTGGCGAGTTTTCTCCCCAGTGCACCGGGTGCCATTGACTACTCGTCAGCACAGGAGGCGCTGCGGGGGATTCTGCACTCGGTGATTCAAGTGCCGGCAGTGCAGCGCACACCCATCCACCTGCACGGGCTGCTGCTCACCCATGCTCTCACCTCATCCAAACAGATGGTTGCCAAGCTCACCCGGCACTACTCTTGGTGAGTCTGGTCGCTTGGTGCTCTCAGGTGCTGCTTCCCTGTGACCTGCAAGTGATCCAAGTGCCGGCAGTGCAGCGCACACCCATCCACCTGCACGGGCTGCTGCTCACGCTTGTTTGATGTTGTCCAAGCAGATGGTTGCTAAGCTTACAAGGCACTACTCGTGGTGAGTTTGACTGCTTGGAACTGCCTCCCTGCGGGTCAGTCATCCAAGCGCCAGCAGTGCAGCGCACGCCCATCCACCTGCATGGGCTGCTGTTGACGCATGCCCTCACCTCCTCCAAGCAGATGGTTGCCAAGTTGACCCGACACTACTCATGGTGCGTACAGGCAGGCAGTGTGGTACGTGCTTAGTGCGCAGAGGGGCACTAAGCGGTGTGTGACCCGGCACTACTCATGGTGTGTTACGGGCTGGCTGGCGCTGCTTTGTTTGTGTAAGGGGGCTAACCTGACGCATCCACTCACAACCACTTCACCTTCTCTTTTTCATCTCCCGTTCTCGCCATCTGCTATCCCCATCCTTCCCCAATCCACACGCAGGTACGTCCTAAGAGCAGTGTACATAGCGCGGGGCCTGCCGCTGCTGCCACAGCCCTTCACGGCTCTCTTTGACGACTCCGCCTCATCAGCTCTGGATGCGTTCTTCGACCCCTCTCAGGGCCACATCGCCCTCGCCACTGCCACCACCAGAGGTACGGATGGGGTTATAGGCGCTACCTTGTGTGCTGCATAGGCCACCACAAGTCTACCACAGCCCATCACAGCCCTTCACGGCTCTCTTTGACGACTCTGCCTCGTCAGCTCTGGATGCGTTCTTCGACCCCTCACAGGGGCACATCGCCCTCGCCACCGCCACCACCAGAGGTACGGACAGTGTGTGGGATTGTAGCTTATAGGTGCTGCCTTGTGTGCTGCACAGACCACTTCTGGGCCACGGCCCTTCATGGCTGCCTCGTCAGCTCTGGATGATTTCTTCGACCCCTCACAGGGGCACATCGCCCTGGCCCCTGGCCACCGCCACCACCAGAGGTACGAAGAGTAGGATTATAGCCTATAGCCCATAGATGCTGCCTGCCTGTGTGCTGTATAGACCACCACCACCACCACAGGTCCACAGCCCTTCACGGCTCTCTTTGACGACTCTGCTTCGTCGGCTCTGGATGCGTTCTTCGACCCCTCACAGGGGCACATCGCCCTCGCCACCGCCACCACCAGAGGTACAGACAGTGGGGTTGTAGCCTATAGCCCATAGGTGCTGCCTGCCTGTGTGCTGTATAGACCACCACCACCACAGGGCCACAGCCGTTCACGGCGCTCTTTGACTACTCTGCCTCATCAGCTCCCGACATCCATCCATCCATCAATTTATTCCCCTTACAGGAATATTTGATATTCTCCGCAAGGTGGTGAGGAGGCGAGATGCTGGTGGCGGTGGCAGCGCGTTTGGCATCTCACCCACTCTCTTCCTGGGGGACGTGGAGTCTACGGTGAGCACAGCCTTTTGAGACGTCTCAAAAGTCGTCTACTTACACGTGGAGTCTACGGTGAGAACAGCCTTGACACTTATGGCGAGTACAGTCTCACGTTCTTGAGTTCGGATGTGCTTGGCATGACATCTCACCCAGTCTCTTCTTAAAGGAACGTGGAGTCTACAGTGAGTTCTAGAGTTCACCGTGAGGCTTATAGTGAGTAGCGCAACATGTCTATAGCGGGTACAGCATCACTTTTTCTGAGTTCAGATCTGCTCGTTTGGCATCTCACCCACGCTCTTCCTTGGAGACATGGAATCCACAGTGAGTACTACAGTACACCATCAGGCTTGAAGTGAGTTAGGCATTTGGGTAGTACTCAGAATTTCCTATTCTGAGAGGGTCAATTCAGGATTTCGGTCTTTGGATTCGGGGTCTATAGATGGGACTGGACCCAGATTCCTTGCATGCTTTATTTTTTTACATGTGTCCTTTTTCTTGCATGCTTTATTCTTTTACGTGTCCTTTTTCTTGCATGCTTTATTTTTTTACGTGTCCTTTTTCTTGCATGCTTTCTTCATTGATCATCTCTCGTCCCTGTCTTTGCTGTCAACTCTGTCTCTTGCCATCACCACCGTTCTCCTTCCCATCAGGTGCGGGAGGCGGGCACAGGAGTGGTGCACGCAATGGTATCAGAGATCTCTGATTCCATGATGAAAGGGGTGGAGAGCGGTGGGCTGCCGGGCCTGGTGAGTCAAGTCCTTTCTCCCATCCCATGCGATCCATCCCACGTAAACCATTGCACCCCACCCCACCCCACCCCATCCATCCTGTATATTACCATGACTTTCATCGTGCCCCTCTAAATATTGTCACGGAGCCAAACAGACACCATGCTCACTCCTCTCCTCTACCCCTGAGGTGACTTTTGAGTCGACTCAAAAGCCAAACAGACACCATGCTCACTCCGCTCCTCTACCCCTGAGGTGACTTTTGAGTCGACTCAAAAGCCAAACAGACACCATGCTCACTCCGCTCCTCTACCCCTGAGGTGACTTTTGAGTCGACTCAAAAGCCAAACAGACACCATGCTCACTCCGCTCCTCTACCCCTGAGGTGACTTTTGAGTCGACTCAAAAGCCAAACAGACACCATGCTCACTCCGCTCCTCTACCCCTGCGCTGCTCTTTTAACACGTTAACCAATCCCTTGTCGTACCATCTCCCATCCCATCCCATCCCATCCCATCCCATCCCATCCCATCCCATCCCATCCATCAGGCCAAGGGCTTTCAGCGTGCCATTGTCCGCATTGCCATGGAGCCGGACACCATGCTCGCGCCCCTGCTACACCCCTTCACTGCTCTTTCAATGCGTTGACCAAGTCTCTTGCTATGTACCCCGCACCATCCCATCCCATCCCATCCATCAGGCCAAGGGTTTCCATCGAGCCATCCTCCGCATTGCCATGGAGCCGGACACCATGCTCGCGCCCCTGCTACACCCCTTCACTGCTCTTTCAATGCGTTGACCAAGTCTCTTGCTATGTACCCCGCACCATCCCATCCCATCCCATCCATCAGGCCAAGGGTTTCCATCGAGCCATCCTCCGCATTGCCATGGAGCCGGACACCATGCTCGCGCCCCTGCTACACCCCTTCACTGCTCTTTCAATGCGTTGACCAAGTCTCTTGCTATGTACCCCGCACCATCCCATCCCATCCCATCCATCAGGCCAAGGGCTTCCATCGAGCCATCCTCCGCATTGCCATGGAGCCAGACACCATGCTCTCTCCCCCTGCTCCACCCCTCTGCTAGTCTTTCGACACATTGACATATCCCTTCTTTTACCATCACCGCGTGCTTCCCCCCAGGCCAAGGGCTTCCATCGAGCCATCCTCCGCATTGCCATGGAGCCAGACACCATGCTCTCTCCCCCTGCTCCACCCCTCTGCTCCTCTTTTGACACATTGACATATCCCTTCTTTTACCATCCCCGCGTGCTTCCCCCCAGGCCAAGGGCTTCCATCAAGCCATCCTCCGCATTGCCATGGAGCCGGACACCATGCTCTCTCCCCCTGCTCCACCCCTCTGCTCCTCTTTCGACACATTGACATATCCCTTCTTTTACCATCACCGCGTGCTTCCCCCCAGGCCAAGGGCTTCCATCGAGCCATCCTCCGCATTGCCATGGAGCCAGACACCATGCTCTCTCCCCCTGCTCCACCCCTCTGCTAGTCTTTCGACACATTGACATATCCCTTCTTTTACCATCCCCGCGTGCTTCCCCCCAGGCCAAGGGCTTCCATCGAGCCATCCTCCGCATTGCCATGGAGCCGGACACCATGCTCGCGCCTCTCCTGCATCCCTTCGCACCCGGATTCACTGCCGCCCTCTCTTCTTCCTCCTCCTCCTCCTCCACTCGCCGCCGCTTCCTCTCCACCACCCGTATCCGCCTGCGCACCAGCCTGGGACTGCACGAGGTAAGCTTTCTAGGGTGTTTGTTGAGCGGTTTTTGCTTCTGAAACCCTCTTCTCCGCTTCTGAAACCCCTCGCATCCTCCTGCGCACCAGCCTCAGGCTGCACGAGGTAAGCTTTATAGGCTTCAAAGCTCAGCGTCTAAGGTTTAATGTTCAGAGATTCCTGTTCAGGGTTTGTGCTTCTGCAACCGTCTCTTCTGATTTCTCCTCATCCACTCGCCACCACGTACTGTCCTCTCCACTTACCCTCCTCTCCACTTCTCCCAACCTTGCCCCAGGCATGCACATAGGCCGACATACAAGCCATGGTGGAAGCACCACTCTCTCTGCATCCCCTTCCCAAACCGTTCTTCTTACTGCTTCCGGTTCTGCTCTCTCCTTACCCCAGGCATACGTTGAGGGCTGTCTGCAAGCCATGCTGGATAGTCTATATCGCCAGGCCTAACCATTCCCCGTGCCCTTGACTACACCACTTTCTCAATCCTTTCCCCCAGGCGTACGTGGAGGGATACCTACAAGCCATGCTGGACACGCTATATCTTGCCCTGACCATACTCTCCATCTATTTTCCTGACGCTCAAATCAACGCACACCCTGTATTAAACCCTTGCTCTCTCCCATCAGGCGTATGTTGAGAGTTATCTGCAAGCCATGCTGGAGAAGAGACCCTAACCATGCCCGTTGCCCTCGACTTAATGTACTCCTGAACCCTGTTCCACACACCAGGCGTACGTGGAGGGATACCTACAAGCCATGCTTGACACGCTGTATCGCCAGCCCTATGTGACTGTCAAGATCGCCAACGACACAGTAAGCTCCCTGTTATCGCCCTGTGAATCACTTTTGAAAATACACAAGATTCAAGCCATGCTCGACACGATATATCGCCAGCCCTATGTGACTGTCAAGATCGCCAACGACACAGTAAGCTGAATTCCTAAGGCCCCTCAAAAAAAGACACAGTATTGTCCTTCTCTTGCTTTAGGCATTTCACAGTGAGTGACGAATCAAGGCCCTCAATGCAATCACACCAGTATGTCCTCTCACTCACTCTGTTACAGAGCACACGTACCAACGGGACCTTACCACACCTCTCACCATGCTCCCTTCATTTCGGCACAACGCTGCTGGTCATGTCATCCCCCTCCCACTCTCCCCCCACTCCCTCCCCGCTCTACCCCGACCCACTGCCCCTTCCTCTCCAGGTCGTTCTGAAGAACCTACCCCCCAACACATCTCTCACCAATGAGATGGTGACATGCGTCACAGACTTCCTGGTCACAGAAGGGCTGTTGGAGCCTGAGAGGGGAGGCGGCAGGGATGGAGGCAGGGGAGGAGGAAGGGGAAGGATGGGGATGCCGGTTGCTGGTGGTGCTGGTATCGGTGGTGCTGCTGGTGGGGCCGGGGAGGTGTCTGCTTTCCGATCACTGCGGCGCATTCACGGGGAGCAGATGGTGAGTTTTGTGGGGAATGAGGTGGTGAGAGAGAGTCGTGTTTTGAGTCGACTCAAAACACGGCAGGGGAGGTGTCTGCTTTCCGATCACTGCGGCGCATTCATGGGGAGCCGTGTGTGGGATGAGGTGGTGAGAGAGAGGCGTGTTTTGAGTCGACTCAAAGCATGAGCCGTGTGCGGGATGAGGTGGTGAGAGAGAGGATGTGTGCGCTCACGTGTGATGAGATGTGTTTTGAGTCGACTCAAAGCATGAGCCGTGTGCGGGATGAGGTGGTGAGAGAGAGGATGCGTGCGCTCACGTGTGATGAGATGTGTTTTGAGTCGACTCAAAGCATGAGCCGTGTGCGGGATGAGGTGGTGAGAGAGAGGATGCGTGCGCTCACGTGTGATGAGATGTGTTTTGAGTCGACTCAAAGCATGAGCCGTGTGCGGGATGAGGTGGTGAGAGAGAGGATGCGTGCGCTCACGTGTGATGAGATGTGTTTTGAGTCGACTCAAAGCATGAGCCGTGTGCGGGATGAGGTGGTGAGAGAGAGGATGCGTGCGCTCACGTGTGATGAGATGTGTTTTGAGTCGACTCAAAGCATGAGCCGTGTGCGGGATGAGGTGGTGAGAGAGAGGATGTGTGCGCTCACGTGTGATGAGATGTGAAGAAAGTGGATCGGTGAACTTAGGGCACGATAGGAAGAAGAAATATCCTTAGCAAGAAAATGGTACAAGTCTTAAAGACTAGAGCAAGGTCCTTGTCAAGGATAATCCCTAGTGAAGTGGGAAGCCACATATATGTGGCTGAACTCTTGAGGCTAGCTGCAGCACCTCAATGCTGAGGGCTAGGCTAGCCAACCTTGCCAAGCTAGCAAGTGAGGCCACATGTTGCACATGTGGGCCAAGCTGGAACAACAGCCCACATGACAGCATATGGCACACCATAGAGGCCAGCAAGGTGAGTGTGGGATGAGTGGACAGGTGGCAATGCCAGCTGTGACCACACTTCACTGTGGTGGAGTGTGGTAGAGTGTGGACATGTAATGTGGAGCATAATGAGAAGGGAACCTGCAGCTACTGAGAATTGAACCCACAACCTCTAAGACCACAGGTGAGAATCTACCCTCCGGGACATATTTGCTGCACAACACCCCCCCTCAAGGATGTCCCCGGGGTAGGGTTCTTCAAGCGGAGACATGGGTGAGACCGAGAAGACCACGGATGCGTAGAAAAGGGTCACGGGGCAAAGGTTTGGTGCCAATGTCAGCGAGGTTGTCTTGAGTAGGAACATAGTGAAGGGTGACGGAGTGGTCGGCGACATGATCACGAATGAAATGGTGCTTGATGTCGATGTGTTTGGCCTTGGGATGAAAGACGCCGTCGTCCTTGGCCAGAATGATGGCGGCGCTGTTGTCACACGAGATGCGGGTGGGGCCGGGTGGGGGAAGTCCAAGTGCAGTAAGGAGGGATCGAAGCCATAAGGCCTCATGCACCGCGGCGCCCAGAGAATAGTATTCAGCTTCACATGAGGAGGTAGCGACGACAGCTTGACGTTTGGACTGCCAAGAGATGAGTGACGGACCGAGGAAGAACAAGTAGCACGTAACGGAGCGTCGGAGCTCGCCCTCCGGTCCCCAAGAGGCGTCACACCACCCATGGAGTTCAAGGGTGTTGGGAATGCCGCCAAGGAGAAGCCCGAGTGAGGTAGTCCCTTTCAAGTAGCGAGCAACGCGTTTGGCAGCCGAGACGTGAGGAGTAGACCAATCATGAAGGTGACGAGCAAGAACTCCAGCGCTATATGCGAGGTCGGGACGGGAACCCACCATGGCATACATGATGGATCCGACAAACGAGGTGTAAGGAAAGGAGGAGGAGTGTGGTGAGGAAGTCACGGGCGGCTGAAACTTGGTGTCCATGGGGGTGGCAGCAGGGTTAAGTGGTGTGAATGAGTAGGTGTCTAAGATGGAGGTGATGAATTTGGATTGATGAAGGTGGAGAGTGCGTGAGGTCCGATCACGAGTGATGTAAAAGCCAAGGTAGTAGGAAAGAGGACCGAGGTCACGAAGCTTGAAGCGAGATGAAAGGGCACGCTTGAATGAGGAGAGAAGAGAAGAGGAGGAAAGAATGATGAGGTCGTCAACATAGACGAGAAGCATGAAGAAAGATGCAGCTGTAGGCCGATAAGGAGATTGTGGAGTAGCAATGAAGAGGCCGGGGTCCGCACGGGCAGCAAAAAGGTGAAATGCAGCAAGCTCTTCACGAAGTTTGCGGTACCAGCACCGCGGCGCTTGCTTCAACCCGTACAACGGTTTGTGCAAGAGACAAACTTGCTCAACACCATGGACCGCCGGAAGCTCATAACCGGGAGGCTGCATCATGTAGAGAATTTCATCAAGAGTGCCGTTGAGGAAGGCGTTGGAAATGTCCAGCTGATGGACTTCCAGGTCGAAAGCGGCAGCAATAGTGAGGAAGAGGCGGAGGGTGGCGAAGCGAACGGTAGGAGCAAAGGTGTCATGGAAATCAACACCGTCGCGTTGTTTGAAACCTTTGACAACAAGGCGGGCTTTGCGGCGTTCAATAGAACCATCAGCATGCTCCTTGACCTTAAAAATCCATTTGCATGGAATCAGTTTGCACTTGGGTGGTCGAGGAACAACGCTGTAAGTGTCATTAGCGTGCAGGGCAGCGAGTTCCGCATCAGCAGCCTTGATCCATTCAGCAGCATCAGGGCCGGTGCGGGCCTCATGAATGTTTTGAGGTTCGTAATGATGATGAAGGGCGGCATTAGCAGAGGGCTCGGAAAGAGGAGGAAGGGTGAAGTCAATGGGTTCAGAAGGAGAGGGTAGGACCTTGAGCAGTGAGAAAAGTGAAGGATTGGAAGGAGCTGAAGGGGATGGTGGTGAGGAACTAGAGGTGCAAGGGGGAGGACGAGCTGAAGAAGGAGAGGAGAGGGATGGAAGGCGGAAGTCTTGCGGCGTCGAGGGCAGAGGAAGATTGGAAAACAAAGGAGGAGGAGAAGAGGTTGCTGGTGCTGGCAGATTTGGAGATGGGGGGAGGAGGGTGGTGGAAGAGGTCATGGGAGGTGAACGAGAGGGAGGGGAGGTTGGGTTTGAGAGGGAAGGGGGTGGAGGAGGAGCCGGAGAGGATGATATGGGTGGTGGAGATGACGATGGAGGTTCTCGAGGGTCATCCGAAGGTGGCGAAGAGGGCTCCATGAAGATGACATCACGAGAAAATGTGACACGGTGCTGAGTTGGGATATAGATGCGATAAGCTTTGGTGCCGTCAAGATGACCATACCCAACCATGACGCCGGCCGTGCTTCGGTCGTCGAGTTTGGAGCGGCGTTGCGGAGGAACGAGGACTGAAACGGGTGAACCGAAGATGCAGAGGTGGGATACGTCCGGACGTGCACCGGTCCATAGTTCTATGGGAGTCTTGGAAGCTGAACCACCCCGACTAATAGCATGATTTCGGAGATAGGCAGCAGTGAGAGCGGCTTCACCCCACCATCCTCTGTCCATGTGTGCGTCATGAAGCATGGAACGGACCATCTCAAGTATAGTCCGATTGGCGCGTTCAGCAACTCCATTTTGTTCGGGTGTGTATGGCGTAGAGCGGTGTCGAGCGATGCCATGAGCATTAAGGAATGAAGTGAAGGCCTCGGAATTGAACTCCAAGGCACCAACGAGCGAAACGCTTTGATGGTCCTTGGGGAATGCATATTGTGCACCCGAGTGACGTACGCTTTGAAGCACGACAATGCCTCTGAACGATGGCGAAGTAGATACACGGTAATGTGGCGGGAATAGTCGTCGATGAAGGTGAGAAGGTAGCGAGCGCCTCCAATGGTAGTTCCATATGAAAAGGGTCCAGCAATATCCGAATGAATGAGTTGGAGCGGTGCGGTGGTGCGAGAATGGGACACACCAAATGGTTGACGCGTTTGTTTCACACGATAGCACGAGATGCATTGAGCAATTGAGGAGGAGGAGAGGTTAAGACCGGAGACCAGCTGCTGCCGATGAAGTGTTGACAAGTCCCACATGTTAAGATGCCCGAAACGGCGATGCCAAAGGTATGAGAAGGAGGTGGTGGAGACTGGACATGCCGATGGGTTGATGGGGGGGGCGGCACTCTTTCCATGATGCAGCTGAAGATAGAACAGATTGTTGCGGGTAAAGCCCTCGGCAATAAGAGCCTCATCAGTCTTGAGCTCAACCCGCCCAGTAATGGGGAAGGAAACGGCAATGCCGGCAGCTCCAAGTGCACGAACTGAGAGCAGATTGTGAACCGATGAAGGGAGAAACAGAACGTTGTCTAGCTGAATGGTGGTTTCCGAGGTTTGGGAACGAAGAGTAGCCACCACCGTGCCGACTCCCAAGACCTTGTAAGTCTCTCCGCCACCAAAGCGAACGATAATATCATCAGCTGGCTGCTGGAGAGATGAAAACAGCGAGCGATCGGAGCAGATATGGGAAGATGCGCCGCTGTCCACCAGCCAGGAAGACGTCCGGACCAAGTTTGATGAAGAGGCCGTGAATGGCGATGCATAGGGAGCACCATAAGGGAAGAGGAGGAGGAGGAGGAGGAGGAGGAGGAGGAGGAGGAGGAGGAGGAGGAGGAGGAGGAGGAGGAGGAGGAGGAGGAGGAGGAGGAGGAGGATGGTGAAGATGAAGAGAGTAGCGACGAGAGGAGTCCAGGTGGGGAGGATGGAGCCGTGGCTGGTGCTGAAAGCAATGTCAACGTAACGGGAATCAGGTACGGACTGAGAGGCTGATGGGGCAGTAGGTGTTGTGGAGGTCGAAGGGATGTCGGCGGAGGAGCTTGTTGACACATGCACCGAAGGCTGGATGACAGATTTCTCCCGTCGAGAGCTTTCTTCGATCTCTTTCTTCTTCTTCAACTTGAAGCATTCGTCAATAGTGTGTCCGGTTTTCTTGCAGTAGCGGCAAGTAGGGGACTGGCGGGAACCGGAGCAAATAGGGTGGGAGGGCTGGGAATGGAGGTTGTATGCACCTTCCATGTTGCGGCTTGTACCAGATTGTGACCGCTCCCAATCGGCATCGAGTAGACGTGACGGCAGGTATTCAACCGTCATAGACTTGATGTCTTTCACGGTGCAAATAGTTTCTGTGAGAGTCTTGAAGGAGTCCGGCAGATTGAGAATGATGGAGATTACCACCACCCAAGATGGTAACTCGAAGCCGGCAGATTTGAGTTGGTGCGTAAGATTTCCAACTCGATCGAAGTAGGAGCGAAGACTCATTGTTGGGTCCATCCGTGTAGTGATGAGATCTCGGAGGAGAGCCACTTGTGCATGGTTACCCATGCAGTCAAACCGCGCCATGATGCATCCCCACATGTCCTTCGTCGTGTTGGCTTGAGCAAGTGTGAGCGAGAGCTGAGGATGGATGGCTGACATGTGAAGATAGTACGCATGCTCCTCTTTTTCTTCATCCGGCAGCGACGCAATCGAGTGGGCTGTTTTAGGGGCTGCACCATTGTTGCCTTCAGTAGCATCTCCACTGCTGGTTGTGGAGGAGGAAATGGAAGGGCGGGAAGCAACCTTGGGATCTCCAAGAAAGGAGATCAGCCCAAGGACATTAAAGATGTAGCATATCTTTTTCTTCCATGGAATGAAGTTGGAACCATCCGGTTCCAAGATAGGAAGGGTGTGCCGACCGAGAGGCGTCTCAACTTGAGCCATCAAGTGTGCGACGTTCACAAAGCTAGAAGCCTAGCTCTGATAGCATGAAGAAAGTGGATCGGTGAACTTAGGGCACGATAGGAAGAAGAAATCTCCTTAGCAAGAAAATGGTACAAGTCTTAAAGACTAGAGCAAGGTCCTTGTCAAGGATAATCCCTAGTGAAGTGGGAAACCACATATATGTGACTGAACTCTTGAGGCTAGCTGCAGCACCTCAATGGTGAGGGCTAGGCTAGCCAACCTTGCCAAGCTAGCAAGTGAGGCCACATGTTGCACATGCGGGCCAGGCTGGAACAACAGCCCACATGACAGCATATGGCACACCATAGAGGCCAGCAAGGTGAGTGTGGGATGAGTGGACAGGTGGCAATGCCAGCTGTGACCACACTTCACTGTGGTGGAGTGTGGTAGAGTGTGGACATGTAATGTGGAGCATAATGAGAAGGGAACCTGCAGCTACTGAGAATTGAACCCACAACCTCTAAGACCACAGGTGAGAATCTACCCTCCGGGACATATTTGCTGCACAACAAGATGTGTTTTGAGTTGACTCAAACATGAGCCGTGTGCGGGATGAGGTGGTGAGAGAGAGGATGCGTGCGCTCACGTGTGATGAGATGTGTTTTGAGTCGACTCAAAGCATGAGCCGTGTGCGGGATGAGGTGGTGAGAGAGAGGATGTGTGCGCTCACGTGTGATGAGATGTGTTTTGAGTCGACTCAAAGCATGAGCCGTGTGCGGGATGAGGTGGTGAGAGAGAGGATGCGTGCGCTCACGTGTGATGAGATGTGTTTTGAGTCGACTCAAAGCATGAGCCGTGTGCGGGATGAGGTGGTGAAGGAGAGGATACGTGCGCTCACGTGTTGTGAGATGGTGACCAGTGTCACAATCTCATCACAAAAGAACTTCCTAGTCACAGAAGGGCTGCTGGGAGCCCGTCGCATCTGCACTCTCTCTCACACGCCACCAGACTGGGTAGGTTAGCAGCTACCATGCTTGCTTACCCACCCAATCCCCCTTTCCCCCATTCCTACCCCTCTTCTCCCTACCCCAGGGCCCCCACAACGCACGGGTGGCAGTGTGGGCGCTGCTAGAACAGCTAGCAGTCACTCTTCTCATCCGCACGCTCCGACACCAGACTGCCAGGTGGCTGCACGTCAAGCCGCCACCTGGCACCCAGGCAGACGAAGGGGCAGCACTTACCCCTCCTGCTACAGCCGCTGCTACAGGAGACGGTAGAGGGGAGGAAGGGCAAGGGGAAGGGAGGGCTGGTGGGGGAGCGAGGGAGAGGGTGGGAGGAGTAAGGGCAGGAGGGAGAGTGCGGGCGGCGGTGAGTCATGTGGTGGTGGCGAGTGTGGTGGCATATGTGGATGGCCGGCTGTGTCGCCACATCCCCAACGCGTTTCTGAGAAGGGTTGTGAGCGGCTTCCTGCTCAGCTTCGTGGACCTCTGACAGTATTTCTTCTGAAAACGTGGTGGTGGCGAGTGTGGTGGCATATGGATGGCCAGCTGTGTCGCGACATCCCCAATGCCTTTCTGAGTAGGGTTGTCAGCGGCTTCCTTCCTGCTCTGCTTCGTGGACCTCTGAAATGCCTGACTAGGTTTACTTTCAAGCGGATAAAACAATTACCAGGGTTTAGAGAGTGTCGCGTTATGAATCGCTGTATTGTTGTCACCGCGAACTAGCAGTGGAGTCTGGAACAAATATGAAAACGAAAACATAAAATGCACTTGATTTTAATAAAAATTTTGAGGAAACATTTACAGTGTCGTTATGCTGCTTCTTGCACAGCAGTGACTTTTTGTGAGGGGCCTGAAATGCCAATAACGAGTCATCCGCGGCTTCGCAGATTCTAGGCATGGCTAGTGGCGAGGCGAGCTTGTAAGGACAAGAGTATGTTTTCGATAGCCTCCTATTTAGGACAATCACAAGTTACTATCTAGGAATTGCGTGTCCGTCAGACCGCTCTGGACGGTTTGAAACTCGTTTCTGAAGGAGCAAGCGTTTCGCCATGGCTGTCGCTGTCTCAGCTCGATCGCACCAAGTCAGTAGCGGCTTTCCCGCTGATTCAGCTGCAGCCTCTAGCCTCTCGAATTTGTCAACATCGCAACCGCCCTATCCCGGCCGTTCGTTGCACGATGCCGCCTCCTCATTCGCGGATCTTGTTCTAGGCGCTTCCAGCAGTCGCACTGTAGCAGCAGCAGGACCTGACGGCCACTCCGCATCTCACGCCGCTTCTCACGCCGGGATTCCCGGACAATCCGCGGCTCGCGAAGCAGCCTCTCTCGAAGTTGACGTGTCAGCACAGCTGTCCGTCGCGGACCTGCTGACGTGTCTCTCGCGGATTGAAGAGCGGTCCGAGCAGGTAAAAGCGGAGATCATACAGGAGGTGGAAGGCCGACACGAGGAGCTTCGGCAGCTGATGTGGCATGCGTGCCAGGCTGGCGATGACGTGGCGGTTCTGCTAGCTGAGGTGGATGCCCTGGCTGCCAGTGTTTCACCAGCAGAAGCCACCGAATCCGATCCTAGCGGAAGGGAGGGAGGAGGGAATCATGAATTTGGCTCGGGACCAGCTTCGGCAACTGGCTCGGGAGCAGCACTAGGGTTCGTGGAGGAGGTGGTAAGGGCGACCAATGAGGTGCGAGCGTTGAATCAAGCAGCCAATGAGAAAGCAGAGATTCGGAAAGCAGTGGAGGAGATTGTTCAGCTCCAAAAGAAGCAAGCGGAGATGCAGCTACTGCTGGGGAGAGGAAGGCTCCTGGAAGCTGCGACTCTGGCTCGATGTCTTAAAGACTCCTTTGTGGAGGGTAGGGACGGGGAGGGAGAGGGGGGTAGGCAGGGCGAGGGAGAGGGGAAAGGTGGAGAGGAGGAGCAAGGAGAGGAGCCTGTGGTGGTGACGCTGCTGCGGCAGCAAGTGGACGGCAGCTGTAAGCAGGTGTGTGTGGCTCGGTGGCAATGGGTAACTGAATGTGTTGAAGTCATGTGGTAGTACTACCACATGACTCAAAGGGGAGGAGCCTGTGTGGTGGTGCCGCTGCTGCTGCAGCAAATGGACGCCGCCAGCTGTAAGCGGGTAGGGTAGGTCCACGTGGCTCAGATACGCCAAATCCTGACGTGTCTGGGGAGCCTCGTCTGGGTAGCCTCGTCTGGGTAGCCTCGTCTGGGCCGGTCCAGCCCAAGTGGAGGGAAGTGGAAAGCAATGAGAAAGTGTATCAATCCTGCCTCGTACATCAGCTGGAAGTATGTCAGAGGATCTACATCAGCTCAAGTACGTTTACTTCTTTGCTGATTGATACACTTCCTCATTGGTCTCCACTTCCCTCACATCCTCTCCACCCCTCTCCACCGCTCTCTACCCCGTTCCACCCCTTCAGCTGCAGCACAGCCTGGAGCAGCAGCTGTGGCAGATGCTGGTGATTGACCCGTCCAGCCACTCCATCCGTATAGTCACATCCGCTGCACTCACACCCGCCATCACCAGTGCTGCTGCTAGTACTGCTGCTTCCACTCCTATAGTGCACTTACCAGAGGTGCTGTCTGCCCTAGAAGTGCTGACGTCACCAGTACTCCCCCAACCATCAATACCATCTACATCAGCAGCAGCAGCAGGAGCATCATCATCATCCTCACTGCCAGTAGCAGCAGGGCCGCTATGGTCGAGAATAGCAGCGTCCATCCATTCAGCCATCGTGCTGCCTCTTCTCTACTCCCCATCCGCCTCACTCATCGCCTCCCCACCTGCTGATGCCACCCCTGCTTCCCCAAGGGACGCTGCTTCTCCCCCTGCTGTTGCTCTCATCCATGTGCAATCCGAAACCTCCGCACCCGCATCAGCGACACATGAGCCATCAGCTGGAGAACCTTCAGATTTTTCAGCAGCAGCAGGAGCGGCAGCAGGAGCGGCAGCAGGAGCGGCAACAGGAGCGGCAGCAGGAGCAGCAGCAGCAGCGGTGACGCCCTTCCATCTGTACCCGCTCCTGCTCGACCTCATCCGCTTTCTCAGCCGCCATCTCACCACCAGCAGTGGTGGCGGTGGCAGTGGCAGCACCATTCGACTGCAGCGTCTGGCAGCGGCCCTCTGGCCTCGAATGGCCGACAGCATCATTGAAAGGTGTTTGGCATTGGTAAGCTGCAAAATTTTTGCGAGTCAGTTGCCATCTCACATGGGTGGGGGTAGGGTAAACGCCAACTCGTTGCAACTGACTCACGTCTGCAGCACATGCCATTAGCCTGGCTGCTGCCCTCGTTGCAGCGCCTGGCTGCTGCCCTCGTTGCAGCGCCTGGCTGCTGCCCTCGTTGCAGCGCCTGGCTGCTGCCCTCGTTGCAGTGCCTGGCTGCTGCCCTCGTTGCAGTGCCTGGCTGCTGCCCTCTGGCTTTGAATGGCCGACAGCATCATTGAGCGAGAGGTGCCTGGCATTGGTTCGCTGTTCCATTTCTCAGTGAGTCGGGTTTTACAAGTCTTGATCCTTTTGCTTAAGCGATTTCTCTAGGTTTGCTGCTACTCCCAATATGAACCTCCTGGATCCTTGCAGCATTGAGTGAGAGGTGCGTGGCATTGGTAAGCTGTTCATTTTGCTTTTGAGTCGACTCAAAAGCAGCATCATTGAGTGAGAGGTGCGTGGCATTGGTAAGCTGTTCATTTTGCTTTTGAGTCGACTCAAAAGCAGCATCATTGAGTGAGAGGTGCGTGGCATTGGTAAGCTGTTCATTTTGCTTTTGAGTCGACTCAAAAGCAGCATCATTGAGTGAGAGGTGCGTGGCATTGGTAAGCTGTTCATTTTGCTTTTGAGTCGACTCAAAAGCAGCATCATTGAGTGAGAGGTGCGTGGCATTGGTAAGCTGTTCATTTTGCTTTTGAGTCGACTCAAAAGCAGCATCATTGAGTGAGAGGTGCGTGGCATTGGTAAGCTGTTCATTTTGCTTTTGAGTCGACTCAAAAGCAGCATCATTGAGTGAGAGGTGCGTGGCATTGGTAAGCTGTTCATTTTGCTTTTGAGTCGACTCAAAAGCAGCATCATTGAGTGAGAGGTGCGTGGCATTGGTAAGCTGTTCATTTTCTCAGTGACTCGGCATGGCTCTGCTTCAGGCTCGCGTTCGTTCACAAGGAGAAGGCAGGAAGTCAGTTACATGGCCTCAGCACACAGTTTCTCCTCTCCATTTTTTCCCATCGCATGCCCCCCTCAGGCTGCGCTTCAGGAAACGAGCTGGCTCGGTTCCAGGAGGTGGTGAAGGTCACTCGGCTGTTCAGTGAACGTTCCAAAGCTGCTCTTCCAATGCCAAGCACAGGTTTCTGTTTTCTTCTTTTCTCTTCCCATCTCTCCCTCAGGCTGTTCCCCAGGAAACGAGGGAACTGGCTCGGTTCCAAGAGGTGGTGGAGGTCACTCGGGCGTTCGAAGCAGCTCTCAGAGCGGAGGGTTTTCTCGCCCCTCTCCCAAAAGGTATCTCCCTCTTGCCTTGGTTTTCAGGCGTCTCGCGCCACTGCCTAAAGGTATGCTGCTGTTTATGGTAGGCTGCTGGCACTGGTTACTCATATGCACGCATGAACCCACGCAAGGGTACAGCAGCTGCTGATGGCAAATGCTGCCGACATGTGCCCCCCATTCCTTCCACCACCTCCCCTCTTGCTTTCTTCTCCACCCAGCCTCTGCAGCACTCACGGACGTGAAGCTTCAAGCAGGAGGGGGAGGGAGGGGCACTGAAGCGACCACCAGCAGCAGGGGTGGGGGACAGGCTAATGGCATGTGCTGCAGACGTGGATATGGAATTCGCAGAGAAGAAACGAGTGACTGCTCTTACTGCTCTGGCGGCTGCTGCTCACATCACATGCGCTCCCCGTTCCTTCCATCTCCTCTCTCGCTGTCCACCCAGCTTCTGCAGCACTCAAGGGCGTGAAACTGCAGGCAGGGGGGACAGTGAAGAGAGCAGCAGCAGCGGTGGGGGACAGGCTGATGGCATATGCTGCTGACGTGGACGTGCATTTGTGCCGATTCCCCCGACTGTCTTATTCCGTGATTGCTCTTCCCGTTTTGCTGTCCGTCTGCCCAGCTTCTGCAACAGCCAGGGACATGAAGTTAAGGGCAGGGGTAGCAGTGAAGAAAGCAGCACCTGTGGGGGACAGGCTGATGGCGTATGCGGCCGACGTGGACGTGCATTTCGCAGAGAAGAAACGAGTGGCTGCTCTGGCGGCTGTGAGGCACCTGCTGCTCAAGGGAGATTTTTCGGTTTCACGGCTGGTGGTGAGTGGTTGCGCTGGTGGGTGTGCTGGCTGGTCATGTGTGAGACGATTGAAGAGAGAAGAAACGAGTGATTGTGCTGGCGGCTGCAAGGCAGGCACCTGCTTCTCCGTTTCATTTTTCGCGGTGAGTGCTTGTGATTGCACTGCTGGGTGTGACTCACACCCATACCACCGTTTCACACCCACGCCCACCCGCCCACTGCACCCCATTTCACGCTCAGTCAGGCTCTATGCTGCTGCTGTGGAAGCGACATCAGATGTGCCCACTTGTTTGTCCTCATTTCCACTCGTTCAGTTCAGACCCTTAGTCCTCAGTACAGTACAGGACAGGATTCCTGCCCTGTGACCTGCCCTGTGGCATGCAGGCTGGAGTCTCTCATTCCCATTCTTTCCGACCCTTAGCCCCCACTGGATTCCTGCCCTGTGACCCGCAGGTCACTCCGGTGAGTCCAGACGTGAGCAACTTGTCGCTACAGCCCGCAGTGTTTGGGCAGCAGGTGCTGCAGCTGGTGGCGGGAGAGGCAGGCAGTGCTGCTGCTGATGTGACGTCTGACATGGTGAGCATCACCTCATTCGAGAGTCCTATCACAAAAAACAAAAAAACAAACAAACAAAAAACAAAACAAAACACACACACACACACACACACCCACACTCACACACACACACACACACACACACACATACACACACACACACACACACACACACACACACACACACAAAATAAAATAAAATATTGTAAAATTCTAGTCACTGACGAACTCTGTCCGTGTGGTGTCGCGTTGGCATTACTTGGTACGGTACAACTTGCTGTGTTCTATCTAACAAGAAATTGATCATCACGCAACCCATGCGTGTGCATGTCACGTCATCATCATCCTCTCTACAGGACAACTCGGTATTCTTCTGGGAGCCGTGCCACGTCAGCGAGCCTGTGTGCAAGATCCTCGAAATCGTTCACAACACCATGGAGGTACGGTTCTTCTTGTCGGTAAAAACACCATGGAGGTACAATGTCTATTTGCCACAAGCGCTTATGCATTCATGTTATTTTATGCATGCATACAGCACAGGAACTTGCAAGCCTGTGTCGCACCATGTCACCTTGGTCTACCATTTGCATTTTGAGATGAGTCAAAGTACGCGTCCCATCAATTTTTCTGACTTGTGTCCGATGCTCATTTGCTCGACCCGGCAGGCCTAAGCCGCATAGTCTGCAAATAAGTCCATCCGATCGGTATTTGCATTACGTGCTTTCCCTGTTCCACCTGCCTTCCAGGAAGCTTCCCAGTCCACGGATCGTACGGCCATGGAGCTCTATCGGGCTGCACGGGACATCTTCACCCTCTACCGCGCTCTGCCGTCCTCCGCTGTGAGATCTCTGAACCGCGTTGAACCGCTCTGCACCTTGTGCTGCTCTGCTGCCGAGCCTCTTAGGGCTCTCCTATGGCTCACATAAACACTGCTCCCCCTCATTCCTGTCGTTCTTTTGCCTGTGGACAAGTATCCACTGGCACAAGTATCCATGATAACATAGCAGTCCACACATATGGGTCACCTCCTGCTGCGCGGAGTTTTTGAGAATTCTCAAAAACACATATGGGTCACCTCCTGCTGCGCGGCCACGTGTGCCTCCAATGGTTTGACCCAGCCCTGCCTCTCCTTCCTTCTCTCCCTCCTTCCCCGGTGTTCCCTCATTCCCGCTCATTCTTCTGTAAACAGCCTGTTGACGTGGCACAGCTGGCAATGATCGCAGTCAACGACCGCCTGCTGCTCAGCCACGTGTGCCTCTCCCTCGCGTTGCAGTACCGCGCGCGCCTGCCAGCTGGCGTGCGCCACGTGGCCACCTTTGCTGACGTGGCACCGTTCCTGCGCCAGCTGGCGGAGGAGCAGATGCAGCGCGTGCTGGAGCGGCACCACGGGTATCTCATGGAGGCATTGGACGGAGCACAGGGGTTCAGGAACACAGACGAAGAGGAGGTGTACCGGTGTGCGTTGCGGGCTCTCAAGCAGGTGCGTGAGGTGTTGAATCCATTATCCACAGCACCCGTGGCACCACGGGTACCTGATGGAGTCTCTGGATGGGGCGCAAGGGTTCAGCGACACGGATGAAGAGGAGGTGTATCGCGGTGCACTGAGAGGGCTCTGAAGCAGGTACGCCAGCCGTTGGATGCGGTGCGGAGCGGTACATCCGTGGTTTGCTGCATCCACAGCACAGCACCACAGGTGCCTTGAAGAAGGTGCGCTCAGAGCAGATGCAGCGCGTGCTGGAGAGGCACCACGGGTACCCTCATGATTGAAGAAGTGTTTTGAGACGTCTCAAAACACTTCTTCAATCAGATGCAGCGCGTGCTGGAGCGGCACCACGGGTACCCTCATCAAGGCGTTGGACGGGGCACAGGGGTTCAGGAATACCGACGAGGAGGAGGTGTACCGGTGTGCTCTGCGGGCTCTGGAACGTTCCAACAGCAACAGCAACAGTAATATTGCTGTTGCTGCATTGAAGTGCTGCACGGGAGTGTTGAAGCTGCACGGGAGTGTTGAAGCTGCACGGGAGTGTTGAAGCTACACGGGAGTGTTGAAGCTACATGGGAGTGTTGAAGCTGCATGGGAGTGTTGAAGCTGCACAGGAGTGTTGAAGCTACATGGGAGTGTTGGAGTGTACCTGATGGATCCATTGGATGAGACAATGGGGAGCATGGCAGGGGTTCAGGAATACATACGGTACAGACAAGGAGGAGTTGTACCACCTGCGCACCCCCTTTCCCCCCTCGCCGCTGTGTGGCGGCCAGTCTCACCGCGCTCCCTCCCACTACCTCCCTCCACATGTCATATCGATCCCCCGTCTCCATTTCTCCCACCCAGGTCGTCCATCACCTGGCCCACCTCTCCTCTGTCTGGCGCCCAGTCTCACCGCCCTCGCGCTACCTCCGAGCCATGAGTCGTCTCGTCTCTGCTGTGCTCTCCCGCTGCTGTGCGCACGTGCTCGCCCTGCCAGACATATCCGTCGATGAAACCGAGCAGGTGGGTGCTCGAGAAGGTGAGTGCTGAAGCACTAGTAGGTGAGTGTGGCTGCCCTGTGTTAGCCTGGTACTGTGGTGTCGTAGCTCGTGATACCCCCCCTACCCTGTATCCGCCGTGCTCTCCCGCTGCTGTGCGCACGTACTCGCCCGCCCAGATATCTCCGTCGATGAAACAGAGCAGGTGGGCTGCGGAAAATTATGCTGTCCCTTCTGCATTCTTCTGCTGTACAATTTATACCTACTCCTTTCTTTTTTTCCCGCCCCTCCCTCCCCCCCTCCCTCTTCCCCTGCTCTCACGGTTCGTTCCTTTCCATTTCAACCTTGCTCCACTCATCCATTCAGGTTTCCCATCACCTTCACAAGCTTGATCCTCTGCCTCCTCTCATCCATCCCATCCCTCTTTTCCCCTCCCCCCTCGCAACCTTCCCCCTCCTCCCTCCATTATCAGCTGCACAAGCTCTTTGCAGGGATGTTGACTCGTCTGCCCCATCTCATCCCTCCCATTCTGTATCACCCCAATCACCTTTCGCCCTGCCCCTCCCTGCTGCTTCCCTCCTTCCCCACCCCCCTGTCAGCTCCGCAAGCTCTTTGCAGGGATGCTGACTCGTCTGCCTCCTCTATTCCACGTGGATCTCTCTGGAGCCACTGGCAGCGCCCATGGTGCCACGTCAGCATCTGTAGCTGCAGCTGCTGACCTGGATGCTGACGTGTCAGATGCTATGGCTGACACAGCAACACTTGAGTCACTTGTTCCTGTGTATCGCAAGCTGAGAAGACTAACAGGTAATTGTTGCCTCTGCTTCGTGTTTCTCCCCTGGTTGCCATATGAAGCTATTTGATGTCAAGCTTTTCCTTTCCAGACTTCTTTTCCGTTACCAATCTACACCACACCCCACCCCACATATATGAGAAGTGTTTTTTCCTCAATCCCCAACTGCCTTCCTGTTTCCTGTACCACCCCCACAGATTTGCTTGACATGCCACTAGTGGCAATCACACAGGCATGGGAGAGTGGGGACCTGTGCCGCTGTGGTTTCACCTCTGACGAGGTAACTCCAGAACTCCTGCGGTTTCCATGCTGTTCACCTGTGCTTCCTCCATGGTGACACTCCTTCGTCTCCATTGTTCCCTCTTCTCTAATTTCTTCTCGCAGGTCGCTGTCACGAAAGCATTATGAACTGAAAGTGACCTGTTTGTTTCCTGGCGTCATGCATAAACTGTCAGCTCTTCCATTCTGCTTCCCCCCAACTACCCCTACCCCAATGTCACCACCACCCACCCTCTGCCACTCTGCATTGCCTTCCTTCCATCCAGGTGCAACAAACCATTCGAGCTATATTCTCAGACACCCCTCTCCGGCGGAACTGCATTGCCAGGGTGGCAGCTACCATGCCTCCCACTGCTTTTAAATGAGTTCCGTGTTTAACAGCAGCGTAATCCGATCCCTCTACATCCAAGTCCATGGCACGTTAGCAGCAATTAGGGTTTACATTTCAGTGGTATGAGCAGTCACTATGGTGGCCTCAACAGAACCACACAGATCAAGCATTCTTTAACGTCTGCCCGCATGTTCAGTATTAACTCTGCAAATAATTGTACTACGGTACCTCTCACTGTGCTTCTATATTCACCCCACTAACCATGCGACTCACAACGCAAGGACGGGAGATGTTCAAACGAATTTCTGAAGCCCATGATACCAGATACTTGCCACCATGTACAAGCCTGAACAATGACCATAAACTACGCCTGCCGTTCACAAGCCCCGAAATTGGTGCATGGAGCTTCAATGGCTGCAAGAGACACTGATTCTCCACACAAAATTGAAATACACGAATCGGATCAAATCAGCCAAAAAGAACCCCGAGCCTAGCTAGAATTAGACATCTACGAGAAAAATAGTGTCTTATCCAAACAGATCACTTGGCGGAGGAATAACCGTAGAGCTTCCCGACAACGTGCAAGGCGGTGACGAATCCAATAAAGCAGAGGCTCATCACGAGAACGACGGTCGGAGTGATCTTAAGGCCTGGAGCGTCGTCCGTGTAAAATCGGAGCATGTTATTCGCAGCGCTTGAAGTTGCTGCCGCTGTTGGCCGTCTCCTGCGGAGACCTGCTGATCCTACTCCCTTAGGTGCTCCTCCAGCAGCCGCTCCTCTACTCACAGCACCACTTCCGCCGCGTGCAACGGATGTGGACGCCTGGCTGACTGAACCCTTAGCCATGGTGTCTAATGGAGAATATACTAGAATTAGTAGTAGAATGAACAGATCGTACCAACAGAAACGATGGATCTGGATCAAATGATATACGCTTGCTAAGGACGAAAGAAGGGAAGTGAGATTTGTCAACTAACTCGAGGGTTACGCAGATCCGAGATGATGAAAATGTGATGAGGGATGAAAGTGGTTCTTCAAACTGCAACATCGAGGTTGGGTCGATGCCTTCGGCGGTTGAATCCGTTTCAGATGGTTTCCTCTGGGTCGGTATGGGTAATATTACCTGGGTGTTTGTTGGAGTAGATCTGTGGTGCTGCCCTGGGACAGGCTCCGCGAGGGTCTGACAAACGCGAACCCAGAAATTGCCGACTGGTAACCACGCATATGTTTCGCCATCCCAGTTTGATGAACGCGAACCAGCATTCTCGGTTGCTCACGAGCATCTTTGATATATTTCAGGCGTAGAACTGCGTAAAAGATAAGTGAGGAAGTGAAATTGTGGTGTATAGTACATTAGCCTCGAAAATGCCACGCTGTGAAACACCGAAACCGTACTGAACCAAACAGAAGTAAGATCTGACAACACCCTCCAACAATCGATCAACTTTGTTCTGATGAATGGCACCTTCCCTTCTCATTGCTGATGAGACTTGTCGAGAATGACAGCCGATGTTGAATCACATTGAACTCAAGACACTGGCAAAGGAGGATCTCAATTCTAATACACAATGCAGCGTTGAATCCTTCTCGTCGAATGTCTCGCCAGCGTTTCCTCTCGAGTTCATCCTTTTTTAGCGCTAGAAACCGCAGCGCCGTTTTAGACAGAGGCGTAAGACTTGGGAGATAGTATTTCCTGCTGTTCTTCGTGGAACGTTAGGCCCTAAGCGGGACTAACTCTCGCTTACTTGTTTATCTCTAGAATACCGATATTCAACCATGCCAGATAGCGAAGAGGACGCATCGAAGGACACACCATGGCCAAACGCCATTCCCTACGTCCTCAAGCTTGGAAACTTCATGGAAACCTCATGGAAGCACTCAGTATCCGTCCAAGCCTCTACCTTCTACCTCACCATCTTGGTAGGCCCGTTCTGCCTCGCCGTATCCATCTTCCTCTGCCTCCTCCTCTCCCTCCTCCACCTCCAAGCGAACCACTCCGGCTTTCCCACCTCCCCCTCCTGCAACTTCCCAAGTCTCTCCTCCCTCGTCGCTTCAGTCTTCAATCAATGCTCTACGCTCCCTCCCACCCCGGAGCCATGGACCCCTGACGGCTTTCTCGATGATCCCGAGGTGGCCGCTAGGAGGCCGGAAATGGACTCAGCCTGTGATCTGTGGGAGGGGAAGTGGGTGTACGAGCCGGAAATGTATCCGTTGTGGAAGACAGGTTCCTGTCCATGGGTCGAGACTGGCTTTGAATGTGAAGCCCTGGGCCGACATGACACGGATTATATGAAATTCAGATGGCAACCACATGGTTGCAATCTACCAAGGTGAGTTCCAATGCTGGATTTCTTTCTCAGACCTCTCTGTCCGTGCTTCCGGTGCATTTTCGTCTTTCGACTGGTTTCCTGGTCTTCTCCATATGATGACCTTTGTACATGTCCAGGTTCAACGAATCTGGCTTTCCGGATGGTCTCCGCGTGTTATGTCCAGGTTCAATGCGTCGGACATCCGAATGCGGCTCAACGGGCGCCGGCTGGTATTTGTGGGGGACTCGCTGTGCCGCAACCAGTTCGAGAGCGCGCTGTGCCTCCTCGGCATTGATCTTCCCGATGTCTCTGCTGTTGTCGAGGTGCTGCTGCTGCTGCTCCTCCGCAGTGGAAAGTCATATCGTGCCAATCGTACCATATGGTTACAGCTCACTCTTCCTACGAAACACTCCCTTGAAACCTGCTCTTTTGCATGGCTTCTCAGCTAAGTCAAATCGATCCCAGTCTCTTGCACTCCTCTCACACTCTCTCTCTCCACTCTTGCACTCTACCTCACCGCACTGCAGCGCACGGGCAACAATCTGACCAGGAAGGTGGACACAATGGTGTATGACTTCACTCAGTTCAACTTCACTGTGGAGTACCACCTCTCGCACTTCCTCGTGGGCTTCCACCGTGCTCCTCCAGACGCGCCACGTCATGTGAGTGATTCACGCAGTGATCTTTCAGGTGCCTTGGGATGAAAACTGGCCAGGAAGGTGGACACGATGGTGTATGACTTCACTCAGTTCAACCTCACTGTCGAGTACCACCACTCGCACTTCCTCGTGGGCTTCCACCGTGCTCCCCCTGATGCGCCACCTCACGTGAGTGAGTCACAAGCAATGTTTAGGCGCCTGGGTATCCTGCTTGAGAAGGTAGATACGATGGTGTATGACTTCACTCAGTTCAACTTCTCTGTCGAGTACCACCTTTCGCACTTGTTGGCTTCCACCGTGCTCCCCCTGACGCACCACCTCACGTGAGTGAGTCATAAACAATCTATTAGGCTCCCTGAAATCCTGCTTGAGAAGGTGGACATGATGGTGTTGATGGTGTATGTTTTCACTAGGTTCAGCTTCAATGCGGAGTACCACCTCTCGCACTTCCTTGTTGGCTTCCACCGTGCTCCCTCTGGTGCACCAGGGCTTGTGTGTGCGTGTGGTTTGTTCGCGATTTATTTGAATTCCCAGAAGTTTGCTTTTTGCCGCAATGACCAGACTGCACATCATAATCCCGCACCAGCTCCCGTCAGGACATGCCAGTCCCCTTCCTCCACATACCCCTGGTTCGGATTACCTGGTTCGTGTGTGCGGATTGGGGCAGGGTCAAACTCAGACACAGTGGACCCTTTGACGGCTGGCCGGAGGGATCGATTCTCATGCCCAACGCAGGGTTCACTCATTTGCCCTCTTCCTCTTCCTATAACTTCCGCATTCCCGTGGCCACTGTTCTTGTCTGCAGATTCGAGCAGTGGTGAACACAGACGTGGTTGACCCTCTCTTTGCTCGGAGGCTCTTTGACGATCGGTCAGAGGGGCTGATACTCGTGCTCAATGCAGGCCACTGGTTCACCCCGTCTAAGATATCATCTCAGTGAGTTGGCTGTTTGGATTAGAGTATTATAAAGGCTAAGTAGCCTTGTTTTCTCTAATCGGCAAAATTTCGTCCTTGTTTTTCCGTTCTTGGTGAATTATGCATTTCTTCCCCTACTCAGATCGGGTGTGAGGTGAAGTTGTGATCACACAGCAGAACTGAAAAATTCCCCTGATTTCTATCTGTTCTTATGCAGGAACGTTTCGTTCCTGGTGAACAACCAGACTCGTCCAGACATCGATGAGACCGAGGGGTTCCGCCTGGCCATGCTGCGAGTGTCAGACTGGCTCCAGCAGTGGCCGCCTCAGGCTGCCAACGCCACAGCTGTCTTCCGCACCTACGCTCCCGCCCACTTCGCGTAAGACTGGAGTATAACCTAGCTGTGTTTGGGTTCGCTCGTATATCTCTCACACGCGCTCTCTCTGCTGTCCGTCCATGCTGCAAGTCAGGAGGCTGACTCCAGCAGTGGCCGCCTCGGGCTGCCAATGCCACAGCTGTCTTCCGCACCTATGCACCCGCCCACTTTGTGTAAGACTGGAACTGTCCTGTTCGCGATTAGATTCTTTTGTCATTTTCCTTGCTCCTTAGTCCAATGTCCTCTGTTGTCTGACTGCTGGTGCTGCTTGCAAGAATGATAGCTGGTATGGCAGGGTGTGGTAGTTGCGAATCAGAAAGGCACGGGTGATAACCCAGAAACATATCATGCTCTCTTAATTCCAGCTTACCCGTTGGCCATCTTCAACTGTCTCCCTTCGTCACACTTCCCACATCCGTTGACTAGCGCTCGCAACTCAAGCACGTGAGTTATGACATTCTGGAATGATCCTGTCTCATCAAAATTTCCGCCTTCTCCTTGTCGTGTCTGCTGTCTGTACTGCAGTGGTGGCAGTTGGGATCATAGTGGTGGCTGCTCGGAAACACATCCCACGCTCTCTGTTGACCTGTCAATCCCAGATGATATCTCGCAAGATCCTTCAGAGTTATTTGCTCGATTAAGTCAAGAGGCAATGGCGCGGCCGGAGCTAGCCAGAAAACCAATAATTAATTATATAACGAGAATGTCGTGTTCGAGGAGAGATGCGCACATTGCACGTCATTGGACTGGAGCGACTGGCTCAGACTGCAGGTGAGTCAGTGCTAAGTTATTTTGCCAGCCACATTTTCTGGTCAGTCTCGTATCCCAAACTCGTTAAAACTCTAGGGTCGTGAAGAATAACGTATGTGCTTCTTTTGGTGCAGCCACTGGTGTCTACCTGGAGTACCTGACACATGGAATGAGATGCTGTTTGCTTCTCTAGTAGCAAACTCTGTTATGTGAAGAGCATTGCGTTTCACATTCTTAAGAGATAAACCCCCCTGTGGAAGCTTTGTTCAAGGAAATAAAGAACAATGGAAATGTGCATCGTCAGCCTGGATATTTGTGAGCTGGGACAGGGACACACGTACCGTAAGAAACTGGAGAGTGTTGGAAATCCGAATACAGTATAACGAATACTGTATACCAGTGTGCTGTTTGGTTTTAGTGTAGTCCTCTTTATAAGCTTCCAGGTCCTACAATTATTGTAGGGCCAGAATTATTGGAGGTCAGCATTATTGGAGGGTAGAGGGTACAATTATTGGTACACCATTATTGGTGTGAATGGGTCATTCTGGAGGGGTAGCTGGATGCATATATACCCTGCTGTGTCACATCATTGAGTACTGATTTGTGTCATCCTTTTACTTTTCAATGATCAATGCAAGATTTCTATCTTGTTCTTTTCTACAAACACGTTTCCGCTACGCTGGCACTATGCCTTTCTAGCATGGTATCAGAGCTACTCTAGGGGGCATGCTGCCAAAACTGGTTCAGGAATTTACTGGCATACAGTTTGGATAGGTACCTGCATACAGTCGGAGTACCGCACACCTGGTCTACGCTTTCGTACACCTGGTGTTCGCTGTTGGTTACAACTGCGCGTTTACCGCACACTTGGTGGACGGTTTTGTCAAGGTCATGGCGCACTTCGATGGCGAAGTGGATCCTGGATATGCGGCTTTTGAAGAAGCCATCATGGCTCAGCATGAGCACCTGGAAAGCATGATTGCAAGGGCACCACCAACTCTCCAAGCTTCGTTAAGGGACAAGTTTGGAATGACAATCCAGCCAAGAGCAAAACTCTCTCATGAGTTCAGCAATCCGTCCACCCATGGACAGTCTCATTCAAGCACTCCACGTACTAACCAAACTCGTGCAAATGTTCATGCGGGAATTGATGGTGAAGGAGAAATGGGCATACCTCAAGGAGGAGAGTCATCCCAATGGAGGGATGCATCCGTCCAAGGAGAGGAGATCGCCAATTCCGCACCTCAATCATCCATGCAAAGGGAAGCACGGGGGAGGAATGATGAGTATCGGAGTGCAGTGCTTGGTGGAACGAGAAGTGGACAGATTGGGCATCAGGGTGACAGAAATGGTGAAGTGGGCGTGGAAGGTGTGGGATTTGCCTCCTACACTATTGGTGCTCCCCCACTACGACGACTTGCGACTAACTCTCATCCCATTGGAGTTCTTCCCATGCCCAGGTCTCACCTTCATGGCGACAACATCATCCCTCCACATGCACATCATCCACCAATCAGCGCACACTCTGTGGACAGCATGGGGCGGATGGGATACGGAATGCAGTCAAGTGGTGTCATGCGACGGGATCAAGTGGAAGTGCTGGAACGTCAACTTGGTGGACAGAATGGAGATATGCGGCGCACGGTACAGCTACCTCGACCGTCAACCATGCCTACTCTCTTCGACCCCGCACCACGTGAATATACGGACGAAGACAAGGAACGACTGTCACGCAAAATGGTGGGAGCAACGGTGGACAAGGCATTCACCACCACTCCGTTTGACGGCTCAAATTTCCGCGAATGGGCACTACGGTTTCGTATGAACGCCCGCGTCACGAATCAGTGGGAGTTCTTTGTGACCCTGCAGTATCCGGTTACCATTGGAGATGGTGACATTGACGACGCTATGGGGCGGCTGGAAATGCTACAGGCGGATTACTCCCAGCGTGCGGCACTCGCCTTTTGGGTCCTATTGCACAGCGTGAGCGCCACGATTCAACTACAACTAGACATGTTCCAGGAATCCTACAGCCCGGCTTATGAAGCATGGGAGTATTTGATGGACACTTACCAGGCCAAAGATTCGGTGGCGAAGGTCTCTCTCATGAAGCAGTTGGACAACCTGAAAATGGGGAATCAAGAGAGGGTGGAGGAGTATGTGAACCGCGCAACGGCGATTCGGGACAAGTTGGCGTTGGCGGGAAAGATGGTGGATGAGGACACTTTCACCTTAAATCTGCTCACCGGACTACCGGCACATTGGGAGGAGATGAGGCACTCGGCAATGCTGCACAACGTGACGGACAGCTTCACTTTGCAGCGGATGATGATTCGGGAGCAGAGATATCACGATCTCATCACAAAGGATAACCGTGACCGGCGTCCACCTCGCATGGTTGGACAAGCACGTGGAGACTGCTCACCTTCTCCAACTGCTAAGGGCAATAACGGGAAGGAGGGGTCAATTGGGGAGAAAACGCATGGCAAGGATGGAGATGCAAGTCGCTCATCTCTCGTGTGTTGGTACTGCAAGGAGCCTGGACACCCCTTCTTCAAGTGTACCAAGGCACCCCCTGGGTGGACACCACAAAGGTGGGAACCGCATACCCGCGGAAAGGCAAAACTGCACACCAGCGACAGCCGTTCGTCCTCCCCACGAAGGAGTTGCAGCCCCAAACGTGACAACAATGCATCAAAACAGCAAGGGGCAGCCGGGGAAGACAAACAACGTACTGTTACGTGCATTGCAATGGTGGGATCGTCACAAGCTACCTTACTGCCAGCTAAAGCGTCATCTTGGATGCTGGATAGCGGATGCAGCCAGCACATGACTTCGGACAAGAGCTGGTTTGAAGAGTTAAGAGAGCTAGACGAACCTGTTTATGTGGAGCTTGCTAATGGGAGCGAGCTGAGCAGCAAGATGACAGGAACGATCAGAGCAATGGCACCTGATGGGACAACGGTTCGCTACACTGAAGTCCTTTACGTACCTGGCCTGAAGAGCAACCTGCTCTCTTATTGTCAACTGCTGAAAAAGGGAGCGCACATCAATACGATTGCTAATGGAGACGCGGAGGTCACCATGAAAGATGGAGAGGAGTACGTGCGGATTGGACTTGCTAAGAACGTGGATGGAGTGCTCGTAGTGCAATATGCGCATGCACTTACATCCGCCCATGCTCCTGGACATTCGCGTAATGATGCGTCATCGAATCAGGTTAATCGTGAAGGGGTTACCCTTTTCCGCACATCTGGTGTGCACATGGACGCACCTGGGAGCACGGATCCCCGCACACCTGGAGTGCGCTTGAGTGGCCAGTCTGCACATGCGTCTGTCACATATCGCATGGCACACAAAGCATGCGTCGTACGGAATCCGGCACATGATGTTGATACGGATGAAGTCTCACCCCACTGTGTAATGTGGACTTCAGGGGGAGGAGGACACAGGTCCGTAGTGGATTCGGTTCCTGCATTCTCGACCATTGAAGGACATGAAGACGAAGGAGCAGAATATGCAAAACAAGACTTACCTGGAGCTGATGTAGCTGATGAAGTCAGTGCAGTTGAAGGAAGCGGAGGTACAGCTGATGGCGTATCTGTGACTGGTGTTTCCATTTTGGAAGGCGTAAAAAATGATGATGTGGGAAATGAGGTGGACAAGCCAAGCAAGCAGCATCTCACCTGCAATTTGCTGGTTGGTCAAGGCAATCATCAAGTCAAGGATTCTAGTGTTGTACTCATCTGTGCGGCCACCTCGAACGGTGCGGCACAACATGGCATCACCTAAGTTCACACTCACTCATGTGCTTGTAGCTGTGTACGCGGATCACTACAAGCACATGGGTGGCGGGAGGTGGGGTGTGGAGTATGTCTGGTGGCATAGGAGTGGGACATGGAGTCAAGAAGCATAAGGGGAAGACCTACTCACCAAGGGTTGTCAATAGGCAGGGGGAGCAGGCAGAATGGATGCAGCCGGTCGTCATCCGTCGTGCTGGAGCGGTATCGTACGACTGGTTACTGCTGATGAACGGCACAACCGCGAGGGAAGAGTGGATAATATACATGGGAGCACTGCGTACCTGGTGTGCACAACTCTGCATACTTGGAGTGCGCTACATTCTTGGAGTGCACAACACTGCATACTTGGAGTGGACATTTCTGCATACGTGGAGTGCAGAGTTTGGGGAGTTCGGCAACTCCGACTGCTACCGTGTGCCGGCTGGAGTGTATGGGGAGCATCACATGACAACATAGGTGAAGTTTGAGCAAACTTGGCATGATTGCCAAAGCATGGGGAGAAAGACCTACAAAGATGCAGCAAGCGCGGGCACGAAAATGATGCAGCAGACGCGCAGCAGATCGACAGCTACAGATGAACGACAAGTCGTCGCTTCTATCGCGCGAAGTGTGCGCCCACCAATGCAGTTCCGCGCCAGCCGCACGCCCTGTGTTATCTGCTACCGATTCGCGTCATCCGCAGATGCAGTCGTCGCAGACGCGCATCCACTGCGGTTTTGCGTCGTCGCACAGGAGGCGTGCGAAAAAGACAGCAGCATTGACAATCGCGTGTAGTCAAGTCTACGGTTTCGGAAATTCGGTGTGCGCTAAGGGCAATCAGCCATGACGATCTACGCATTTCGCCATGGTTACGAGGAGATTTCGTCATGGAGCTGCTACTATTTCCTCAGTAGCAGCCACTACGCGCTGTATCTAGATCTGGAAAGTCGCCAGTGGAAGGAGGGATGGGAAAACATCAAGGGAGGAGGTTTGGTTGGAGTTTGAAAGCACCAAAGGCTTGGGAGGGGAAAGGTGCTACAGTGACAAGCAGCTTGGCCAACACCAAACCCTAACTTGGTTTGGGCGCACCCCTACCTAGTGGTGGTATACCACCTCGACCACCCCATCCTCCAAGGAAAACGGATTCACTAAAACCTACAGCTAGGGGGAGTGTTGGAAATCCGAATACAGTATAACGAATACTGTATACCAGTGTGCTGTTTGGTTTTAGTGTAGTCCTCTTTATAAGCTTCCAGGTCCTACAATTATTGTAGGGCCAGAATTATTGGAGGTCAGCATTATTGGAGGGTAGAGGGTACAATTATTGGTACACCATTATTGGTGTGAATGGGTCATTCTGGAGGGGTAGCTGGATGCATATATACCCTGCTGTGTCACATCATTGAGTACTGATTTGTGTCATCCTTTTACTTTTCAATGATCAATGCAAGATTTCTATCTTGTTCTTTTCTACAAACACGTTTCCGCTACGCTGGCATTATGCCTTTCTAGCAGAGAGTACCTTAGGTAGGTGGGCTGATGTGTTGTGTTAGCTTAAGAGTAGGAATGTGTTACCACATTTTCTGGTCAGTCTCGTATCCCAAACTCGTTAAAACTCTAGGGTCGTGAAGAAAAACGTATGTGCTTCTTTTGGTGCAGCCACTGGTGTCTACCTGGAGTACCTGACACATGGAATGAGATGCTGTTTGCTTCTCTAGTAGCAAACTCTGTTATGTGAAGAGCATTGCGTTTCACATTCTAAAGAGATAAACCCCCCTGTGGAAGCTTTGTTCAAGGAAATAAAGAACAATGGAAATGTGCATCGTCAACCTGGATATTTGTGAGCTGGGACAGGGACACACGTACCGTAAGAAACTGGAGAGTACCTTAGGTAGGTGGGCTGATGTGTTGTGTTAGCTTAGGAGTAGGAATGTAAATGTAACGAGTTGTTTTAGTGGTGCTCCGTTTGACAAGCCATATGTTTGCGATGGAAATCCCCGTTATGCCAGCTAACTGTGTGATTTGGATATTTGATGGGATCAATATTTTTTTTGGTCCATCCAGAGTGGAGTAGGGCTGCACCAATCGCGTTCACCACCTACATGCCGGATCCCTGGTCGTGACCGTCGTGGACTTTCGACCGTGCATCTCAGCCTCAGAACTTGGATGGGATTTGCAGCGTGAGACGTCTGGTTCACACCGAAGCGGGATTTCAGGGAAGATTATCTGACAGCCCTTTTGCCACAAAATGGCGTCTACCTGCGCAATAGTCAAACCTCGTGGAGCCATTTGCCCTTTCGCAAACTGGAAGATGTAACCGCTTCTCCGCAACATACTGTATTCTTTGCCCCGAGGGAGCCCCGACACCTATGCAGAACAAATGACTCTTTTTTGGCGCAAAGGTTCTTACCTGACCTGACCGCATCTCCCCTCCCCCCCACCCCGCCCTCCTTGCTTGGATGAGGTGCAGTGCAGAAACAGAATGCAGTGGAGAAGCTGTAGGGAGGGAGGGACCTGTGTTGTGCGGTGCCGCCAGCTTCTGGGTTCTGGTTTGCGAATCGCCTATTACGAGCACCTGAGAATTGTCTGGGGGAGTTCGATGAAAAAAGAAGGCGCCACTCGGGAATGTCTAACGGGACCAAGCACTCTTCCTCGAATTGTTTACATTTTGTTTCCGTCTCGGACTAAACATCATTAATTAAACAAAATCCCCCTCAACATTTTAATTTCTAAAGCTTTTCCCACTCCTCGGACTAGCCCTGGTTTCGGTCTCGGACTACTCCTCCCCGACCTCCACCTTTTCATTTACTTACGACTGTTAGTGTGTTCTCCCCCTACGCCTCCCCCTTCCCTCACGCCCTTTCGCTACAGATATTACGTGTTTTCCGTAAGTTCTCTCCAATGCGGCTAGCATAACCCCCCACCCGAACTGAACAACACTTCCAACTCCTAACAACTGAACTTGGCTGGCTGAAGGAACCGAATTCAGTTCACGCGTGGTTTCAATGGTGGAGGATGGATTCAGTTGAGCATATGGCGCAAGCAAGGGGTGGATGGAATTCGACGGTCACATGCGTGACGAGATTCAGGCTGACCTCATCAGCTTAGTCTCTTTTCATAACGTGAAGCTGCTGTCTTGGCGTGCAAATTGGGCGTCTGATTGTTTCGCCATTCAGTAGCCTCGTCACACCAGACAGTTCCAGTGAACGTAAAGTTAGGCCAGGCTCGACACTTTCGCAGTCGTTGCCTCTGACTTCAAGCTTAACACCGAAAAGTAAAAGCATGGACGGCTTAAAGCCCGCAGGCGCTAAGAAGATGGGACTCGCATCGTATGGTCGCAGCGTGAGTGCGAAAGAAAGCACGGTTATCCTTGCGCCGTCTGCGATAACCCCGCCGCCTGCGACAACTCCCACGAAAACTCCTCCCATGCGTCGGAATCATACTTACGGCGAACTGAACGACGCCTCTGCGACAACTTCTCCCATGCGTCGCAATCGTACTTACGGCGACCTGAACGACACCCCTGAGACAATCTCTCCCATGCGTCGCAATCGTAAATCCGGCGGTCTGAACGACGCGCCTGCGACAGCTCCTCAAATGCGTCGGACTCGCACTTTCAGCAACGTGAACGACGGCTCTGCGACATCTTCTACGATACGTCGCAACCATACCTTCGGCGACTTGAACGACGCTTCTGCGACAAATCCCACCATTCGTCGCAATCTTACCTTCAGCAACCTGAACGACGCATATGGCAGCGCGGCTCCGTCTGCCGCCGTCGACTTCCGAGCCTGGCTCGCGGACCAGGTTCGGTTCAGCGAGAGCCTACGCATCCCCGAGCCTCCACAGAAGGTTTGGTTGATCGACAAGCTGGGACCGCTCAAGGCTCTGGCACGCGTGGGGATGAAAAAAGCGACTTGTACATTTGCGATGCACGTTCACGGCGTCGACGATCTTCCGACAACTATGGAAGGGAAAGAGCTTATCGTGCAATGGCAACGACGGGGAATGTCTATCGGTAGTAGCTCCATGACTGTCCAACGCGGCGTGGCGAAACTGGAGCAGACGTTAACGATAAAGTCTTCCGTCTACTACACCGCCGGATCTCAGCAGTCCGTCAAGTTTCAGTCGAAGAAGTCGACGATCGCGGTTCAGCTGCTGAAGTCCGTCGGATTTGGATATGATGCTGAGATTGCGAGCCATTCTGTTAATCTGGCAAGTTTCCTGCCGTCGAAAATTCGTGCGGTGACGGAAGGGGAACCGCAGACGTTAACGTTTAAGCTTACCGGCCCGGCTGACGGAGCCGTATTGGTGGCGACGTTTGGGTATGAGTTGAATTTCGGGAAGGGACAAACGATTGTCGCACGGGTGGATACCAAATCGTTTCGCCAGTTCGCCGCCAGCGTCGCAGAGGCGTCGCCTGCTCCGAGCGTGGCGTTGTTCTCGAGCAGCCCGCCTGACAGCCCGTCGTCGTACGGTTCCAGCCCGTCGCACAGCTTCTCCGACGAATTTTCGCCACGACCGCGCGAAATCTCGCTGGCGTTACCGGATTCGCCCATGGGTCACGCGCGGAGCGCGAGTTACGGATACGGCTTTAAACCCACCACTCCGAGCACCATGCGACCGGTGATAGAAGAAGAATGCGAGGGAATCGAATCTAAAGAAGAGCCAAGTCCTGAAGACGCGGTGACAAACGGATACTTGGGAGAAAGTTTAAGTCAGTGGAACGTGGGGGATGGAGGAAAGGAAGGAGGGAATGGAGAGGCGGCCGAGGACGCGGAAGTGGAGGAGGAGGGGGAGGAGGAAGCGGAGGAGGAGGAGGAAGAGGAAGAGGAGGAAGAGGAGGACGAAGAGGAGGAGGAGGCGGAGGAGCAAGTGAAAGAGGTGGTTACAATGGAGGGTGATAGTAGCGCGGGAGCGGCGCGACTGGGGTCGGTGATTGCCATTGGGGAAAGCGGAGAAGGGGCATGGGACGGCGGCGCGGGGAATGAGGGGGGAGGATACCTGTGGATGGCAGAGGATGGGAGGAGGGAAGAGGCTGGAGTTAATCTTGAAATTAGTGATGAGACGAGTGAGGAAATCGTGAGGGAGAGGGTGGAGGGGACAGAGGAGGAAGCGGGTGTGGAGGAAGGGAGCTCGGTGGTTGAGGGGAGTGGCTCTTGCAGTGGAAGGTCTGAGAGTGAGAAGGAATCTGAGAGTGCGAAGGAGCCTGAGAGTGAGGGGAGGTCTGAGAGTGAGGGGAGGTCTGAGGGTGAGGGGAGGTCCGAGAGTGAGGGGAGGTCCGAGAGTGAGAAGAAGGCTGGGAGCGAGGGGAGGCCTCGTAGCATTGGAGGTCTGTCGCGTATGGCGGAGGCGATTCTGGAGTTCGAGCGGACCATTAGCGAACAGGAGAAACAGCTCTTAGCGGAGCGAGAGGCAAGAGCGACCTTTGGATCAGTATTGGACGGTCGGATTGACTCCGATGAGGTGAGGATCAACGGTGCTGCATCGCCAGAGGAAATCCTCCTTGCAGCTGCGGCTCCTGCGAAGGAGCAAGCGACTGGAGATGCGGTTACCGGGTTGCCAGTCACAGCGACATCAGCAGCTGCTGTTCTGAACTCGCCTGCGTCGGTTCTTCTAGAGCCCCAAGACTCGGTATCAGGCAGCGATAGCGCCCGCAGCTTTGTGCTCGATGATACGAGTGTGGATGGGGGAGGGGAGAGGGAGGAATGCGGAGTTGAGAGGAGTGAAGGGAGCAGCGAGAGAGAGGAGGTTAGGGTGGGCAAGGAAGGGGAAGAGGAGGAAGAAGAGGAGGTGAGTAGTGAGCGGAGGGATGAGGAGGGAGTGGAGGAAGAGGGGGGTCGAGATGGGGCTGAAAGGGTATGTGGGGAGCGAAAGTGCGAGAGAGTGGTGGAGCGCGGTGGAGATGGGGAGGGAGTGGTTGCGGAGGAGGGAGAGGAAGAGGAAGGAGGTGTTGGGGGATGCGAGACATTGAATGAAGCAGAGGAGGAGGAAGAGGAGGAGGAAGATGAAGAAGAGGAAGAGGAAGAGGAGGATCATTTAGATCACGCTAAGAGGGAAAGAGAGGAAGAGGAGAGGAGGGCGGAGGCGGAAAAGCGGAGGGCGGAGGTGGAGGAGAGGAGCAGGCGGAGGGCGCTTCAGTTGCAGGAGGAGGAGGAGGCAGAACTGCATAAGCACTTCTTGGGTAAACGATCCCACTTCGCGGACACTGCTCGTGCCTTTTCTGCTAATACCAAGAATGGTGTTTCGGCAACTGCTGCCACTGCTACCAATGCCACTACTGCTGTGGCTGGTGCTGCTGGTGCTTCTGGTGCTGCTGCTGCCGCCCCTGCAGAAACCGCGTTGGCTCTTGTTGTTAGAGGAGGGACTTCAGGGGCGCTAGCTGTTTCAAGGCCGGTCAGTGGAGCTGGCACAGCTGAAGGCGACTCAGAGGAAGACGACGAGCAGCTTCCACGAAAGCGCGCTTCCTTTAGCAGCAGCAGCAGTCCAGCGGTCACCGCTGCTGCTGCTGCTGCTGCGGTCGCTGCTGCCCGCGGGGAGGGGTTGGCTGAAGCAGCGGCGGCAGCAGCAAAGGGAGGCTTCAGCATGGGAGCAGCCGGAGGAGGAGCAACAGAAGGGGCCGTCGTAGCCTGTGGTCATCATCACCATACCAGCTTGATTGCAGTGAGCAGCAGGCGACGAAGCAGCAGCAGCAACACCAGCAGCGGCAGGAAGGGAGGTGATGAGAGTGTGACGCGCATTCCCATCCTACACCCCGCCACCATCCCACCCCACCTCCCACCCCGACCCACCCCCTCTCCCTCCCCCTTCCCCTCCCCTCTCGTCCACCTCAAAGCCACGGACCCTCTGCTCCTCGCCCTCCCGAACTCCAACGCCCCTCCCCCGCTCCTGGACGGAATGGGGTCGGCGATAGCGCTGCAGGGCGGGGGGTTCTTAGCGTCAATGTCCGGGCAGCACTTTGGGGAGGGCGCCACGCGGCTGGTGATGCAATTCTCGCGCTCCATGGTCATCCCATCGCAGAGTATTTTTGAGAATTCTCAAAACTTCTCGCGCTCCATGGTCATCCCTTCGGAGCTAGCGTTGGGAGCATCGTCTGGAGAAGCCGCTTCTAAGCTGCTCCCTCTCCCTTCTGGTGGAAACGCACCTGGCGCTGCCGCTGGCGTTGCTGCTGCTGCTGCTGCTGCTGCCGCTGCTGCTGCTGCTGCTGCTGCTGCCGCTGATCCCTCTTCTGTCCTCCCGCTCTTGCAGCGGCTAGCAGCGGCCTCTGCTGCGGACCCGTCCGCCCCTTCCCTCACAGACCAAGTCCTGGCGCTCATGCCCCTCCCCGACATCAGCGGCAAGCCTCTCGAGCAGATTGCAGCTGAGGGGATGGCTTATCTTGAAGGAGGGTGGAACTGGGACGGAGGAGTGGGAGGTCTGGGAGGTTCGGGAGGAGTTGGAGGATTGGCTGGAGGGGTTAGAGGGAGTTTGGAGGGGCAGGAGGGGGGAGCGGGAGGAGGGTATCTGCCAGGGAACCAGGGAGGCTTCCTAGAGGGACACCTGGGAGGATACCTGGAGGGCGGTTCAGGTGGTTCTTCAGGTGCTATCATCAGCCGTGGCAGCTCCTCTGCGGTCTCAGTCTCCCAATCTTCCTCTGCCCTCTCCTCCTCTGCCTCCTCTGCTCTGGCTGTGAGGCGGGCACAGGCAGCAGCAGCAGTGGCTCGCCTAAGGCGCAGGGGGCAGCACCTACTGGGGAGCAGCAGTGGCGGAGGAGGAGGAGAAGGGAAAAAAGATCAGTCGCTAGGGGAGACTGAAGAGGACGGGGAGATGGATAGGGAGCTTAGGCAGGCGCTTGCGTTGATGGGCAAGAGCGGAGGGAACATGGTTCTAGCTGGTACGGGTGATGCTGCAGGTAGGGCTCTAGCCATGGGCATGGGTGGTGCAGAAAGGAACATGGTTCCCGGAAAGGCTGGGATGGCAGGCAGAACTTTAGCTGGTGCCTTGGAGGCAGTGGGAGAGGATGAGGATGAGTATGTGGGTTTGGGTGAGCTGGGGGCGTTGGCTGTGGAGCAGATAGAAGCTCTGTTAGTGGAAGGGATTAGAGTGCAGAATGATCAGAGTGAGTTGCACGCGCCAGGGGCTATTACCCTAGGGGAATCCGGGCAGTTGGGGTATTCCGCAGGTTACCCTGCGGGGTACATGACTGGCGGGTCGAGGGGTGTTCTGGGCGGGGCTGGTTACCAGGCTAGTGGTAACCAGATTGCTGGTAACCAGACTGGTGGTTACATTGGGGGAGGTGGGCCGAGAGGGTTGCTTGGGGCGGCGTTGACAGTGGAGGAGTGGCAGCAGCTGGATGCAGGGGTGTGGGATGCGGTGGAGTCCGATAGAGATGCTCAGGAGGTGCTGCGAGCGCACTGCAAGGCTCATGGGATAGCAGGGCTGCTGGAGGGGAGCGAGGGGGACGAGGGGAAACAGATGGTGCTGCGCGGTGCAGATGGGTTTGGAGGGCAGTTGGTGCCTGCAGGGAGTGGGGATTCAGACTCTATGACCATAGGAGGCTGGGACGGCGAGTCTAGGCAGATGGTGGGGGGATATGGAAGGGGAATGGGGTTAACAGCCGGCCAAGGGAACACTGTAACAGGTGGTATGCTTGGTACCAGTGCAACAGGGGGTGTGGTTGGTAACCCTGTAACAGGGGGAATGCTGGGCGACAGTGTGACAGTGGCCATGGTGGTTCAGCTGAGGGACCCTCTGCGGAACTTCGAGCCTGTGGGAGCACCCATGATGGCACTGCTGCAAGCTGAGAGAGCACCAGCGCCCGCACCTGCACCAACTGCTGCTGCTGGTATTGCTGGTCGTGTTGCAGGTGGTGTTTCTGGTCGTGTTACTGCTGGTTTGAGTGGATCTACCACTGCTGCTCTTGGCAGCACGGCCCAAGCGTGTATTGGAAGCCATCAGTGTCAGGGTCTATTGGAAGGCTACCATGCTGCTACCAACAATACCACGGCCCAGCTTGCCATTGAGTATTCTGAGGTTGATGCAGCTAGCCTGGCAGAAGCAGCGCTACAGCCGTGGCATGGCGCCAGCTCAGCGCAAGCGGCGCTACAGCCACGGGATGTCGCCACAGGCCGCCGTGGCCATATTACCGCAGCTGCCTCTCATCCCCCGCCCCCAACATTCCCCTCCACCGCCCCGCCCCGATTCAAGCTCAAAGCAGTGCACGTCGCAGGGCTTAAGGCAGAAGAGGCACCAGGGAGAGGGTGGGGGTCGCAGAAGCAAGCACAGGCGGGAGGGAGGTGGCTGGCGGCAAACGGCATGGGGAAGAAACATCAGGGGAAGGGCAGCGGTGGGAGTGGAATGTTTGGGAAGCATGCGAAGCCGGCAAAGGTGACGGTTCAGCCTGGGGATACGCTGTGGAGTCTTTCTCAGAAAGTTCATGGGAGTGGGATGAAGTGGACGGAAGTGGTGAAGCTGAACCCTCAGATCCGGAACCCGGACCTGATCCTGCCGAGCCAGAAGATTCGGATGAGGAAGTGATATGGAAAACGGACCTGACCTGATCCTGCCGAGTTAGAAGATCAGGATGCGGAAATGATTCGGAACCCGGACCTGATCCTGCCGAGCCAGAAGATTCGGATGAGGAAGTGATATGGAAAACGGACCTGACCTGATCCTGCCGAGTTAGAAGATCAGGATGAGGAAATGATTCGGAACCCGGACCTGATCCTGCCGAGCCAGAAGATTCGGATGCAGAGGTGATTTGGAGCCCGGACTTGGTTCTGCTGAGCCAGAAGGGCTGGCTCGGATGGGAGATGATCGGGGACCCAGACCTGATCCTGCCCCCCATATGTTTTGAGTTGTTATGTATGGGTAGCGTGTTATACTTTCTTGCGTGTTTGTTACTTCCATATTATCACCACCGCAGGCAGCTTAAGCTGCTTGATGCTTTATGTAGAGCTGCATACCGGCTTGTTGATCTCGTTTTGCGTGCACCGGTACAGTATGCATGTGTGTATAGCTGCTAGCATGATTGTTATTTTTGCTATGCTTCTCCGTTGCTGTTTTGTAGTTTAGTGATATAGTTCCAGGAAAACAATTTAGTGAGCACAATGGAAAACAGCATTGATAGAAGCAAGCACACAGCAAACACTTACACAAGAGTTGAAACAACTTATTACAATACCGTGCACTACACTACCTACTCATTTCAAATGCCCTTGCTCAACACCAGAGATCCACCGTTTCAACTTCCCCACTACAGTACCCCCTCCAGACCCCCCTCCCGCACTCCCTCCCCCCACCCCCTTCCCACTCATAGACCCCACATTGCTACTCGTCCTCCTCAACCCAGACCCACCTATATTGCTCCCTACACCACTCAACCCCTTTCCACCACTGCTGCTGCCGCCACTGCCACCAACGCCACCGCCACCCAAAGGGGAAGCAGTGCTGCTGGATCGGGAAAAGCCCCCTGCAACACCTGTAGACTTACCTCCCCCAAACCCGCCTCCACCAGCCAATCCTGCTTCCTTTGCCGCACTGCTGCTTGTCCGAACCAGCCCAAGCCCACCGCCACCACTGCTGCCACTACTGCTGATGCTAACAGCATTGCTGCTGGTTCTCATCAGCTCACCCAGCCCCATGCCCTTCATTCCTCCCCCGGCCCCAACCCCACCCCCACTTCCACCGCCACCACTGCTGCCCCCGCTGCTGCTGCTGCCGGCGTTGCTGCTGGTTCTCATCAGCCCCCCTAACCCCATGGCCTTCATCCCTCCCCCGCCCCCCCCCCTCCACCCGACGCTGCATTACTGCTTGTCCGCATCAGCCCTGCAAATCCCCCAGCCTTCTTCCTGCTCCCATCACCACCACCACCAGAGCCAGCACCCCCACCCGCACCACTGTCACTACCACCCTCACTGCCCGCTACTTTCCCGCCTCCTCCCTTCTCCGCCTTCCCAGCGCCACCTCCCCCAGATGCAGCCTTCTCTCCCACTGTAGTAGATACAATGTGCATGCCCAGGCGCGTCTGAGCCTCCAGCACCTCCTGTGCTGCCACCATGAGGCGAGTGCGAGCACTGCTCATCTCTAGCATCCCTTCTAATGAGCCAGGTTTCGCACTCGCTCCACCGGCAGTACCTGTGGTGAGCGAGGGAAGGCAGCAGCAAGAGGTGAAGGGGATGAGTCACCGTTGAGCCTCCAGCACCTCCTGAGCCGCCACCATGAGGCGCGTGCGAGCACTGGTCATTTCAAGCATCCCCTCCAATGAGCCGGGCTTAGCGTTGGCGGCACCAGATGCTCCTGAGAGGGAGGAGGGCGGTAGGGAGAGAGGGACAGAAGGAAGCGGGGAAAGATAGAGGAAAAATGTATTCTCTGAGCCTCCAGCACCTCCTGTGCCGCCACCATGAAGCACGTGCGAGCACTGCTCATCTCCAACATGCCATGGGAAGCGGCAAGCAGCGAGATGAATGAAGTTGTTATGACGCTTACCTTCCTCCCAGCCCCTCCTCCCTCAGGATACATCACTTTCCTCCTTTCTGGATTGAAGTACGAGAAGTCTTATAAAATCTCCAATCCAGCTTCTCAGGCAGCTGACATGCGCACACCGCCCCCTCTCTCCTTATCCCCTCACGACTCTCTCCTCATCCCCTCACGACTCTCTCCTCATCCCCTCACGACTCTCTCCTCATCCCCTCACGACTCTCTCCTCATCCCCTCACAACTCTCTCCTCATCCCCTCACGACTCTCTCCTCATCCCCTCACGACTCTCTCCTCATCCCCTCACGACTCTCTCCTCATCCCCTCACGAATCTCTCCTCATCCCCTCACGACTCTCTCCTCATCCCCTCACGACTCTCTCCTCATCCCCTCACGACTCTCTCCTCATCCCCTCACGACTCTCTCCTCATCCCCTCACGACTCTCTCCTCATCCCCTCACGACTCTCTCCTCATCCCCTCACGACTCTCTCCTCATCCCCTCACGACTCTCTCCTCATCCCCTCACGACTCTCTCCTCATCCCCTCACGACTCTCTCCTCATCCCCTCACGACTCTCTCCTCATCCCCTCACGACTCTCTCCTCAAACCCCCATTCCCCTCTCTCCCCGCTGTCCTCTCATCCCCCTCACCTCCTCTCCCCCTTCCTATCCCTCTCCCTCCCCCTCGCTTTCTCCCTTTTGCTCTCCTTCTCCCTTGCTTTCTCTCACTCACCTGCGTCTTTCTTAGCACGAGGGCACGAGGATCGGTGAATCTCCTGCCCAGTAGCGCCATATAGCGCAATCAGCTTGCACGCAGAACAATCCGTCTCCCCTCCAAACCCGCGCCTGCCCGCCGCTCCCCCGCCCCCTCCTCCACCTCCCCCAGCGGATACCCCCCGTAGCTGCGCCACAACGTCACTGGTAGTGTGCATGCCCGCGTGCAACCCGCCCCCCGCCCGCCGCAGCCCCACACTCCCCTCCCTCCGCAATCCCCCCACCACCCCGCTTCCCTGCCTCCTCAACCCTCCTCCGCCCACTCCCTTTCCCTCGCCGAATCCTCTCATTACGCTCCCCTCACCCAGCCCCCCCGCGCCCATCCCGCTTCCGAATGCGCCCATTCCTAACCCTGCCTCTCCTGCTCCTCCTGCTCCTCCTCCGTTCAGTTCAAGGTCTGTCAATTCCGAATCTACCCCTGCTCCTCCTGCTTCTGCGGAAGCTCCTTCTCCTGCTTCTCCTGCTGCTCCTGCCGCTCCTGCTGCTAATGCTTCTGCTTCTTCTGCTTCCCCCGACGGTCCTGCGAGACCCACTGCTGCTGCAGCATTGTAGCTGCTGCCGGCGGCGCCGGTGTTCTCATTGCCGCTGATCGAATCAACACCGGACGCGCTACCGCCTGCTGCTCTTCCTCCTGATGCTGGCCCTTCCCTTGCGCCTTCCGCTGCTTCCCCTTCTGCCTCTCCTTTCCCTCCTTCCGCTCCTGCTGCTATTCCAGCTCCGCAGCCTGCTGACGCTCCTGTCCCAGCCACATTTCCCGCGTCTTCGAAAGTCGAGTTCGAAAGTCCTTCGCTACTGTCACGTCCGGCCTTGACGGAAACCCGATTAGTCAATATCCCCTCAGGCTCCGCAGAGGGGGGATCTGCGGAAGGAGCATCCGCCGATGGTGGAGCCGCGGAAAGTGTCGCGGAATGGGGAAAGGCGGAACTGGAGGATTTGCTGGAAATGCTGCGCGGAGGAAGGCTGGGGGAGCGCAAAGGGGAAGGCGCAAGGGGAGACCTATTCCCCGAGTCATGGAGATGCGGGGAGGGCGGAATTGGGGACCTCTCCCCGTGATTATAAAAAGGGGATCTTGATCCCTTCGAGGAAAGGGGACTTCTGATGCCTGGCGACAAAGGGGGTAAACTTGTTGATTTCTCAAAAACGTGGTCAGCTTCCGCGTTAACAGACGTCACGGTTTGACATCCAAAAATTTCGTTATTGCGACTCGAGTGCTCCTCAGACACCTCTTCAATTTCCGTGAGTCCCGGCGACATTGCGTGTTTCCAGGATCGAGGAGGCGTGCGGTGACAGGTTGTGCTGACGTCACTGAAGGGAGCATCGAAAATGTCGTCAGAACTTGTAACGGTACTTCCGTGACAAGTGGAAAGTTCCTCATAAGACGGAACGCAGCCGGGCGAGTTATCTGTTAGTCGAGCCGCGACAATTTCGTCTTCCATGATCATCCACGGAGGCTGACGAAAACACGGAGATGACGGAAACCACTGACACGAAAACGCAGGACCTGAATCCGAGGAACGAAATGAATCAGTGAGCTAACAACAGGATATGGTGCCACTGCGGTACGTGAAAGTAAGAAATGAACAACCCTGGCTGGCCGCGCTCCACAAAAAAATTATAATTCAATTTCGATTTGAACTTTCGTTCGGCGGAGTGTGTTTCACTGCGATAAAGAAGCAGCCGTCGAAAGCCGTGAGAAAGTTGATTTCCTATAGCGTGTTCAAAAGCGAGGGGCAATTGGAATGGAAAGGCCACACTTATCAACAAATTGAAATAATCGAAAACGTGCAAGGTATCTTCGAAACGCGGGAACAGTGCAAAGCACAGACATGAAAATAGCGACATGAAAAAGTGCTCGATCCCGCAGCAGCGCGATTCCTAGGCAGCAGCTACCCAGGCAGCAGCCACCTAGGCAGCAGCGCGATTCCTAGGCAGCAGCTACCCAGGCAGCAGCCACCTAGGCAGCAGCGCGATCCCAGCTACCTAGGCAGCAGCGCGATCCCAGCTAGGCAGCAGCGCGACTCCCGCTAGGCAGCAGCCCTTTCCTCGCTAGTAGCAGCGCGATTCCGCCACGTAGCCCGCGACCCAGCCTCTTAGCCCGCGATTCAGCCGCCCAGGCCGCGATCTAGCCGCCCAGCCCGCGATTTAGCCGCCCAGCCCGCGATCTAGCCGCCCAGCCCGTGATCTAGCCGCCTACGCCTCGATCTAGCCGCCTAGCCCGCATTTTAGCCGCTCAGCCAGCGATTTAGCCGCCCCGCCCGCGACCTAGCTGCAAAGCAGCGATCTTGCCGACCAACCGGTGATTTAGCCGCTTAGCCCGCGAACTGCAGGTAGCAGCGCGCAGCTGGGCAGTGGAACCCGCGCCGTAACAGCGAAATCCGCACCGCAGCAGCGAACATCGCGCCGTAGCAGCGAAATCAACGCCGTAGCAGCGAAATTCGCGCCGGGGCAGCGAAATCCCCGTCGTGGCAGCGACATCCACGCCTAGGCAGCAAAACCCACGATGAAGCAGCGACATCCGCGCCGTAGCAGCGAGATCCGCGCCGTAGCAGCGAAATCCGCGCCGTAGCAGCGAAGCCCGCGCCGTAGCGTCGAAGTGCGCGCCGTTGAAGGAATATATTAGAGAGCGTAACGATAGCGAGAGAGTCTCTGCTATGGGAATGATGTTGCGCCAGCAACTTGGTAGAGTTTTGGTAGCGTTTGCCTCTAAGGACTTTGTGAGAATTGAAGTAGCATTTGGGCCAAGTAGAATTGCAATATTTAGAAAGCTTGCTTTCTTGCATGTAGCAATTGGCATCGTCTCATTTCAAATGGGTTTAGTACAATTGAAATCCAAGCAGCGTCATTACAATAATATGCCTCTATGTTATCAACGCTATCCTGCTTTCGAGGGGGGGTGGGTGGGAAGATCGGCTAAACCGTCTGAAATGAGAGACGTGGGTGGAGGGAAATTACCTCCAGCCCACGTTTTGTACTCCAAAACGGGCGTTTAGCGCGGCTCGACGCTGCCAAATCCTACATTACAGGCAGCTTCGCTTTCAAAATACATAATTTTAAAAAGCGTTACAGCTTTTGAAAATATACATATTTAGAAAGCTTGCTTTCTTGCATGTAGCAATTGGCATCGTCTCATTTCAAATGGGTCTTCTGAGACATGTGTCGTGCTGGTTGGCGATGGCGTGTCAACGCCGCTGAGTGTTGCAACGGTGACGAGGCTCGCGTCGGATCTTGGACATGTCGAGATGCTCCGACCAACTGTTCTATTGCCGGAGTGATGTACATTTCTTTAGCCGTATCGCTGCGCCACCTCCCCAGCTGCTTCAGAATGCGGTCGGGTACTCCTCCGTTGGCGGCGACGGTTGCTGCGCCTTTGCGGAAAGAGTGGGTGCCGAGGTGCTCGAGTCCTAATCCAAGCTTTTGGAATGCCTCCTTGCACCAATTGCGAATCGTTGTGTAGGAGGGTGGTGTTGGCGGACTACCACGACCCATGGTGTCTGAGCCGAAGACTCGTATCAGTGGACCTTCCTGTGCACGGCCGTAGCCTGCCAACTGGATGAAGCGCTTAGTGCACTGTACGGGGCAAAAAGGGCCCGAAGTTGAGGCTACGGGAACCCATGCACCGTCTCCTGCCTGGTCTGTTTTGGAGCGGGGGATCAGGAGCCACATAACGTCTTGCTCGAACTCAATCTCGTGCCAGTTAAGTGCGGCGAGGTCTGAGTATCGTAGGAAGCCGGAGTACATGAGTAACGGAATGAGCCCCTTCTGAAACTCGCCAGGCTTGTTCGATTCCAGGAATTCCGCCGCCATCGCGTGTACTTGATGTAGAGAGACGGGTTCCTTGAGACGCTGGGGCCGCGGGCAATGTCGCTTGGCGAAGTCTCGCACGTTGGATGTGAATGGCCCAGTCGACGGGCACGTGGCCCCAATCATCCGATGCGCAAAGCTGACTGCCGAGCATGTCAGTTGTATTGCCGATATGGTGGCCTTCTGTTGAATCGCGTGGACCAGGTATAATGCGAGTGTCATGTCTGTGCATGGCAGGAACTGCAATTTGACGTGTGTGCAGAATGCGCGAAACTTGGCCCAGTATGGTTCGTAGGTGCGAATCGTCGAGTCAGCCCTCGTACGCGTGGTTATCCGAAGCAATTCTTGCTTGAGCTTCTCGAGCAATCCTGCACCAGATGTGTGAATGGTCAGGTGGAGAAGGACACTCGTAATGCAATAATCGGGCTGTGCGGCAATCCTTCCCCAGAAAAGGCGCGGGTGTGGGTGCCTGCGGACAGGCATTGGCTCCCGTGGGTGAGGCGGATGTGGGCGAGAATGCAGGCAGCCCATTGGGGCGGAGCAGGTTGTAGTAACGGCCACCAGCTTGCCCCTGGCCAGTGAGGCACAACGAGCGTGAGCGACGCTCGCGTCCTTTGGGCGTGATGCAACACCGCTGGGATGAGGTGGGGTGGCGGAAAGGCGTATGCATGCTCGGAGGCCCATGATAGGGAGAAGGCATCAGTTGCCTCTGCGTCGGGATGAGGGGTTTTGGCGCAGAAGCGAGCCAGCTGGGTGTTGTTCGCATTGGCAAATAGATCGATAGAGTGCGGTCCCAAGCGCCGTTCAATAAGCCGGAACCATGGTGCTTTGAGTGCGTAGTCGTCTCGATCGATCATCTTTGAAATTTCATCAGCTCGTGTGTTGAGTTCGCGCGGAATCCATTCGACCGTCAACCGAATCCCGAAGGCAACGCACGCTTGAATAATGGCTCTGCACGTTGTTGTGAGGCTCGGAGTCCGCGAACCACCTTTGCGAAGGATAAAGAAGACACCTTGGTTGTCGGTTCTGGCGAGGACATGTCGGTCCTGGATCCTTCCCGAGAATGTCTGCAGCGCCCATAGAACTCCATCCATTTCTCGTTGCGTGCTGGAGGCTTTCGTGAGGTGCACGGGCATGGTTGCGCTCGCCTCAATGCGCCTTCCCGGGAACGAATCTAGTGTCGCTCCCCAACTGTG